CCTTGCCAGGGGACGCCTGTGTTCTTTCAAAATTATAGTTCCAATAGATTTTCGTACAATTAAGCCGAGAAGGCAGCTGACCAACTAAACTTTCTCCATAACTATGCCGTTCTCAGCCTCGCCCTCAGCAGCTAGCGACTTTTATTTTCTCAAGCAAGATAGGAGGGTCCGCGATGGAAACGTTACAAGACTAAAGAGAAAAGTTTGCCATCTGGTCCCCGCCAGAACCAGACCCTCGTTTGCTAGATCGTAATGCCAAGCCCGACCCAGGGAGACATTCGGTCGGATTCCCTCGGGGAAACAACGAGGCATTTCAGGATGGCATTTGACACTCCCAAGTAGTCTCAGGATTAGTTAATACGAAAGGTAAGCTTAGCTGGACAAGGCTTAGATGGTTACCAGACACTAGGTCAGAAGATTGTATATTTGGCACTGCAGTGTTGGGCAAGGGGGCAGAAAGTCAAGTCTCATGGCACCAACGATCTGCTCTACCTTTTCCAGCTAGACTAGTAAGATAGTAGGTGAAGGGAGGAAGAGTGTGATTACTGTGCTTTATTCCTAATTCAGCCTTACGGTGGTCTCCGTCACCAGTGGCACTGAGTCAGCGGCGTGTCTGCCTCAAATTTGCAGACCCAGAGATCCAAACTCTTTTTTGCTTACTGCCTCTAAAATCCGACATCCGGTCCCATGGCACGGTGCGGACCTTACCGGCAAGTCGGAGCTTCCGGTTCCGTTGCAGCAAATGTCTAAAGCCCGAAGGTCCGCGGGGACACCACGATGGAGGTTGTATTGCTCTCCCCGAAATTAATTGACATAGCATCGCGGCAGAGGACAACTAAGATACCAGAGCCTGACTGAACTAGGATACTTAACCTTGTTTGCGTTTGGTAGGGACGTAGTCCGAGGTAAGTAAGGTAAAGCATGTATGAGGGTGGGTAATGCTGCTTACACTATAGGGCATAACATGCTCAAGCAGAAAGTATGTATGCATAGCAGCGGCATGGTTTCTTCCTCTCTATTACCTAATCTCGATTGCATAATTCAGCTCCGATGCTCCGAAATGCTGTTTGCTGTCGGTCAACGGGTCGGTCAAGCTATTAATCTCCAATTCTTGACTGGTACAGTAAATGCTAAATAGTCCTGCTCCATGGAAGCATTAGGATGATCTTCGTTATAATAATAGGAACAATTTATTAATTAATGAATCTATTAATTCTGCAGGGTAGAGTTCATACTTTGCACTTACTGTGCTGTAGTAATCATCCTCACTGATTTGATACGGGCCAAGCAATACGAGATGATTACGATGCAGCCAATAAACCGCCGATGGGGGTTGCCATCCAATGAAGAAATGTTAGTGTCGGCGTCTGGTTAGTTCCGAGAGAGAGGATCGTCGGCTAGCTGCTTGGGGCCATGGATGCGAGCTGACGGCCATGGATGGCCAGGACCCAGTTCATGCAACGAGACCAGACGACCCAGCCTGTTCCTAGTACTTCCTAGAAACATTATTTTGTAATTTCTCGCGATTTGGCTTGGCCGACTGGCTCTTAACTGTAGATCGGGGGGAGACCTGCCGATGGTCCCGATGGACAAGCCCAGCAGACAACCCCATCGCTGTGAGGGCGTAAGAGTAGTAAGCTAGTAATAGTAGTATACGCAGACCAGACTCGCAAAGAAGACACTAAGGGGAAGAACAGCCCCCCAGCGGGATCTTGACCAAATGTGACCTACTAAACCGTCATTGTCACTTCTGGTTCCATGTGGGTTCCTTTTACTGTAATTTTTGCTTTTCCTTTTTTACACTCATTTTTTTTTTTTTTTTCTTTTCTTTTTCCACATTGACCCTCCCCCATTTATTTAGTTCAGGTCAAGAAGCATGATGGATGATTCTTAATTATGACTATTTGCCCACCAAATTCATGGTGGGATCTTGACCGCCATCTTTTTCGCCCCCTCTAATCGATGATCCATCGATCCCATCTCGAGTCTGACATGCGATTCGTATTCTTTTCTTTTCCTCACTCATCTGAAAGTCTGAATATTAAGGCGCTTCTGGACCCCCTAACCCACACTGTCCGGCCTCCCTTACATACTTCCGCCCACTCTTTGCTCTTATCTACTCCAATGTCCACGTCGTACGACATCTGAACTTCCCTATTCATCCATCTATCCGGTTTGCCTCCTGCGCTGACCTCAATCCCCTCTTTCGACAAATCTACATCTGCAGCTTCAGCCTTATTCTAGGTGGAGGGGTTGATAGTCGCCGTGCAGGTCACGCTCATTCTATCTACTACTTACTATACTTACTTTCCATCCACCCTCCATCTATCCTACCCCTTCCTTGTCTTCTCGTCATATCCTCTCTTACTACTACCGCCACCATCTTTCTCTGACCCGGGTCTTCTTCTTGTCTTTGTTCTCTTGTCTTCCATTGCTCTGGATTATTCAGCATATCTCTCTGGCACAACGAGGTTACAAAACAGCAAACAACGGCAACTTGTTAACTAGCTGGATCGGCTTAGGCTGACGTATTTTGTCAGCCACAGCCACCCCCGTCACTGTCATCATAGTTAATCCCCGTCACTGCCACTGATCTTCGCCGTCAATGTTGATCGGGGAAAATTAAACAGACGTTGTCGCATCCCCAGAAATAATGCTATTCAACCTTGGCTTGACAGCGGATGCGGCAGCAGCTCACGAAAACGAATACCCCGGGTTACCATCGGAAACCCAGATCCCTAGCCCGACGCGTCATTCGTCCCCGGCAATCTCATTCGCTTCCCTGCCATCGTGGGGACTAGGCAGCATCTATAACCGGCGCAAACCCACGGAACCCGAAATGACGCAGCGTACAATGTCGCGGAAAGTTACTATTGATACACTATCCTCGAGCGATGACGAGCGTTCGACAGTCACCCCAGTCCTAGCTCCATCAAGGATCGCCCGTTCGCAATCAGTTCGGAAACAATCGTCGCGCCCTAAAACGTCATACCAGCTAGCGCATCCCGCGGCCCACGCACGCCATAGGCGATTAAAGCTCCGACCTAAGCTTCTCCTGCAGCTTCAACGTGTGTCGCAAACTCCACGACCTCTGCCACTTTTGGATGTGCTCCCCTCCACTGTGTTTCTGCCGCCTCTAGCTCGCAAGTTCCCGACGATATTCCGCGGTAAAAAAGGACTAGGCCCCAATGACCTCATTGTCGTAACTAGTGACCTCTATGAGCGGGCGCCGGGCGATAATGGAGATAGGTCTTTAAGCTCCGATGATGAAGGCGGAGAACAACGTGAGGTGGTCGCAACGATATGTCAGCTCTTTAGGGATGACGCTTTATCCAAAGGAAAGGCGGAGATTTGTTTGAACCATGGGCCAGTTTGGGAGGCCACGCCGCTTGCCAATGGCTCCTACGAATTCGTGGCCAACACGGATGATGGTATCCAGATACTGCGGTGGGTTCTGAAAGGTGGGAAGAATCGTCGCGTGTCGGCGCCCCCGGGCTTCTCGCAAGAGGAGAGCAAGCGGTTTACGTTCAGCGTGATCAATCCCAGCACTCGTCGTCACCCTGTTGTTGGTACGATGACACGCAATTACCTCGAGGTATACGATGAGTACTCAATTCCGACAACACCAGGTATTGCTGGCTCACCAACCTCCGCCATGTCCGTGTTGAGCGACTACTCCGAAATGGATGACCCATTGGATCGGAAGGTTCTGAAAACCGACAGTGACCTCCGCATGTTGATCATTATCACCAGCATATGGGTAGCCTTTAGGGAAGGCTGGTCTCACAACTTCACTTACGACGACTCGGCCTTGGCAATCAACTCCAAGACAATGTGTCCGTCGAGACACAGCTCGCCAACTGCGATTCGAAGCGAGACTGACAGAACCGAGAGGGAAGATGGCCACGATGATGTTCCCCCATTGAATGGCCGAAGACATCGTCTCTCGACGTCCAGCTATGTCCCTTCACAATCCACGATTTCCGACCGATCTACGACTTTTGGAAGCTTATCGAGACGATCCAACTCAACTGGTGCGGCCTTTATCGAGCGGACTAACCGACGTGCTTCGGGTAGCAACGGTCGTCTCAACCGACACAGTACACTCTCCAGTCCTCGCGAACAGAGACAGGACCAAGCCGTCGACACCACACCCGCCCGACAAGACTCCAAAAGTCGCAGGTTATGGTCCCACAGGAAATCCGACGTCCAAGATTTCAAGACAACAGCTGCCCCTGATCAAGCGATAGACCGATCCAAGGGATTCGAAAACAACCAGTCACGCCAAGCCGATTCCTTTCGCGAGAAAGGTATTGACTCTCCCGCAGACTCGGCGCCGAGTAAGGGAAAGCGTCGGCATCGGATTAGCAACCTCTTCGATTATATCATCCGCAAAACCGGACATCATCATTGAGCCAAGCCTGGAGCTTAAAATCACATACCCCATTCAATGTTCTTTTGCTCTGCACAGTTGTCTTCTCTTTTTATCTCCCTCTTGCAGAGGTGAGCACACCTCTCGATTTCATCCAAGACACTACAATAGTGACACGAAAGCCTGGAGCTGCGGTTGTATTGTATGCAAGCGGATGGCAGGGCCTCATGTTGTGAGGCCAAAGCTACCGTTACTCCTTATCGCACTGGGTGTCTGGCAATTCTCTCCCACTTCCCAACCTTGCATGAGACTTGTCTCCGCACGTCATCATCTCTCAGCTCTTCTGAACTTACCAGCGATATGAATACCACGACATATATCTGATAGCGCTCCTTTTTCTAACATTCTTATCTCCTTCCCTACTGATTCTCTATTCTGGCATTGCCATCAACATCACCATTACCTTCCTGTCCATGCATATGTACAAACTAAGGTCCGCAGCATTGATTGCTTTCGGAAAGATACAGGGATTTTGTAGAGTAGGTACAAATATTCTTGAAAAATACATATATTTGGCACACAGAGCATGGTTTCGTTAAATTTATAGTATCGATACGTATTAGAGAAAAGTACTTTCCAGCTAGTAGGAACGTAGTGGGATTAGTTTCCGAAGGATTGCAGAGTTCTAACTTCCAAGTAGTATGATTGGTTGGTGGGGTTTGTTGTGAGCGATCGGCCTACTAACAGAGAGTGGGCAAGGCTTGTTCACTGATCCTGTTGATCGCTGATATGACTTTCAAGCGCATGAAGACGACGAGTTCGTTCGTCCTTTCTGTCAACAGTAATTGGATTTCATATTAGAGCTCATTTGAGTGACCGAACAATACGTTTCCAGAAGAGTATAGAATGACATTTTGTTTGTATAGATGATCATCGTATTCTATTCTTTACCGCTCCAGAGAAGTGATAGCCTTAGGGATGTAAGGCTCCTCCAGGTACTTGATTTCCTCATCGGTCAACTTGACCTTGGTACCGGTCACAGCCTCATCAATGCGCTCCTTGCTGTTGAGTCCAAGAATAGGGTTCTCATTGGGGTGGCTCAGCGACCAAGCGATGGCCACCTGGGCCATGCTGACGCCCTTCTTCTTGGCGATCTCTTCGACACGATCGACGATAGCCTTGTCGGATTCTGTCTCGCGGCTGCGGATGAGGAATTTGAGTGCCCCATCTGTTGCTTCACGCACAGTAGAGCGAGAGCCCCAGGGGCGGGTCAGCACACCACGAGCCATGGGCGACCAGGGGATCAGGCCCACGCCAGTGTCACGGCAGTATGGGATCATCTCGCGCTCCTCTTCTCTGGCGATCAGGTTGTGGTAGTTTTGCATGGAGATGAACTGGTGCCAGCCATTGCGGGCGGCGATGTTCTGGAGAGTCTGGAATTCCCATGCAGCCATCTTGATAGGCGTGAGCATGTGTCGTTGGAGGAAAAGAAAAAAAAGGTGGACGTACCGTGCTGGCTCCGATATATCGGACCTTGCCACTCTCAATCACGTCGTTGAGAGCCCGCATGATTTCCTCACGTGGGGTATCACGATCCAGCCGGTGGATCTGCAGAACGTCGATGTATGTTCCCAGTCTCTCGACACTGGCATCAACGGCGTCGAAGATGTGTTTGCGGGACAGGCCAACCCGGTTGACGAAACCACCGTCGTTAACACCGGAAGCTGAAATCGGAGGGAAGTTACCTTGGTCGTCCACACCGAAGTAGCACTTGGTGAGGATGACAACCCGGTTACGGGGAATGGAGAACTTCTTCAGGGCCTTGCCAATGATTTCCTCGGAACGGCCGTGAGAGTAGACATCGGCCTGGAAGCTGGTTAACAAGATATTGAGACAAGAGAAACGTAGTGGCTTGAATGTACCGTATCCCACGTGTTGATTCCACGCTTGTAGGCATGCTCAATCAGAGGGAGGGCTTCCTCCTCGTCGAGTACCCAATCCTGCCACTGCCTGGCGCCATAGGACATGGCGCCCAGAATGATTTTAGAGATCTTCAGTCCCGAGTTTCCCAGGCTACATGTCAATTTGTTAGCTAGGTCAGTATGTACAGTGCGAGTATCGCAACCGGGAGACATACCGGACGTATTCCATCTCATTGTTGGCAGCCATGGTGGATGTATTCAAATAACTGCAACGCCATGGTTAGCTATGATGTTGCCTCCACAAGCAGGCGGAAAGATGCGGGAAGGTGGTGAGATGTGGGAATCACCTACAAATGAAGTTGTAAGAGACCAATTGCTGGAGCAAAGTGATGTAGAAGAATTTACGATAGAATTGAGTATCTTGACGGGACTGCAAGCCGCTTATCAGTACTTTGCAGCTACCACTAATTGAAGTTCAAAGGTTAGGGACGAGCTAGCTAGCCAGTTCAGTCGAGTTGCCGAAGCATAGTAAACCCAGAGCAAGCTGGTTGACCCCATCATTAAGCTCCCCCACCGAACTGCCGAAAGTGCGAAGCGATGAGTTGCCAGAGCCGATGAGTTACCGACAGCCCTTTTTCGGGTTGAGCTGCTCTGGACCCATCGGTCCAGAGGATCGGGAAGCTTATGCGGGGTTCATTATGAAGATCATCCATTTTTATGGTACTCCGTATAGTGCCAGTGTGTCTATGGAAGAGAATAGAGAGCATTCAGCATAGATATACACAGCAGACTGGAAGTTGAAGGGGAATCAATGACTTTTTCTCAGTCTCAGTCATACACAAGAAAAGGGAAGGAGGGGTAGCCAAGGAGGGGATCCCGTGATCCACACCTTTGCTTGTTTGGCTTCGCTTCTTCTTCCTCTTCCTCCTCATCATCTCTCTCTGTCTTACCACATAGTTACCCCTCTACTGTTCGATCCTCTCTGCCTTTTGCCTCAATCACGACACTACCTCTCTTCCTTCAATTGAATGCACTGCTGCAGCATGTGCCTTATGGCAATCGGCATCGCCGTCTTGTCTACCTAAGTAGGCAGCGATCTTCTGATAGGTCAAAATGCTCGAGCCAATCTAGGTACACTTCAACCCCTGAGGAAGCCACAACAAAGTCACGGTTCTTCACTCGGAAAGCAGAGGAATAAGACCCCGGGGTAGGATCCCGTTCGAGCAAGGCAACCCCGCCAATGAACGGTGTTGGTGGCGGTGGCGCCAGCCACTGCATCAAGAATCACTGGTTTTCTGGGGAAAGACTCGTCCGACGTGACTGTCAGGCGACTGAAGGCTGCATATTGACAAGAACTGGAACACCCCCAGCCTCTGTACAACGATCAATGAACCGTTTTGCACGTGGTGCAGGTATTGCAGAGTATTTGACTCGGCCGCACACCTGATTGAGCTGCCCGCTCCGTACGAAAGACCGGACAGGCATTTGTAGCATCAAGGGCTGGCTGAACGGTACGTCGTGGGGCTATGCGCCCTAGAGCCAAGCACTGTATGTCATGGTCGAATAGTCCGGACATCCCGGCAGCCCCGGAGGAATTCTAGTAGAAATTCCCGAGATGGGTCTGATCGCAGCCTGTCGAACGTCGACTCTGCTCATGTCGCTGCTCGTCAGTGGTTCAGCTGGCTTCTGCAGAACACTTGCTGCATGCAATTTTCCAGCACCTGTCCATTACCCAATACCTCCAGTCGATCGATCTTGGCAGTTTTGAGAGGAGTCGAGACAGTTCCCAACCAGCGCAGCCTGACGCCAAGAGACAATCAACGGTACATGAACCAGAAGACATCTAGGTGTAGATCATACTTGTCTAGAGCATTATGGCCAAAAAACTGCTGTTCACCGCTGAATTGTCGGGTGAACCTCGTTTCTCTCACTGAATGATCCTTTTGCAATGTGGCTTTCAGGATGCGCAAACTACCATGGGTGTGTATACCTGATTACTTCTCTGACCATGCTGATTGGAGATGCGTTATTTTCATGTACTTCGACAGCCATCACCGGCAAAACCTCACTGGACAGTCTATCCAAGAAAGATGCAGGTCAGACCGTCTGTCTATCATATTTTAGCACGGCGTCGTGATCTAGCGTCAAAGTAAACGAGTGCATCTATATGGCCAACGGCTTTTATTTCTGCAAGCACCCATCGTTCTCTATCGTTCTCAAAATGTATAGGCCTCTAACCGCATGTGAACCACCAATGATGACCAGTAGCAAAAATAGCCGATGAGAGACGGGACTTATGGAAGATTAGTGTCAGCTCCTGGATGGGTTGACACCCACTAGCATTGTGTCAATGCCTACAACTGCTCACCTTGGAGATGAAAATGTGGCTAGCTGGGCTGTGTACTCCAGAGTCCTGCTTTGCAACGATGAAGATACCCATCGCAAGCATTTCCGCAGCGCAAGGCCGGATTCATGCTCAATGGAGACACCAGACTTGCTATTGTGAGATCCGAGTGCTCAAGGACAGCTGAAAAATGTGATTCATCGTGCAGATGGAAGTTCGTAGCGAAGTTTCCAGTCGACATACAGGCCTGAGAGAGGAACTGCTCGAAGGGTTTACTCGAAGTGACTGTGCTATCACCAAGTTCGAACCGCTCGAAGCATCTGAACAGATGTCGGAGCTGAATGTCAGCTCTCAGTCGTTTCTCAGTCGCGAAAACTATATAAGGAAGGCAGATTCCTCTCCAGGTCTTCTCCTCAGCACCATCACCAACTCAGCTCGCAAAGCAAGCAACGACAAGAACTACCTGTTGATCATACTCTTTCAAGAAAAGAACCCAATTTTGAAATGTCTACCGTTGTGACCACCGCTCCTCCTGTCCAGACCATGTCTCTCCAGGCAGTCGCTCACTCGGGCTCTTCGGACGAAGAGCTCTTGCAGCTTTTCCGCCAAGTGACTATCACCAGCTCTGACGGCCATGATGTGTCTGAGATGCAAATCAAGAAGGCTTTCCAGCAGGAGATCAGCCGGCCCCTGGGTCGACAGATGCTGGAGGCATCCTTGGCGCACGCGAATGGCTGCTCTTGCTATCACTGGAACTACCATGACCGCATCAGCGGCAAAGTCAACATCTCACGGGTTGATTTGACCTTTGACCTGACTTCAAAGAGCATGGGACAGGCCGTGAAGGGTGAAGCTGCTGGCTTCTACAGGCCTAACAGTGCCTTTATCAAGTAAGTCTTGCCTTTATTAATACAAAACAACACTAACAGCAAGCAGTGCAACCGTCTACTATGACGACCAGCAATACCTCCAGGGCAACCAGAGCGTCCAGATCTACATGGATGGAAGCGTACGTAGTCCCAGTTCCACTTCATACATCGGTATCAAGGCATGGTGCTAACCCGCAACCAGAAATTCATCATCGACTTCTTCACCACCGACCAGTCGGAGAAGCCAATTGCGCGTATCGTCCAGAACGCCTCGTCCTTTACCTTCCAGGGCACTGACACTGGTGACGCCACCTGGGGTACTAACTAGTGGCTGAGTCGGTGACCGCCGGAAAGAGCCATTTGGCATCTATGGCAACCAATTTGGAGCTGACAGGGTGATGCGGATCACGATGGAATGGTGATGATTAAGTTTCGGGTCTAGTCTTGTCTTCGTTTTTGCTTTTGAGTCATTCCTTAGTTGCTTTTTTTGTCTAGTCTTGCTTGTTAGGAGAAATAAGATTGATCCGCATAGAACTATGTGCAATGTAAATCCGTGAAATCCCTTCGACGTAGCTAAAACACCTCAGCACACCCTTCTCCTGCTCCAAGTGCCTCTCTTCTCGCCGCCCCCTGTTCTTCCTGACTCCGAGCTTACGTAAAGGCACAAAATAATCCCGTACATCTTCCATGATGTGGTAAAGAGTATACCCGAGTCTCTTTACACTCAGTATTAGAGGTTTTGACGAGACTAGGTCCTTTCATTGAGACAAATGTTACGTGCATCAGGAAAACACCTGAATTGGTTCATAATCCATTGAAGAAAAAGAGGAAATCCTCTACCTCTAACCAACCCATCCACCCCATATACAGTGTCCTTTCTATACATTTCTTTTTCAACTTTCCCATCAACCTGAAATTCATACAAGAACTTTTATGTCACCCGAGAAACATAAAAGAAAAGGTCATAACCTCATACAATGTACCACACAAATCAAACAACCCACATAACCCCAAGTGTAAAAGAAAGCCAATAGAGCAAAGCACGCTAGACAGTGACAAAACTTATATGTATAAGATCTAAGAAGAACCACCACGACCACCAACGTTCGACAAGGCCTTCTTCTGATCCTCGCTCAGTTGGGTCGTGGGCAGAGGCCGAGCTGCGGTCGAGGCAGCAGATGGGGGAGGAAGGAATCCGGTCTGAACGAGGTAAGAGGCGTACAGGCCGACCAGCTCCTCGGTGACGCCGGCGCCGGCGGAGGCGTCGATGCCGGACCAGGCGGCGTCGGCACGGAGGGAGGCAGCAGCATTGACGTCATCCAGTTCGGGGGCCTTGGTGTTGGAGGGGAGGTCGGAGGTGACGAAGTGGTAGAGGGGCATGCTGGGATCGGATGTTAGGATTGTAGTGGATAGTTTGGGTAGAGAGGGAACTTACAGTGCGTGCTGGGACTCGGGGTCATCGTGCTGTCCATCATTGACGTACTGTTCCAGAGACTTGGACCAGGGGACGTAGTCAACCTGAGGGACGTCGTATCCGTACAGCTGGAGAGCGCCCAAGAACTGGTTGAACCGGAGACGCGGGTGCCCAGTGACCTGGGCGACGCCGATGGGAGTGCAAGGAGGCTGGAATGCAGCGGCGATGACCACGCGGGCAACGTGGTCCACGGGAACCATGTTGACGGTGTTGTTAATGTTGGGGCGGGAAGACAGCTGGATGCATCCCTTGATCATACGGATGAGGAAGTCGTCGGTGTTGGTGGCTAGTGTTTGTATGTTAGCTTGCTTTGGAAATCAATATTCTGGGAGATTGTTTGCTTACTTCCGGTCTTGGAGTCACCAAGAACGTAACCAGGACGAACGACGGTTCCCTTCAGACCCCTACGGCCAGCCTCGCGGACCAGGTACTCTCCAGCCCACTTGCTCTGGCCGTAGCCGGTTCCAAGTCCAACGGCACTGCCCTCGAGGTCATCCTCCTCGCTAATACCCGCTCCACCGGCGGCAACGATGCGCTCGGATTCAGAGACATAGTGGTCGCTGTCGAGAACACTGGTGGAACTGACGAAGGAGAACTGCTTGGGCTTACCACTGGCGCAAAGCTTCAGAGCATCGATGGTACCCTGGACGTTGGCCGGCTTGAGGGTAGAGTAAGGGTAGACCCAGTGGACAAGAGCACCGTTGTGGATAACGGCATCCACACGCTTGGTCAAGTCATCCCAAAGAGCATCCGAGAAACCGAAGCGGGGTTCACCCAGGTTACCGCAAACACACTGCAGTCTGCTGGTCCAGGCCTCATCCCAGAAGCCGTAGGCGCGGCAGGTGGAGCGGATACGTTCAAGCGCCTGCTCATCGGTCTTACCACGAACCAGGGTCACAACCTTGGCCATGGGCGACTTGCGAGTGAGGAGGTCACGAAGGATATGCGCACCCAAGAAGCCAGTAGCACCAGTCAGGAAGATGGTTGGCTCATTGGACAGAATAGACTCGGTACGCGTGGGGAAGGAGGCGGGCAAGGCGGTCTCTGCCAGCTTCCGGGCATCCTTCGAGTATTCGTCGTCAAGCTCATCCGGAGTAGCTGAAGCATCCGCCTTAGCAGCGGTACTGTCATCATTGCTGGCGAAAGACTCGAAGTTCTGCAGACGGTCGATCTCGGCGGCAAATCCCCTGAGGGTCGGGCTACGGAAAATGGCGTTCATGCTAACGTCAATTCCGCGCCACTTGCGGCGGATGTCGAAGAACATCTGCTGGGCCAGGATACTGTGCCCTCCAAGGTCGAAGAAGGAGTCATCAGGTCCAATCATGCGAGCAGTAAGGTTGGGGATGCGGGAGGCCCAGATTGAAGCCAGCGCCTGCTCGGTTTCAGACAGAGCCTGGACCACAGATGACTTGCGACGAGGAGCCGCGGCACTAAGCTCTGCGGTATCGGGGAAGGGTAGCGCAGGCTTGTCGATCTTGCCGTTAGGGTTGAGGGGCATGCGCTTGAGGGGGATGAACACCGTCGGCACGGCGTAGGAGGCGAGCTTGGTCCGCAGCAGGTCACGGATGTCGTCACGAAGAGGACGGAACCGTCTAAGCATGCCGACCATTCCTTCAGCAGAGTCATCGTCCTCGAGGCCCTTCTCCTGCAGCCAAGCAGCCCACTTGCTCATGTCCGGCACGAAATAACTGACCAGAGTCCGCTCCTCGAACTTGTCACGACGCACCAGGGTGACGTTCTCTCTCACCAGGGGATGGCGAGACAGGTGGGTATCAATCTCACCCAGCTCGATACGGAACCCACGGATCTTGACCTGATCGTCTGCACGTCCCGAACACTCGACATCTCCCGAAGGAGTGTAACGACCAAGGTCACCACTGCGGTACAAGCGATCTCTAGGGCCTTGGTAGAACTGCCTCCAGGGCTCGTTCGCGCTGTCTGCCTTGGCTTGGTCCTTCTGGACCCAGGTCTGGTTATCAACAAACCAGTTGTTGAGGAACTTCTTCTGGTTCAATTCAGGCGAACCTAGGTAGCCTTCAGCGAGACCACCGGCACGGACGTAGATTTCACCAACTTCACCGATGGCGCAAATGCGGCTGGGTTCGAAGCGGTTAACAACCAGCATCTGAACGTCGAGCATACCCCGACCTGCCGGGATGACGTCCTTCATGGTGTCCAGGTAGCCCTCGTCGCTCGAGTAGCTCGGGATCTCGAAGTAACTGACCGCACGCTGTGTCTCAGTCGTTCCGTACATGTTGACAATGTTGACATTGGGGGCCAAGCCCTGCAGAGAGCGGCAGTCTCGCTTGATCAGGATATCACCGACGAAGAAGGCGTGGTGAAGCGAGGGGAACTGTGCCGAAGCACCACCGACGAGAATCTGACCCATGGCAGGGGTAAGGTGAGTGACAGTAGCTCCATACTCGCGCATCCACTCGGCAAGCCTTTCGTTCTGAATATCCTCCCGGGCAGGAACCAGCAGCTGAGCTCCCAGGAAAAGAGGGGTGAAGATATCTCTTTGGATCGGGTCATGAGCGATACCGCTGAGCATGGTAAACCGATCGTTAGGGTTAAGCTTGAAGGTCTCGGACATCCAAGGGAAGTAGTATGCCAGAGAAAAGTGACGACCCTTGACACCCTTGGGCCTGCCCTCCGAGCCAGAAGTGAAGGACAGAGTCGGGGTGGAGTCAGGTCCGACGACGACGCCAACAGACTTGGCCTTCAAAGGAACTTGGTTGGCCAAGACATCCTGGCCGTTGATCGATCCTCCGACGAGGGAGCCATCGTCGCGAAGGGCCAGGGCAGGCACTTCCGTGCGCAGCTCCAGGTTCTCATTGATGAATGAGCGGACCACATCGGAGAGCTCACCGGCATCCTTAGTTGCCTTCTCAATGTTGATCAATGCCCGAGGGCGAGCCACATCAAGGTAGATGCACTGTCTTTCCGGGGGGTAGGCAGGGTCGATGACCGAGAAGGTCGCGCCAGCCTTCAGGATACCCATAACGGCTACCACCAGGTCAACACCACGGTAAGCGTACACCATGACGACCTCTCCTCTCTCCACACCCGCCTGGACTAGATGATGGCCCAAAATGTTGGAGGCCTCATTGATTTGCTTGTAGGTGAACTCCCGGTGAGGAGACCGCTCCGACTTGGTCTCCACTACACAGAGTCTTTCGGGGTGCTTCTCAGCGTTAGCGGCGAAGATATCGTGGATAGCACCGCGGAAATTGGACCAGTTCAAATCGGAGGTCGGGTCCGGAAGAAGGGCCAGTTGATCCTCGGTCATGAAGTCAATGCGCCCAATTGCTTGTTCCGGGTTGCTGGTCGCATTTTCGACCAGACGGGCAAGCTGCTTGAGAATGGTGGAAATTCTCGAACTGGAGAAGAGTCTCTGGTTGTAGTAAGCTCCCAATTCCGCCTGGGTTGTGGAGCCATCCGATGCACTGATCGGAGCAATGTTGACAAGGAGATCTGTTGTCTCGAAGGTGTTGGCAGGGTAATCCTGCGAGGCAGCAGGGGCATCGTAGGCAGCAAAGCGGAAGAGGATGGGAGAGCGTTCAGATTGAGACTTTTCTTGAATATAGGATCGTAGACTGCCCAGAGGTACGATCTCGGCCGAGCCTTGCTCGAATGCCTAGGGAAGAGTTAGATGAGCTACAACGATGATATACGCCACCTTAATTTTTGTCATACCTTCTGGACCTTGGCGTACAGCTGCAGGAAGGTTTCGGATGCCTCGATTGGGACTCTCAGGACGAAAGGACGACCATCGTCGCTGGAGCTGGTCCCGACGGCAATATCCTCGTCACCGGTAAGGCGTGCAACGAGCACAATGAAAGCCGTCAGGAAGACAGTGAATCCGGACGAAGAGCCGGAGATCTTCTGCAAGTCCGATTGCGTCTCCTTGGACAGCTGAATCGACTCAAAGGCTTCAATTGCCCTCTTGGGAAGCTCCTGCTTCTGGTTGTCGGGATAGTCTCGGGTGAGGGGAGACACTGTGAGGTTCTGGAGTCTTTGAGCCCATCGCTCGAGGCGCTCCTGCAAGGAGACTGATTCGACAGCCATTGTTACAGTTGCGATGCCCTTGTAAGTGGGGGGATGAGGGACGTCAACTGCACTTGGCGGAATATGAAAGGTCAGTAGGGAATTAGGGAATTTAATTGAAATTGAAGATGGGAAGAGCAGCGATCGACGATGAGTCAAGAGGGGCACGCGAGAAAAAGTGCCGATGTCGGCTGCAGCCCACCAGACAGTACTAGTTTTAGTAGCCTGAGGTTTTCCTTTTCTTTTTCTCCCCACAATTTGGGAGGATCATTTTGATGGCTGGGCCGCTGGGATCTCACCGCCTCTGGGGTACTTTCAACAAAATGTAATAATACACTGACCGCTTTTCCATCTGCACCGCCACACGCGGCGGTGGCTTACCACACATTCTGTTTCAACTAACTGGGACTCTTTATCCACTTGGAATGGAGACACGGTCGTATCGCTGACTTACCCGCTTGGGTCTAGGCTTCTGAACCCCTTCCAGGCACTTCCGCATTTGGGTTGATCAGGAACAAAGTGCAACGCTGCCTTCAGTCTATGCTTCCAATCCTGCTGAGGTGCTTCGGGTTGTCAACTTCTTTCTCACTCTCGCTTGCCATGGGTTAATAGACGTGTCTCTGACGTCTCTTTCACACCTCTTTTTTCTTCCTGTTATTATATTACTCCTTCGTTCAACAACCTTCGCTCCTCCAGTTTCATCCCCTAACCCCCTAAAGACATTGACCGTAATACCTAGTTTATTACTTACCGTTCGTTTCCTACCCGCATTGGGACAGGCAGAAGCCTCACAGAAGAACATCCGGTCAATTCTCACGTTTGACTTGGACGGCCAGAACTTCTACTCGGCAGATTCCCCCTGATTTATTCAGGCCTGATCCAGGCCGTGCATCCTCGATCAAAATGATCCCTCATCGGAGCACGGCTCTCATTACCATCGTCGTCTTTGTCGCCCTTGTCTTGGTTATATTCTCTTCCTCTCCAGTAACCGACCCATCGACTGGCGAGGAAGTCTCCGGTCCGGCCAAATATGTCCCTCACCCGAAACTTCCTTCGTTAAATAACCTGCATCTGCCATCGTTTCACCCGACAGTGCATACCCCTCCGGAACCGCAACCCAACAGCACCAGCGGCGAGTCCAAGTGGTTCAGCGACTGGTCGTGGATCAACCCTTTTTCGTCGTCTATCACCCTCGATGAAAACCGTTCCGTCCTCCCTCCTCTTAGAAATCGCCCGTTCATCTACACGTACTACGAGCCCAACAAAGGAAACGATCGGGAGGAGGATAATGCGGACGCGCAGCTGCTTCTCGCCTGGCGCAGGGCTTGGTTTGCGCAGGGTTTCCGCCCCGTCATTCTTGGCCCTGGCGAAGCCATGAACAATCAGCTTTACGAGCTTGTCCAGCCATTGAGTCTGAAGCCGGAGCTTGAAAGTGAGCTGTTCCGGTGGCTAGCCTGGGGTCACATGGGTGATGGTATGCTTGCGGATTGGCACTGCTTTCCCATGGCCCGATACGATAATACTCTTCTCACTTATCTGCGTCGGGGCACTGATCCTGCCCTTATCACCCGCTTCGATGGCTTCGGGAATGCCTTATTCTCTGGAGAGAAGTCGCGTATCAACGATGCAATCAAGGAAGCTATGAACAAGGTGGATGACAAGTCCACCTCTCTGATCGATCTTCTTCCGACCGAGTTCTTCAAGGTGGAAGAGCCTAGCGCTTTGGCTCTGTATGACTCGGCTGCCATTACTAGCCACTACCCTACAGTCGCTGAGAAGATTGTCTCTTCGCCTACTGCTGGGCGATTGGCCTTGGCTGAGTTGATCAATGCCCACTTGCACAACACTTTCCAGAACTCCTTCCCTGCAGGCGTTGCTGTATTGAAACCATTTCCCGAGCATACTACGGCTCTGGTGGAACCGGCCCTACGGCTTGCCAAAGCCCTGGTGCAATGTCCTAGTTCTCCTGTTCCCCACTCGTGCCCTCCGAACTCGCCGAAATGTCATCCCTGTGATGCTGAAAAGCCCATGCAGGTCAGCCAGCCAGCCACCTACAGGAATACGACCCAAGTTTTCACGATCGGGACTCTACCTCATCCTTTTACGCTCATTAGTCTGCAGCAGGATTCCACCGAGGTCACAACGCGGCACATTCGCCGCGAGACAGACCGTGATGTGTGGTTGGCCGAAGTGACCAAAGAGCACCTCGGTACTGACATTGGCGGTTCTGCGAGAGCCGTTGTGTTTAAGAGAGCCGTTGCCGATGACGCCGTTGTAGGCACCTCGCTATGGATGACTGTCGAGTCGCTGCCTCCTCAGGCCGGGCAGTCTCTGCCGTCAGAGCTCTTGGACGAGTTTGAGTGGCAGTTTGGTTTTAAGATCCCTCGTGATGGCAAGGTCGATGCAAAGAATGAAGAAGAGAAGAAGGCGTCCGTCCAACAGGCCAACCCGAGTGAGCAAGGTGTTGAGAAGGAGTACGGAATCCTGAAACAGGCACGAGAGTACCTGAAGGGCAAAGATACCAACCGAATTGGTATCACTGATGTGGCAGAGGCCTGGAACTTGGCGGACACGGAAGTCTGGCGTTTCGTGAGAGCATACCGGTAAGTACACCGACACAGACCTCCAAATTTCCAGCGTTTTAGCCTTCGCCTTATGACGGGACCGAAAGGAAAGTCCGATGGTGTGAGCTAACAAGTTATCAATTTGCAGTGCGCGCAGCGTCGTAGAACGCAAGAAATGGGAGGAAGAAGAAAAAGACTTCATTGGAGCCAAGCCAAAAGTATAATTAATGTCTTTTCTTATCGCTCATACTTATAGACATGTTATCGCTAGTACTTGTTGGTGTACATTGCTTCTCTTCGCTTGAACTGTTTATTTACTATCTTGGCCCGGGTGGCTTCGGCCAGAGCATTGGGAGCGGCGTTGATCGATACCTATTCTTCTTTTCTGCTGTTGGTACTAGGCCCGCAATCTCTTACTATATACTTTGTTGCTTTGCTATTTCCATTTCCTAATCATATAATCGAGACTCTACTAACTAGGCCGTATAGAGTACTCACTACTACTAGTTGGTTCACCGGGCACCAGTGAGAGTCGGTAGATTAGTGATCAGATGACATCTGCCGTAGGTTACCGCCCATCGGACAGTGGCGATCGCCGCTGGGCGGGCCATCGATAGCCAGCGATAACCGTAGTGGGGAGGCAACGATAAGCTTGTCCATGACTCCATTTCCTTGGTTAGCTTATGCCGGGGAGGGACTTCACCCCTTTCTATATCCTTTTGCCACCATAGTTTCACAATACATCCTCCTACGTTCTGAACAAATATTGCTCGGGAATACCTTCATGGATCCTATCCTAATCCAAATCTGAAGCAACAGAATTATCATCACACTGACCGGCCGGTCTTGGCGTCCGCTCATCTCGGCGGGGAATTCGACTTTCCGCATTTGAGCTTCAGGAAACAAGATGGCCCCAGGCATTTTAGAATCACCAAAGCCAACGGTGGCTGCCAGCAAGGCTGTCACCTTGGCTCAGCTCACGGAGGATTGGGACGACACTATTCGTTTCTATCTCAACGGCACAAAGGTCGTTCTCGACTCGATCAATCCTGAAGTCACGCTATTGGAGTATCTGCGGGGTATCGGCCTGACAGGCACCAAGCTAGGGTGTGCGGAAGGTGGTTGTGGTGCTTGCACAGTGGTATATACCCACGTCGTTATATCGGTGTTTAGGTTCATGTTGACATGAAACAGGTTATATCGCATTTCAACCCGACGACGAAGAAGCTTTACCATGCCTCAGTCAACGCTTGTCTCGCCCCCTTGATCAGTGTGGACGGGAAACATGTTATAACCGTGGAAGGTATCGGCGATGTGAAGAATCCCCATGCTGTTCAACAACGGCTTGCGGTTGGAAATGGAAGTCAGTGCGGTTTCTGTACGCCGGGAATTGTCATGGTATGCTCTTCGAGGGCTGGTGTGGTGGGTCAATCTGACGGATCTACAGAGCCTCTATGCCCTCCTACGTAATAACTCCGCGCCGACCGAACACGACGTCGAAGAAGCATTTGACGGGAATCTCTGTCGTTGCACCGGGTACAGGCCCATATTGGATGCTGCTCAGAGCTTCACCGCTCCCAAGGGCTGCGGGCAATCTCTGGCCAACGGTGGAACAGGTTGTTGCATGGATAAGCAGAACGGTGCTGGGGGTTGCTGCAAGCAGTCATCGGCAGACACCACAGATGGAGATGCACCGAAATTCACGCCGCCCGAGTTCATCGAATACAGTCCGGGCACGGAGCTGATTTTCCCGCCTCAGCTCCACAAGCACGAATTTCGACCTTTGGTCCTCGGGAATAAGAAAAAGAAGTGGTACCGTCCGGTCACCCTCGAACAATTATTGGAGATCAAGGCTGTGCACCCTGATGCTAAGATCATCGGCGGAAGCACGGAGACACAGATTGAGGTTAAGTTTAAGGCGATGAGGTACATTGCCTCTGTCTATGTCGGTGATATTCCGGAACTACGTCAGTATTCGCTCAAGGATGACCATCTGGAGATCGGGGCCAATGTCTCTTTGACCGACCTCGAATCAATCTGTGATGAAGCTCTCGAGCGCTATGGGCCGTTGCGAGGTCAGCCATTCAATGCCATCAAGAAGCAACTCCGCTATTTTGCAGGAAGGCAAATTCGCAATGTGGCGTCGCCAGCAGGAAACCTGGCTACAGCATCTCCAATTTCTGACCTGAACCCGGTGTTTGTGGCTACCAACACTGTCCTTGTAGCCATGTCGTTGGGTGAAGTTATCGAGATTCCTATGAGCCAGTTCTTCAAGGGCTATCGATCCACTGCGCTCCCGCCTAATGCGATTATCGCTTGTTTACGGATCCCGGTTGCGTCCGAAACGGGAGAATATCTGCGTGCCTACAAGCAGTCAAAGAGAAAGGATGATGACATCGCGATAGTGAACGCAGCTTTGCGGGTCTCACTTTCTCCTTCTCATGATGTGCAAAGCGTCAACTTAGTCTTCGGAGGGCTGGCCCCAATGACCGTCTCCGCACGCAACGCAGAGGCCTTTCTGGCTGGCAAGAAGTTCACCAACCCTGCTACTCTTGAGGGTACCATGGGTGCTTTAGAGAAGGACTTCGACTTGGAGTTCAGTGTTCCTGGAGGAATGGCGACATACAGGAAGTCTCTCGCCTTGGGATTCCTCTACCGGTTCTATCACGATGTATTGTCCTCCATCCAGGTCACGGAGGCCGATGTTGATGAAGATGTCATTGCCGAGATTGAAAGAGCCATTTCATCCGGAGAGAAAGACCACGAGGCTTCTGCAGCATATCAACAGAAGATTCTCGGAAAGGCTAGTCCTCACGTCTCTGCACTAAAGCAAGCTACCGGAGAAGCACAGTACACCGATGACATGCCTTTGATGAAGAACGAGCTTTACGGCTGCATGGTTCTTTCGACTAAGGCACATGCTCGTATTCTGAGTGTGGACACTTCAGCAGCTTTCGATATTCCTGGCGTTGCTAATTACGTGGATCATACCGATCTCCCTAACCCCAAAGCCAATTGGTGGGGAGCTCCAAACTGCGATGAAGTCTTCTTCGCGGTTGATGAGGTCACGACTGCTGGTCAGCCGATTGGTATGATTCTCGCAACGTCGGCCAAGATCGCGGAGGAGGGTGCGAGAGCGGTCAAGGTAGAATATGAAGAGCTTCCAGCAATCCTGAGTATGGAAGAAGCCATTGAGGCTGAGTCGTTCTTTGAACACTCCCGCTTCATCAAATGTGGGGATCCAGAGAGTGCCTTTGAAGAAGCAGACTATGTCTTTACTGGGCAGTCTAAAATGGGTGGTCAGGAACATTTTTACCTGGAAACTCAGGCTTGTGTTGCTATCCCTAAGCTTGAGGATGGAGAGATGGAGATCTGGAGTGGAACACAAAACCCTACGGAAACGTGAGTCACGACAACTACCATATGAAAGGCTTTACTGATTATCTCTAGGCAAACTTACGTTGCACAAGTAACTGGTGTAGCTGCCAACAAAATCGTGTCTCGGGTAAAGCGCCTTGGAGGTGGATTTGGTGGCAAAGAGACACGTTCGGTCCAGCTGGCTGGTATTTGTGCCACAGCTGCTGCAAAGGCGAAGTTGCCCGTGCGGTGCATGCTCAATCGCGACGAGGACATTGCTACTTCCGGTCAACGCCATCCATTCTTCTGCCGCTGGAAGGTGGGAGTGACAAAAGATGGTAAATTGCTTGCATTTGATGCGGATGTGTACGCCAACGGTGGTCACACCCAAGATCTGTCTGGTGCAGTAGTAGAGAGAGCGCTCTCACACATCGATGGAGTGTACAACATACCGAATATGCACGTCCGTGGTCGTATCTGCAAGACGAACACCGTTTCAAACACCGCTTTCCGTGGCTTCGGCGGCCCTCAGGGTATGTTCTTCGCCGAGTGCATGATATCGGAGGTTGCGGATCATCTTCAGATACCAGTTGAACAACTCCGTTGGCAGAATATGTACAAGCCTGGTGACAAGACCCACTACAACCAGGAGCTGAAGGATTGGCATGTGCCGTTGATGTATAAGCAAGTTATGGATGAGAGCTCGTACGAGGATCGACGGAAGGCTGTGGAGGAATATAACCAGAAGCACAAGTGGTCGAAGCGTGGAATGGCCATCATCCCTACCAAGTTCGGTATCTCTTTCACAGCCCTTTTCCTGAACCAGGCTGGCGCGCTGGTGCATATCTATCACGACGGAAGTGTCCTTGTGGCTCACGGTGGTGTGGAGATGGGTCAAGGGCTACATACCAAGATGACTATGATTGCGGCTGAAGCTTTGGGTGTGCCTCATTCCAACGTCTTTATCTCGGAGACTGCCACAAATACCGTGGCCAACACATCGTCCACGGCTGCGTCGGCCAGTTCTGATCTCAATGGATACGCCATCTACAATGCCTGCGAGCAGCTCAATGAACGTCTTCAGCCGTACCGGGAGAAGATGCCGGGGGCACCTATGAAGGACCTTGCTCACGCGGCCTACTTTGACCGGGTCAACCTCTCCGCGCAGGGATACTACCGCACCCCGGATATTGGCTACGTGTGGGGCGAGAATAAGGGCCAGATGTTCTTCTATTTTACTCAGGGTGTGACCGCTGCCGAGGTGCAGATTGACACGCTCACAGGCGACTGGACTCCTCTACGTGCTGACATTAAAATGGACGTTGGCCGTACCATCAACCCATCGATCGACTACGGACAGATCGAAGGCGCTTTCATCCAAGGCCAGGGTCTTTTCACCACGGAAGAGAGTCTATGGCACCGGGCTTCGGGACAGATCTTCACCAAGGGACCCGGAAACTACAAGATTCCTGGATTCCGGGATATTCCCCAGATCTTTAACGTCAGTCTGCTAAAGGACGTGGAATGGGAGAACCTGCGCACTATCCAGCGATCTCGTGGTGTTGGTGAGCCGCCGCTGTTCATGGGCAGCGCCGTCTTCTTTGCCATCCGCGATGCGCTCAAGGCAGCGCGCCAGCAATGGAACGTGCATGAAGTGTTGCGACTAGAGAGTCCAGCGACTCCAGAGCGGATCCGGGTCAGCTGTGCTGATCCGATCATTGAAAGGGCACGCGTGGTGCCAAAGGAGGGTGAGAAGAGTTTCTTTGTAGCGATATAACCAGCATGATAGGATACCATTATTAATTAGTTCACTGGATGTAATGACTGCATGAATACAATATTTATTCTACCTTGACCTCTTCAATACTAACAACAGTAATAATAAGAGTCAGACACACCCCTTTCCCCATATCCATAAATACCTGATACTGGTAACTGGATCACTTGTACATCCATCGGTTTGCCAGCAGCAGTGATATTCTTATTGGTTCAATATGAATTAGGTGTATGTAACAAACACGCGCGCGTGTGCATGTGCTTTCTAGCTAAGGATTGCCGACAGGGACTGTTTGGGATCTGTAAGAATCACGTGTTCTATACGGAGTAAAAATGGCATGAAAAGAGTGTATTGAGTTGGTATTATGGTCTATGGGTATATGGTAGACACTCAAGGAAAGTGCGAGTTGAGTACAAGCTGGCTAAGAAACAAAAGAATTGGTAGGATGGCGAGTTCGACGTTTAATCAGGTAGCAGATCAATATTTCTCCATTCCATACTCCACGTAGCTGCTTCCTCGCAGATCCGACACTCCGTCCACTCGAAGAGCATTGCGCTGGCCTGCGAACCCGACTTTCTCGTCCGGATACTCCGAGTCGCTGCTCAGCACGGCGGCAGAGCTTCCCTGGCTAGTCGCAACTTCGTACCGGGGTGCCGGCTGGGAGCGTGCAGCAATTTCTTCGGAATCACGGTGACTCGGCAGAGTAGTGAGGGGCACATCGGTGAAACCATTTGTGTCCGGACCCGAGCCTGGGTTTGGTCGTGAATGGGGAGGAGCAGGTCCGCCCTCGCCGCGGTTCTTATCCCGGCCCCAGAAGAGTGTTAGGGCGCGGAGAATGCCGAACATGGCGTTGATGACCCAGACCAGGAGGATGCATGAAGCAATGATGACTTCTATCAGGAGAGCCTTTTCTAGGGCGCTGATGACCTTGTATACAACTTCGGTGATCTTGTTGGATGTTTCGTCGCCGGCGTCGGCGAGGAAGCTGTCTGATGCATCGGAACTGTTGATACTGTCTGCTGCGCCGCGCGAGAAAGTGTCATTGGGTAGGAGGGGGAAGTCTATGTGGGCATGATCGGAAACCCAAGTAAGGCCTTTCTGGACGCTTTCGACCTTGAGGCCAATCAAGCAGTCGAAGACGTCGAGAAGAGGCTCGTAGAGTAGGGTACCACCGAAGGTGTCGTTGAGGACCCCGATTGTTTTGTTGACAAATGTATTTAGCGTGTCATTTAGAGCGCCGGTGCTGGTGTTGACCCAGCCAAATACATGATCGTTCAGCTCGTCGTCAATGTTTATGATGACTTTGTTGGCGTCGTTGGCCCATTGAGCAGATGTGTTTTGTAAGACGCTAACGACCTCTTCGGCAAAATCGCCTACTTCGGCGGAGAGTTCCGGAACTGTTCTTTTGACGGCGCTGAGAAGAATGTACTGACAGAGGCAGGATAGAAGGCCAGCAAGTGCGAGAAGGAGGACGAATAAAGCTGCGGGGGAGGTCGCATATGCGATCACCCAGCGCACAAGAATCTGTCTGCGGCTGTTGCTGAATCGACTGGCGGCTTTGATACCCATTGCTGCCGTGTGGGGCCTGGAGACTATGTAGACGACGTCCATAGGATCATGAGCTTCCTTGCGAACGAGTTGGGAGCGCTCCTTCATCGTATGCCAGCGCCGGATCTCCTGCCAGGCCATGGGAACGCAAGCGATGATGGCAGCGACGACCAGAACGGCGATGAATATTTTGCGGGCAGTTAGGATTATATCGGTTGCTCCGGCAAAGAATGAGTTGATCCCATCGTTTTTGTCGCACAATGTCAGGGTCTTTTTCGCAGGGACAGGGAGGGCGGAGGCATTAAAGGTATAATTGCCTAGTGACTCGTTGACCAGTTTCTTCACTTCGTCGAAGGGAAAACGAATCACATTCTCAGTGAAGTTCATGACCTCGTTAAAATTCGGGATAGAGTCGTTGATCTTCTGAAGATCCTTATCAATGGACGAAGGCAGTTGTACATTTTCCAGTTTGTCGATTTCGCTGGTGATATTCAAGGTCGGTACTGATCCTCCGAATAAACTGGCAACCCCGTTTATCTTCGAGATTACTTCATTGTAGTCGTCCTCAAATGTTTCGGTGACCTTGGCGATATCCTTCGCCACAGTCTTGACCGTGGAATTCAGAACGTCTGTGACATCTTCAATCAAGCTGAGTCCAACATCAACCACACCATGTACGACGAGCGTGAACAGGCACAGATATGTCTGGTACATCACTTTGACGAAGAAAATCACCAACTCCTCCACACCCGTCAAGGTAAGCATGAGAAGCGTCTTTAGGCCATCAATTGCCGCATTGACACCGTCTGCTGTGAGCTCATTGACCCCCTCCGCCAGGTAATGGGGCATAGAGACCATTGCATCGCCCATGGATTCAACGCTTGTGCATGCGGATAGGGCCTCGCTTTTGGCTCGATTCATGTCCGTTTTTATGCTCGAAGCAGCCATCAGCACTCGAGCCAGGACTAGCAGGAGCAAGACAGTCCAGCGGTTAAGCCATACTTGGGAAAGGCGCGCCCGCAGGCCTAGGTAGGGTGTCGAGCCATCAGGGTGTACAGGAAAGACTCGACCTTGAACGCCGTTTGGATCTTGAACCCCATAGGGTGGTAGAAGTGGAAAGATTGTCCGACCAGATTTTGAAAACAACATGTCGAAAATCTGATATATGGGTAGGGAGGGATTTGGTGGAAGAATGAGAAAGAAGTCTATCACGAAAGGTATAGAAAGATGGCAGAGCAGATGTTAAAGAAAGAATAATCCTGACCAGCAGTGATTATTCGAATGGGCAGAAGGCAATTGTCAAGAAGCTGTACTGCATGACCAGAATTCAAAAATTAAAGAGCTGTATGACGAGGCAAGAAGAAACAAAAAGAGTAACACCTGAGAACAATAGATGAAAGAAGCAGAATCAATAGCAATGTCACAATAAGGAGGATATACCCACCTTATTATGGGCGACAGAGGTAACAGACCGACTTCCATTGTGACCAGGTCAATAATAGCTGAGACAAAGACAGGTTGAAGACACGGCCAACGGCAGCCAGTAAGAGCGACCAGCGCCAACAAGGATAGCAAATAACACGATCAAAGGCTGCAGCTGATCGGGTCGATCTGCACGATAAGTTTCATTTAGCGCAGTGTCTGTAGGTAGAGCCTATGCCGGTGAGTTTCTTCAGAGTTCTGCAGGCCAGCCAAATATAGGTACCGTGTCGGCGCTTAGGATAACGGCGTTGTAGTCCAATCCGCGATCCAGGACAGCTGGGCCCCACAACATTGCGAAAATCACCAAGAGAGGCGGTTAGGCAGTTTCATACATTGAAGCCTGATCTCATGGCTTTTTTGCTTGATGGCCTGGGGGTTGGCGGCGCTTCCCGTTGCATGTTGCTACTAGGAAGAGGAAGATCCGTGTGTTATTGAACACTTGACTGGTTCAGAGCTGCAGATTCTGAGGAAACCTGGAAAAGTTAGCCACTGCTTTTTGACTCAAACTGAGATTCTAAATATATCTTCTCGTGAACAACAGAAGGAGGGCGGTTGAAGAGAAGTTCGTAGTTGAGTTGGGCGTTTGGATACTGGATGAAATGGATGGGCACGTGATGTCCAACGCCTAAAGCAAAGTAAATGAAGACAACCGGGTTTCTCAGCCGTTTAAACATCTTGACATTGAATGATACTGTTGGAATTCCACTCTTGGTGATCTGGTGTAAGTGACAGTAATGAATAAATGAACATGTACTGAGGCATCTGAATCAGGAGTGTCTCATATACCCGCCATGCCTTCTTCTCTGCTAGCACTCCTATTTGCTCCTGCAATGAGACGAGTCACTACAAGAAAGCTTGCTGTAGGCAGTACTATTTCTGAGGAGATAGATCATGTGAGGTTAAGCAGATCCACCTGCCACCCAGAGTGACATCTGCCCAACAATGTTTACCCTCCTGGACTGTGCGTCTCCCAGATGCTATTTCCGATGTCCGAGGCAATGAACAATATATTGCGCATCAAACATAGACAAGTGTGCTGAGTATTCCGGTAGTTTCCGCTTAGTGGTGGTATATTCTTCTGAGGCATTGGTATATTGCAGGCCAGACTGAGCAGCTACCGCAAGTCTCCAGCTGGAAAGACAGCGATTTTTATAACCCATTTATTCAAGTACGGAGCAAGCAGATTCACCTCAGATGCTTCTGTGGGGTCGAACACTGTAGTTGCATTTCCCTATCAGTTATGTTGTTACATAAAAGGCGTCAGTATTCATTGTCAAGACACACACCATGGTGACGTAGAGTAGCCTGGCAGACAGAGTCTGGGTGCACACTCACAACGATCTCCCCATTCTGCTTGTCTTGCATCCTCCTTCACGATCTGGCTTTATTCCCAGCAAGGGAATGTAAGTCTGGCATCAAAGTCCTCTGCATGCAATATACCAGGCCTGTCAGCCAGAACCTCCAGTGAAAGAAGTAAACTGATGCTGTAAAATCGCTCACTGGGTAATCACCATCACTTGAAGGAACTATCATTGAATGAATTTGCACAACGCAGACCGCCTCCGCAGCTTGAAAGATCAAACAGCCCCAACAGAGCAGTCGAGAAAGTGAGCGTATTCACTTCATCTCGCTTATTCTGGTCACGGGAACAACAGGTACAGATACATCCCCAACACCACGATGAACACAAACATGCACCCACAAAACTTGGATAGTATCCGTTCAGGTGAGCAAAGCCTGAACGCATCTATCCTTTCCCATTCCCACAAACACCATGCAGAAAGATATACTGACGAATCTCCTTGAAGCAGGAAAAGAAGGAGAAGCGAAGGGTGAGAACGAAGATAGCAACACGCGATCCGGCGCCATAAACCTCATACGTGCGCGGACTATCAGTCGCTCATCTACCCCGAAAAATCCCCAGGAGGGACTTGCTGCCGACAGCCAACGTGCAGTTTCGATTCCCCGGATCGTGGTGATGGAACCTCCCGGGGAAGCAAGGGCCAGAAGAAATAAGAAAAAGAAGGAAAAGTACAACAAGAAGAAGAAACTCCTGCTAGGTGATTCCGGAAGTGAGACGTCTGGGAGTCAGGGCTCTGAATTGAACAGTAAGCCTATCGCGGAATCGAATATTTTGAGTGATGCTTCGCCTCATTCAAAGGATATAGAGGACCTGTCACACTTTGGTCGTATGTCAGCCAAAGGGTTGTACTCTAGCGTTGCTGCAAGTAAAGAGAAAACCACACCAGACAACAATGTGTCCCAGGGATGCACAGTGGACAGTGACAAGAAGCGAACTCTGATCGAGTCACTGAGCAAGTTGGACATCAAAGGCAAGCAGCGGATCCAGCGAGTGAACGCAGGCACAGGCAACGATACCTTGGAGGGCATAAATACTCGGCGTGGTCCCCAACCAGTGGACAGGGCGAGAAGAACTGTGATCACTCCTTCATATGCCACGGTTCTTTCTGGAAAACGTGCTCTTCTCAATAATCCATCTGACACCCTCCAGGCAACCATGGCAGCATTCTCTAAAGTATCAGACGAGTCTTCCCCAAGACAGGATAGCAATTGTGAAGCACGCTCAAGCCATACAATACTGTCTCCTATTCCAGAATTCACCAGCAAAGCCGCTACACCTGGTAACCTGAACTCCCACAAACCACTCAGTCAAACGGACCCGGAAACCGCAGGCTCCAACTCAACCGACAATTCAACCTCCACCCCCGTGTCCACAGCATCCACTGGATGGAGCAACACAACGCTACAAACCAGCCCCCAGACAACCGAGCCATCTTCTGAGCCCTCCTCGTCCAAAGCAGCCAGTCATCGCCACGCCACCAGTCTTCACCACGCCCACCCCCTCCCACCCACACCCCCAAGCAGCACCCATTCCCACTCTCACTCCACCCCCAACGAGGCCATCACCAACGCCCAGGGCACCCTCTCCGCCCAGAAACCCGAAGGATTCTTCTGGCAGCTCGACAGTCACGGCTTCCCCTGTGCCAAAGCCCACTGCGAAAAACGCTGCAACCTCTGGGACGGAGCAACAGTGATCTGTCCGCGATGCGGGCCCTACTCCGAAGTACGCTACTGCAGTAGAGACCACCTACTCGAGGACATCAAACCCCACTGGCTCTACTGCGGCCAGATGGTAATCCAGCATCCATGTCGCGAGACCTCAATTCCCCGCCGAGTGCGCGTCGGTCCCCCCATGATCCCCTGCGTCCATCACTACGACATGCCAGAGCGTCATCGCCAAGCAGTCCACTTCAACATGAACTTCAGAGAAGGCGACTACTTCATTTTCACGGACTGGCTCGATTTCGTGACCGCCGGACTACCAGGTGATAAGACCGCGATCCGTTGCTCGAATAGAGTAATGTACGTGGTGAAGTTCGATGACGCCGCAGAGAAGGATCGTTTCCGTCGTGTTCTCGCGGCTTGTCTGTTCAGTAAGATCCTCCCCTCCCTTGCCTTCTCCCACAAAACACTCACTAATAAATTCCTTAATAAACAGTGACCATCGAACTCCCCGACCTAACTGACTACCTATACCGTCTCATCCGGGACAAACTGCGTCTCTCCAACGTCCCAAATCACATCGAACCCTCCCTGCGCTACCAATTCCTGCAAGAGTTTAATGTGACCATCCAGGAACGCATCACCGGCGCCCGCCATGCCTGCGAAACCGACTGGGACGGTCGAAACCGCCGCAATTGCCACGATCCAGTGTGTCGGAGTGAGTATCGTCGGTTGCTGGGATCCATTGGTGGCAGAGGGTACAGTCGGGTGATTGAGGCGTTGGAGTCCACGTATTGGATTCTGAGGGCCGCTAGGACGACGCACCCGACTGTTGGGGATGCGATGAAGCGTATGAGAGGAGAGGGGTATGAGGAGGTGGCGGACGAGGATAGACGGGTCTTCAGAAGGGGGGTTGGGTGGGATGGGGCGGGTACGGGAGACATGGAAATCGAGGGGTTTAATGAGGGGGATGAGATGTGAGTGAGTCGGGGAAGGGAGGGGAGGGGAGTCTGGGGGAGATGTTGGCCTGAGGATGGATGGGTTGCGAGGGTAGATGATGATGACGATGATGGGAGGATGAGTGGGATGGGATGCTGACGCGATGCTGGTCGTTGCGTTGTGTCTGTTCTACCGGTCTTTCTGTCCGACTTTCTTTCGGTTTTCTGATTGGGTCTGTTGCTCTGGAGCAGGAGATTCGAGGCAAAGACGAGGAGAGAAGGGGGCTCAGGTGGATATGATGTCTTGTCTGTGAGGTGGATATCGCTGTGTAATATGCCTGAGATACGATCATTTAGTTGTGGTAGATGTGGCATGAGTAAAGTGAGAATGTGTAATATGAGAAGATATTAAAGATGGATGATGAAATTGAATTCTGTGCCAACCAGCCCTTTTAAGGTCCTCTAATTCTTCCTATATAGTAAGTAGTGTTGAACCAGCCGTTGAAGGCAATATCAGATTCCCGCTCTATGCTAGCCCGTCACATTAATCAAACATGTTGAAACGCTCATGCAATATACTTCTTCAGACCGCGCAGCCTCTCCTTGGCCGTCTCCAGCACGTCGTCGTTCTTGCAGACAGCGAAGCGGAGATAGTCCTCGGCGATGTGCGCATTGGCGTCGGTGTAGAACTCGGTGGGAGGGATGGCTGCCACACCGACTTCGTGGATCAGGAACCAGCACAGCTTGAAGTCGCGAGGACGGCTGGCGACGTGAGGAGGGAATGGGTAGTCCTCGGGAAGCTTCACCGAAGACATGTTGGCAAGAACGAAGTAGCCTCCCTCGGGGTCCGAGTACTGCGAGCTAGGGTTAGTTCATGCTTTGAGAAATTTTGGCAATGGAATACTCACGGGAATCTTGAGCTCGTCAAAGACTTCGCAGAAACGCTCCATCTTCTTCTTCATCTCGGCCCGGCTCTCGTCCCAGAATCCGACCTTGTCGGCCTGCTCGAAGGCAACGGCGGCAGCCTCCTGCAGAGGAGACACACTGCTGTAGCAGATGCGGGTGTGCGCGCCGGCCACGTACTTGATCAAGTGCTCGGGACCGATGAGGTATCCTACTCGCCAGCCAGTGGCGTAGAAGGCCTTGCCTGCAGAGCCGACGGTGAGAGTGCGCTCGTAGAGCTCGGGAGACAGAGTAGCGATTCTGGTGAAAGGGACGTAGTAGAGGCGGTCGTAGACTTCGTCGGAAAGGATGATCAGGTTGTGCTTCACGCAAATCTCCCCGATGCGCTCCAGCTCAGCGCGCGAGAAGACCTTGCCAACGGGGTTGTGACTGTGCTTGGTCAGTTTGCTGCTTGACATGTCGTTTGTCACGCTACTTACGGAGAGTTCAGGACCTAAAGACATGGTTAGTTATAGCGATATAAATGAGGAAGTAAGGCACGCTTACAATCATCTTCGTCTTGTCGTTGATGGTGTTCTCCAACTCCTCAAAGTCTATCGTCCACTCGGAGGCGGGGGAGGTCCTCGTCGCGCCATCCTTGGGAGGGTGAAGCGGGACGTAGCGGATCTTTCCACCGGGCATCTCGATGTTGCTAATGTACCTTTGGGGCCGTCAGACGGGGTCGCATGGCAGGGATAAAGGTGACTCACTGGTCGAAGAAGGGTTCAAAGATGATCACCTCGTCGCCGGGCTCGATGAAGCCCATGAAGGCACTCAGCATACCTGAACAGTCCGTCAGCTACAAGTCGCGCACACAACCCAGTATGTCCCACCTTCATTTGCACCTGTGGTGATGGTAACCTCGGTGTCCGGGTTGAGAGCCCGGCCAAAGGAAGGCGAGTAGGCATCGGCGATAGCTTTCTTCAGACGCGGGCGTCCCTAATCGAAGGTGAGCAAATGTTCCGGTATGGGATGTCGCAGTCCGGTTGTACCTTGGTGGGGGAGTATTGGTTGCAGTCGACACGGTCAAGGGCCTCCTTGGCGGCATCCAGGGCGAACTTGGGAGGGTTGTAGCCACTGCGCAAGTAGAATCATGGTCAGAAACTCCAGTCATCCTGGTCCGGCGATTTAAAACTTACAAGAAACCCTGTCCCATGTTCACGATGGGCTGGACGGGGGAGGCAGCGGCGGCCTCATTGACAATGGACCTGCGATCCGGTCAGACAGTGAGAAGCAGTAAGGTAAGAGTTCGCGCGCATCGCACCAGACATCCTGTCTCTGGCCAGCGACTCTGGCCGCCGGTTTGAAAGGGTCGGGACGAGCCGTGGTGGCCGACATCGCTCGGAAGAGAGACTGGCGGGGTAGTGTGGGAGTGGACGAGGGGCGCAGGAAAACGGCCGGTGAGGGCTGGAATTTGATGGCTCTGGTAGAGAAAATAGCAGCGCGGTGGCCAGAGAACATAGAGGCAGCTGGGCCGAGGAATTGGAGGAGAGCGGGGAGAGGAGAGAAGGGAAGAGAAGAGTGGCTCGAAAAGTAAGTAGCGAAGAGAGTCAGATCAGATCCGGGGGAGACAAGAGCGGGACTCGCTTTGACGGCCGCCAACTATAATTGCGTGCTTTGCTGGGTCGGACAGCGCTGATAAGATACCGTTCCACAAGTGTTGATTGAAGACTGTCTCGACACGAGTTCTCTGTCAAAGAGAAGTTTTAGTGCTTGGAGGACCAAAGGGGATTAATTGACAGTCCGCCATTCTCCGGCATGTGCATCCCTACCTCAAGTACAGCAATGGCAGTAGCAGTGACAGTGACAGTGACAGTAGTAGACAGAGATGGGCTCCGATGGGCGCGATAACGGTGAGTTCGGAACGGACCTCGGTAAGGAGTGCGCGAATGTCAATTAGACGTTATTAGAGACTGTCGACGAATCAATTGATGCAGTATGAATGAATGCTTGCTTGCTATTGACTGGTGTGATGTTCTGGTTGTAAATCAGACCGAGCATCGGAAGTGACGCATTCAGTTCCTCAGGCACCCAGGCACAACAGACTCCCACGATTCTTAGTCAGCCGGCTTATCGCGCGCGTCGGAAACGCGTTTCACCACTTAATCAGAAAGTGATTTGATAGCTCCATTTCCCATGGCCGCCACTGGGAGCTGCTCTGCACCCAGCTTGCTGGCAGCGTTTTTGTTATAATTCTAATGACTATCCGCCATCATGGTGTCTTGCCCCATTTGCAGCCAGTCCGTCTCCTCCCTAAAGATTAACGACCATATCGATTCCGACTGCCAGAACTTTATCGAAGAGCCGTCCAGCTCGGGCGAGACTCCCGCCACTCAGAAAGCTCCGGTTCCCAGCTTCTTCCAGCCAGCCTCTGCGAAGAAAGCTACTGCCCAGTCTGCTCAAGCAAATGGACAGCGAGATCAGAATGTGGCGTCTTCCCCCTTGCGCAACGTCAACGGTAAACGGGCGACACCGCACGATGCCAACTCGTCGGAAGTATACGAGAGATCTGGGCCTAGCCAACCGTCGAGTGAGCCAAAGAAACCCAAGGTTAGTGCCTTGCAAAGAGCTGCACCGTTACCGGAACGCATGCGTCCCCGGACTCTTGACGATGTCTGTGGGCAGGAGCTCGTAGGGCCAAACGGGGTGCTTCGGGGGCTGATCGAGCAAGATCGGGTTCCCAGCATGGTCCTTTGGGGTGGTCCAGGAACAGGGAAAACAACCATAGCTCGCGTGATTGCTTCGATGGTTGGTAGTCGCTTTGTCGAGATCAACAGCACCAGTACCGGGGTTGCCGAGTGCAAGAAGATCTTCTCCGAAGCGAAAAGCGAGCTCAGCCTGACGGGACGGAAGACCATCATCTTCTGTGACGAGATTCATCGATTCTCCAAGTCCCAGCAAGATGTTTTTCTGGGGCCCGTAGAAAGTGGGCAGGTTACGCTCATTGGTGCCACCACAGAGAACCCCTCCTTCAAGGTGCAGAGCGCTCTGCTGTCCCGTTGTCGGACATTCACTCTGTCTAAACTTACAGACGAGGATATCAGATCGATCCTTCATCGGGCACTACGGCTGGAAGGACCGAACTATTCGCCTTCGGAACTGGTCGATGAGGAATTGATTGATTACTTGGCCAAGTTCGCCGATGGGGACGCGCGGACGTCCCTCAATCTACTTGAGCTCGCCATGGATCTGTCGAAACGGCCTGGAATCAACAAGGATGAGATCAAGCGGTCATTGACGAAGACTCTTGTTTATGATCGGGCCGGAGATCAACACTACGATACCATTTCCGCCTTTCACAAGTCTATCCGGGGAAGCGATCCGGATGCGGCGCTGTACTATCTTGCTCGCATGATCCAGTCTGGGGAAGACCCGCTTTACATCGCTCGACGTCTCATCGTCGTCGCGTCAGAAGACATTGGGCTTGCTGACAACAGCATGCTCACGCTAGCCATCTCGACCCACTCAGCCGTGGAAAAGATCGGCCTACCGGAGGCACGGATCAATCTGGCACATGCGACGGTTGCCATGGCACTCTCAAAGAAGAGCACGCGGTCGTACCGCGCCCTGAACAATGCATTTGCTGCGCTAGCAGAGCCCGGCGTTGCTGGGTTACCGGTTCCCATCCATCTGCGCAATGCGCCGACTCGGTTGATGAAGGAGCTCGGATACGGCAAGGAATACAAGTATAATCCTAACTATGTCGATGGGGAGGTTGTCCAGGATTATCTTCCGGAGCAGATTCTGGGACGGAAGTTTTTGGAGGATCGCGATCTAGGGCATCAAGTGGACCCAGATCTTATGAGGTAGACTATTATGTCGCTGTCAATGAGGCAGAACAAACCTGCCAGTGCCATTGACCCACCCTCAGTCATCACACACACAAGGCCACGCATAGCCAGCCTGTGCCTCATGGCATGAATATGCTTACACAAGACCACCTCGATCGCCTCGAACGTTGGCAGTATGCCAATGCCAGATCTGGGACGTAGGTCGGTCTGCACGGTCAGACGGATACCATCAATATCCATGTAGGGGTATCCAGAAATATCTTGCCCCTGTCCAGGCACGGGGAAGTGCACATCGGGCGATTGGATGTCAGTATGAGTAACCATGGAGGCCAGCAGATACCAGGGGTACATCTAGGAACAGCCTCACACATACTTTCCTACCGAGAACAATAGACCGTGGTAGAAGAAATGGATTTCATGTGACAGACCATAGATTTCTACAATTTAGACTTCTAGTCTACCAAGAAACAAGTACAAGATAGGATGTTCAAACCAAACGTGTTCCAGGTTAGCCTCCGCCGCCAATCAAACCGCCGCCTCGCGTCTCCATCGCGTCTCCACCTCCATCTCTCTCTCCTCTTCCTCCTCCAGCTCTTCATCTCATCGCCCAAAGTCTCCAGATTGTTTACCCACTGCACCACCACCCCCTTACAACCTGTCATTTTAGCCATCGCAAATCCAATCCCACTCTCTCAACTCCTTGCACCAACAACACCCCTCCATTGACTCTCACCCTCCACCCCCCACCGACCGACCGCGGTCGGGGTGCCCTCTCACCGACCTAAACCACACCACCAACAACCAAACACAATGGCTTCCTCACAACCCTTCGGCACGCGCTCCTACGCCTCCGGAAAACTCCCCGATCGATCCATCAACGCCAACGCCCTCCCCTTCAGCGCCTCCTCCTTCTCGCGACACCGCAGTCTCGCCGGCGCGCCCGGCGCTCCCACAGCCGGCGACTTCGCCGACCCCAAAGCCAGCCAACAGGCACCAGGTCCATCGCAAGCACCACCGCAACCACCCATGCATTCACAACCCCAACAAGACACGAATCCCTTGAACCGATTGACAGAGGAGCAACGCGAAGAGATCAACGAAGCTGTAATTACCCCCCCTCCCTCTCCAAGTCACTCCCCGTCAACAACAAACACATACATACATACATACATACATACACTGCATCCTAGACGGAACAACACATGATTAACAAGATAATAAAAAAAACAGTTCACCCTCTTCGACCTCGACCGCGACCGCCACCTCGACTACCACGAACTCCGCGTCGCCTTCCGCGCCCTAGGCTTCACCCTCCCCAAACAAGAGCTCATCTCCCTCCTAACCACCTACGGCGTCCCGCGTCCCCAAGTCCAACAACAGCAACAACAGAACGCCGGCAACCCTCCCCCACCCCAGCAACAACAGAACCGCGCGGCAGCAACTACGAACCCCCAACACCCGAGTAACCTGCTCATGCCACTATCGGCCTTTCAGGCCGTCACGGCGCTGAAGATACTGGAGCGGGATCCGCGCGACGAGATCCTGCGCGCGTTCGAACTGTTCGATGAAGGCGGAAAGGGGTATATTGATTTGGAGGATTTGAGGCGCGTGGCCAGGGAATTGGGTGAGACGGGCCTCGAGGAGGAGGAGTTGAGGGCTATGATTGAGGAGTTTGATTTGGAGGGTGTCGGGGGTGTTACGCGCGAGGCGTTCGTCGGGATTTGTTGGCAGTGATTTTTTTTTTTCCTTTTCTTTTATACCTCTCTTTTTTTAGTTTTTTCTATTATTGGATATGTATGTGGATTGGGTGGAATATCCCGGTTTGGTGGGTAGATGGGAGATGGATTGTTTATTCTTGTTTACCTGACTGAGTTGTTGTCCTTGGTGTGTCTGTTTTCTTGTTGACGTCTAATTATTTACCACTCGTACTCTGCATGGACTGGCGCCGATTGATTTGGGATTTTGACTATACAATGAAAATAGGATTATCAATATCGATTCCCTTCCTGACTACTACCATGCTATGGTCACTGTTACTTACTATACCTACAAGACGGGAGTAATATATAGTTCGAAGAGTTCATTATACTACACGGCAAGAATACATACATCAGACCCCCAATCATACATACCACGGCCCGTCTAATATGGGCAAGAAAGGGAGAGAAGGTAAACAATCAAAGAAGGAAAGAATGATTGATTGAGCAAAACGTGAACCGACACCGAGCACTGTATCCATTGATTGTAAGTTTAGAAGAAACACCCAGACCCCATGTAGAAAAGAACAACAAATCCAGCACCAAACCAAAACTCTAAAACACGCCTCCACTCCAAGACAAAGAATGTTAAGGTCAATTACTTCAATCAATCAATCGTTACAAAATGCAACGCTAGTGGCTGCAAGAATCATAATGCATACTAAATCGCACGGAAAGTGTCTCGTCAATCAAGCGTACCGCCCTTGGGGAGACATATATTGCTGTACTGGCTGGCCAGCTACACCTGGATAGGGTGGTGGCGGCTCGTTCCCTAATCCTTGATAGCCTCGCGCCGGCCACTGGTTCATGGGCGGCGGCGGGGGAGGTCTAGCGCTGGGCCAGGGTCCGCAGGGCACTGGACGTGGGACGGGTTTGGGGGCGCGGGCTTGACGACAGCGGTTCACGATGCAGGTCATCAGGGCTAGAAGGATGAGGGCGCCTACGGCGCAGGCGACACCGATTACGATGCCCTTGTGGTTCTTGATCCAGGATTCGACGTTCTGGCCCTTGCAGTCGCCGTTGCTGCAGTAGCCGCCACTGCCGCAGGGAGTGCCGTCGAGGAAGTTTTGGTTGACGCTGTAGCACGTGCCGATCTTCGGGGAGGTGCAGACCAGTTCGCAGGAGGAACTAAAGGAGGAACATGCGTAGGTGTCGTTGCTGTGGAGGAGACTGCCCATTACACTGCGGCACTGGTAGTCCCGGCTGGTACATTGGCCACTCGCGCAGGCGAGTCCCGAGCCGCTGCTGCCGCAGCTGGTGCCGTCCTTCTTGAACGAGTCGGTAGGACAAGTGCTGGAGTTGCCGCTGCAAGTCTCTGCAACGTCGCAGTCGCCGCGACTGGCGCGACATACTGTCCCGGCTGAGGAGAACTGGCAGCTTGAACAGCAGCTGTCGTTGGAGTCATCACACACAGCTCCTGACTTGAACTTGCATGTCTTCGCGTCGCAGCAGTTGTTGTCGCCGCAACCATCTTCCCCGCCACAGTCGCAGTCTTCGCCGGACTCGACGATTCCATTGCCGCACTGGCTGCCAGTGTAGGTGGTGACGTCGCGGTTTGCGGAGAGACAACTGGACTTGACGCTGTTGCGGCCCAGCGCTGCGCAAATATTTCCGATAGTGCATTGCGAGAACGAGGTGATGTCTGTACCAGTTGTGGGGTTCATAATGTATTTTGCGTTGGCATCGCAGGTGCTTGAGGTCAACGGACAGCATTGAGACGAGGCTTCAAGATCCTGCGCACAGGTCTGAGAGTCGCAGTCGTGGACGGCGCCGAAGGTGTGGCCAGATTCATGAGCAAAGATTTGCCAATCCGAGCCGGAAGACCGAACGACAACATTAGTTCCACTGACCGTACTGGAGCCATCCGAAGAAGCATCGCTATTACAGAGTTGGCCCAGCCAGGACAGTCCGACCTCGTTGCCCGTCGCGCAATCGCTCATCAAGGTCCAATAAGCATTGTCGTCCGATTGCTCACCGCGCCACTTGGAGAACAGATCCAGTCGGGAGGTGAGATTTCCGCTGGAGCAGGGCATGTTCCATGCCGTGGCTGCAGGCGGGTTGTCGGGGCACGAGCTGTCGGTGATAGTCAAATTCCGCAGCCCAATTGTAATGTTAAAGGACTTTTCGTAAACATTGGACGCGCTGTTCACAGTACTGATGACCCATTCCTTGGCGGCCGTCTCGTTGTTAAATGAGCCGGTAAAGGAGCAGTCCGTTGCAACGCCAATCAGAGCCACCTGCTTCGTGCTCGGACAGCCCGAAGTATCGCCAATGGTCGACGCCAGATTGACACCACCAGCATTACCGGACACACTTCCGATATCAGACTGGCGCTTGTTGAGTCCAAACAAAGAGTTCAACGACATCACTCCCCACGCATCCGGTTCCGCCTGGACGTACGGTTGTAGCACAGGGTGGTTGGGGTTGGTGTTGAAGCCGAGCTGATCGGCTTGACACGAGGTTGATCCGAGCGACGACCGCTTCAATTCCGTATGTAGACGCACCATATCCGAATCCCGGTAGAAGATCATATAATCCTTCGCTGAGTCAGGAAGGTCGACATCCACGGGGCGTTTCTTCTCCATGTATGCAGATTTCAGCTGAACGTGATGGTTGTCGCCGTCGACACTGAAGACTCCCTCAAACAGTGGCTCCGAACCATCCTGCTTCAAGTAGATCCGCGCCCATCCGACCGGATCCCACATGCCTTTTCCTCGCCCGAGTAGACTCCTCCCCTTGAAGACCTTGTGCTCATGTCGGGCAATGGGCTCGTGGCGTCGCACGTTCCCGTCGGCGTCGAGGTACTGTACGGATGCGTCTTCTGCCAGAATGTCGTGGTTGGGTTCCAGCTCCAGCTTTATCCGCTGGTGCGTGTCATGAATATTGAAGGTGATGTCAAAGTGGTCAAGGTGATCGACCCGCTGCGAGGGCGTCATGATGGTGGGCTGGTCAAGCGTCGAGACATGACGAATGGCACTTGGAGCTTGTGATCGAGCTGCATTCATTCAAGTTAGAACAGACCCATGCGCCGGATATCGCCGAACTAACCTTGTACACTGGCCCCAAAGAGTGATATAGCACTTGCAATGAAGGGCAGGGAATAGGTAAGAAACCGCATGGCTGTCAGCGAGTGAAGACAGCCGATGGGAGAGGTTGAAGGTATGCGCTGAACGAGTGTGCTGGCATCAAAACAACAGCGAGAGATCCGGAAAGTCAGGGTTAGCAGAGCCCTTCGGTCCACAGCATCAGGCAGCGACGAAAAGTGGAAACGAATGAGTTCCCTTTCACGGCTGAATGGACCCGGTCGAGATCTTGGCTCGGGATCCGGTCATGTATGACGGATCACTCCGGAGATTAAGCTGCACTGGAGGGGGTTTTTATTCTTCCCCGGATCGTCGCAGTCTCGCACACCTTCAGAGGAAGTATACTGGAGGTGTGGAGAGGGAGAGGGAGAGGGAGAGAGAGCGACGGCGCAACGACCGGAGTGAGCAGTGAGACTCACTTGACGAGGGAGTGAAAGGGATTCTTCCAGCTGGCGAACCAAGGAGGTTTGGCTTGGCTGAAGGCGCAGCCGCCTTGGCGGGCGGGCGGAAATCTGGAATGAATGGCGAGAATCTCCCTCCAAGCAGTAAACAAATACACGTTGATCCAGAGGGCAAACAGGAGCGAGTCTAATTCAACGAAAGTGAATTGAATTGAGAGAATAGAAGATGATGGATGGGAAAATAAAGTGGAGGGGGTGGAAAAGGCGGAGGATAGTAAGTAGCGAGGGACTTGAGGAGAGGGATTGACAGGGTCCGGTTCAGGGATTGCAACTGGACCCCGAATCAACAACAACAACAACAAACCATTTGATGGTCGATTCATCGCTTCTCCGCTTTTGGTTGTCGCGGACACCCGCCAAGCCTCCCGGCGCTTACGGATCATCGCTCATTATTCTGTTGTCTTACTATAACTAAAGAGCAATAACCACTCATTCCTGGTGTCAAAACTCTTCAACCATGGTGTCATCATTCCCCCCGCAGTTTAGCGCCCGGCAACCCCAAATCACGGTCAGTCTGGAACCAAATGAAATGCTTCGTGTGCCTCTCGGGCGAAATGCGGAATCATGGCGCCGCAGACGCCACATGCTACACAAGCCATGCCATCTTCTCCATCGCTCTCTTCCCATGCAGCTTCCTCCACTTCGTGCTCAGTCACGACTGCACCGTCTCCACGATGAAGGGGTTCCTGAGGGTGAATCATCGTGCCGCTGTTACCCGTAAAGACAGGCACTGGCCCAGAAATGGCCAAGGCATCGTTGCGCCGCGACCCTTGGCTCTGAAACATCTTACCAATATCGCGTCCACTGCTTTGCTTCCGTTCTCCAGCTGCCTCTACCAGATTCGTCACAGCGACATTCATTAACCGCAGGTTCCACCCAGATCTCTCCGGGTGAAGCTTGCGGAACATGGACAGTAGCTGATCTTGTACCAACCGTTCGGCCAGCGCGTCTACACTCTCATCAAGATGAAAGACATAGCCGGGCAGCGGCGCTGAACGAGAAATTCTCCCCCCATGGTAAGCTTGCGCATCGTCTGTGGCAGATCGGGGCCGGGTGGACAGCCGCAGGGTCCGTGGATGCGCGAGCCATCGGACTTTAGATACTGCAACTTGGTTTGCTGCTGTACTGTCAGTCTCCTTGTCCTTCTCTGTCAGATCCGTCCGCATCCGACGAAGTAAGCTCCCTGTGAGCGAGACTAGCTCTTTACGGACGCTGTCGAAACTGTCCAGGCGACCGTAGGAATCTTCAATGCTTATCTGCGTGGGCAAATCTCCTGCCTGGACGACCTCGGTATTGTCTACGCCATGCAGCAGTCCCCAGACCCGCACCCCAATATCTCGGGGTGCCCCTGGACCCCCTAAGATCCGACTGAGCAGGGACGGGCCCATGCCAGGCAACAACCGGATGTCTCTCACAGTCACCTTGTCAGAGTCGGCGGTGTCGTCGGCGGTCACCGCTGGGACTGAGTGAGCGCCTTCATCAGCAAGATAGTGACAGAGTTTCCGCGTCAGTTTGGAGCCGATCCCAGGGATCTTCCTGATTTCGTGCGCATCGAGAAAATTCAGCACATTACTGGGCGCAGCAAGCGTCGGTGTAGTATACGGGGGAAGCAGCGTAGTCTGGTTGTTTGGTTTATGAGTGCTGCCTGCGAGCTTGGCGAGAAGCTTGGACGTAGAGATCCCCACTGTGGCAGTGTACCCTTTCTGCTGCTCCAGTTGACCACGAAGGTAGCCTGCGAGGTGCGAGGCCACCAGCAGTCGAGTGTAAAGCCAGGCTGATGCGTCTTCGTCAGCTGTCGCAGTCGTCGAGGGCGCAGCGGCAGCGATCGTATTCGAATCAGCTGGGTAAGTGGAGCCACATAATCGGGTGGCATCATAAGTGAAACCCACGGTGGGTTCGTGCCGGTCCAGATGAAAGAATGAATGTTCCAGATCATAGCGATTTAACAGATCGACATTGTAGTTGATCATCTCGGTGACATCCAAGAACAACTGCAGGCGGGTATTAGATGGGATCGCGAAGAAGCTCACTGCAGCCCAGGAAACCGTGGAGAACCACCTCAACGGGCAGTCCTGACAATAAAATCAAGTTTGCAGCAGAGTCGAAACTAGCAATACATACCTCATCAAATCCGAGTCTTTCGACCTTCTCCCCCCAGACGAAGGACCTAATGTAGAGGAACAGATCCTTGGATGCATCGCGAAATCTAGACAGATCTTCACCTAAGACAATGACGACGTCCGGGCAGATCTGTTTGGCCTCTTTGATCAACTGGAGCTTGCGCAACCCGCGCCGGCGGGCCTCATAGTTACAGGTGACTACAATCTGTTTCTGCTGGACGGCCAACGGCAGGGATTTCAGCACCGGCTGCTCCACCTCGAAGACCGAGGCGTAGAAACAATCATAATCCTGTGGGGATTGCAGAGAGGCAGTTAGCTAACGGCCGAATGGAGTCACGTTTCCCGCAGGGTTTTGAAAACGTTATTTTTATTTGAGTGCAGTATGGATCACTATATGGGTAGCGTGACTGACAAAGTGGAGGATGATTCGGCGGTCGTCTCTGGATGGTAACACAGCCATGAACTATGTAGCATCGACTGAGAGAGGGCCAGTGGGGATCAAATTCCAGGCAGACCTCAACGGAGAGTTGTATTCCGTCTGCTACCTTGTAACTGAGTCCCTACTGTATCCGTAATAGGGAGGCGAAAAGGATGTTGCGAAAACCTCCGGTGGATAATATTACCGGAATGCAGAGGGCTGGAAATGGGAGCTCAAAAAGGGAATTTGTCCGTCCGCACCTGTCATCAAGTAGCGAGAAGAGATTCGATAGTCAACCGAGATAGATCCATAGATAGTAGGATAGATAGTGCGATGCAACATTCTGTTTAGTGCGAATTGAGGCATCCGGCTGATTGGGCAACAAACCTGCGGCTGGGATGTGGCTGGTGCAGTGGTCACGCTTCGGTCGCTGGGTGGCTGGGGTAAAGCCCATTCAGACTTTCTGGTTGGTTGGACCCTGGCTGACTCAGTAAGTGCGTGACCATGACACTAACCCAAAGAGGTGTTATTTCCCCACAGTCACTCGTGCAGGGACTATCCCATTTTTAGAACACCGCGTCAGCTGCAGTTTTGATTGGTCCGTGCCAGATGCAACTGCCTTACGTAAGGGCGGTACTGTGACGCGCACCTTTTCCTTTTTTCCTGCTCCAGTTCAATTGCTATAAATAACGTCTCTCAACTCGTGCCCGGGAACGACAACCCAGCAATACTCCAACGTGGAAATGAATCAAAACATACACTCATGGTGGATGTGAGTCAACACTAGGCAGATTTCTAGCAGAGACATGGCGGAGATCAGACTGCTGGAGGAATGGATCGGCCGCGTGTCTCGCCCGGGCGTCGATGGCCAGAAGATGGCAGATGGAATGGAGCCGTTGGAAAGATCGGCCATTCTCGATCATCGGAAAACTGGGGCCCGTCGGCGGCGGCGTCAATAGTTGGGTTATAATTAGATGGGGAGCGACTAGCCGGTCGGTGGTCCAGCAGAGGAGCACTGAGACTGTGAAGAGTAGACATGCCTGAATGGAGATGCTGAGGGTACGATGGAGTCCAGCGACTCCATCCAGCCCGGCTTGGATGGTTGGATGGTTGGATGATAGGATGGCGAAGACTCGTAAATTTAGCACTTTTGATTAACAGTAATTTCTTAATTTCTTAATTTCTTTAATTTCCCTCCCCCGCGGCTAAAAGATATTTTTATTTTCATTTTCATTTAACCCAGTTTCCTCTTGGACTGACTTTGATCGATCTTCTTCTGCCTATCCTCTGGCTTATCCTCTGGTTCCAACAGTCATTTCTTCAACATTCCAACAAACCATGAATCGCAGATCATTCTAAAATAAGGCGACCCTCGTACAAGTGCCCACGTCTCTTGTCTGCTTGGTTCCAGTGCTTGGGATCCCACCTGGTCTTATTTCAGAACCTTATCGTCCCTGGATTTAACGCGCTTGGAGCCGGTTGTTGCACTTCTGCATCTTGAATCACACTCCGGTGCTGTTGGCAAGGCGCTACTGCTTCTGCTTCGTCTTTGCTGCTTCTTGGTGCGGGGCCTTACTGTTGCATCCCCCAAAGACCTCCTCGCTTTCTGATCTCATTTCGTTTATCCTCCTCTCCTTCCTCTCTTCCTCCCTCTTCTTCATCTACTGCTCCCTCCGCCGTTGTGTTTGGGGGCCTTCGCCATGCTCGCAACCCCCATGACCCCGCAAGCATCCCACCCTTCGTCGTCTTCTTCCTCCAACATGGTCTACAGTCTGGCTTCGACTGCGACCACCAACTCCTCCTCTTCCTCCTCATCCGCCAGTTCCACACAACAAACTACGATATCATCCCGACCGAAGTTGACTCTCCAAACTTCCTCTCTTCCCCGAACCTTTGGCACATCGTCAACGGGGTTGTCCCTCTCTCTCGCAGCCGGAACGGCATCTCCAACCGTCCGCAATACCTTCAAAAATGCCTACGAGGTCACCGGCCCTTCATCCGCCACTGCCTCTCCGTCATCCAAACACCCATCCAACCAACGTTTCAGCAAACCATCCTCTCCATTTACCACACACAACCCATACCAACTCCCACTGGGGGTGAAGAGTATCTTGCGAAACTCGCCGCTCGAGCCGACCTGCCGCCGACGGGCTGGATCGGTGGCCACTACCGGGCCGAATGGTGGACCGAGCGCGCGCCGCGTCTTCTTTCCCGCGAAGAAGCAGGTCAGCTATCGCAATCCCTTGGAAGAGGAAATTCAGACCGTGCACTACACGGCACGCCACTCTGATTTACACGATGATCCCGAGCCTGCACTCCAACCTCAACCTCAGCAACCAGAGGTGACCTCATCAGATGAGGACTCGGATTCCAACGCCAGCGGGTGTCCCTCGGATTCCAGCACTTCCGAAGATGAGCCCGAGGCCGGCTTAGGGAAGAAGACATCGTCTCCCATCAAGCGGAAGAAGCGCAAACATTCCAATGCCGAGAGGCAAGTCCGGGCAGTGGCCTTGATGGACGGAATCGCGGGACCCAGCAACCCAGGCAGCCTGACACCACAAACGCCGCGCAGGAAGCGAGCTAAACGTCGCTGTGAATGGCGATGGACCCTGGGACCATTAGAGAATCGTGACAAATTGCTTCATCCCGTCCAGGATGAGACGGGCTCAACATCATCCGTGTCCCAGCCTGAAACGATACCGCACGAGTCCGAAACGGAGACCCCGTCCTCCGACCCTCCGCTGTCCAGCGCCAGTACCACACTCTACCACTCCAGCCCCAGTTCATCTGTCTCGTCGGATGTGGAAACGGAAAATGACGAGTGGCAGACGCACACCACCCACGAACTTGAATGCGCACATGCCGATCAATGACGATAACCCATGCTTGGTTACGAACCCCCTTGCATTGATGATCACGAATTATGCATATAGACGGCAGATGAACCACAGCATACCCCATCCTACTTTCAGACATATTGCTAGATAGCTATTATTGATTTGGGATTTTCTTTTCTTTTCTTTTTCTGGTCGGGAAGCTCTACCTTGAATGTCAGGACGTTCATGCCATTTACATTCACCGACCAGTCAACTTTTTACACTTCTGCCTACTTTCTCTATAAATATTTTCATATCTTCTTCCAATAATATATATTTCTATGCATGTGAATGCAATCTGACCAGATGATCACATGGTTACATTCCACTTTCACCCGTGTAATGCTTGTGCTACGTGCCTGCCGTATGTTCATGCAGCTCCATGCTTCATACTAATCATAAATACGACGGTCGATCTCTGACGCATTCCCCATCCTATGCTTAATATAGCAACAATAATAACATGCGGAGACCCCATGATATTAACTTTCGTGGATCGCCATTGCGTCATAATATCCAACTAATCTATCTAGTAATAGCTGCATCGACTTGCAGATCATCTTTTAGATAGATCTTATGGTGCCAGCCAGCCAACCCTCAGACTTTCAAGAGAAAGAAGAAAGAAAAGAAAAGAAAAAGAAAAGATTAAAGAGAAATAGCTCATAGGCTATTGCCAACTCGGTCAGAGCTGCAGACTGTTTGTCGAGTCAGGACAGAAATGTAATAACCATGATCTCGAAAGTATCGCCTTCTCTTCTCTCGCATATTATGATAATGAATTCTATGATGTTGACAGGAAAATCCAAGATTAACGTAAGACTACGGGTGACAGATATCCAAAGGCAAATTAAAGAATAGAAATGGTAACAATCCGCGAAGAAGAAAAACCACGTGCAGCACCTGACCTGCTAAGCAGCAGCAGCGGGCCGCTCCATCATCTTCTCCTACATACTTTCTCCAAAACTTTGAACCTCCATTCTCGATTATTCCCCCAAGGCGATCTCTAGTATCGTAGGTCCAACCTGCATAGGTTCAATCGAAAGGTGAACGAATGCTGTCATGGCTGGCGTTCATGCGGATCTGCGCAGTACGACAGGGACTGTTTCCTTCGAGCCAATAGCAGAATGCTGCGCATTTCGAGATCTACCTCGATGTCCCGCCAATTGCCCCCCGACGTAACAAAGGCGCGCCATTCTTCGTCGCCCTCGATCATATCTCGCATGAGAATGTCCACGCAGTCGCCATATCCGCCTTCTTTTACTGATAAAGCTTCAGGATGTGCCTTGCGCCATTCATGAACCATACTCAATGTCCGTATCAGGGTCTCCAGACTACCAAGGGTCTGCGATGCGCCCATTTTTATAGCTCCTGGCGTCTCCAACACGCCAGGCGCATTATCATCATCGGCAGGAATACTCACCAACCTTGTAAGGTCGGTCCAGTTAGCAAAGTCCCGGCACTCAACGGGATACATCCATTCATTGTTGAACACTGATATCCCTGGTTGAGGCCAGTACGGTACCAGATCCTCAAAAAAGAACTTTTGCACGGCCCGATTAACCTGCGGTCGTCCCATTACAACGTAATGGCCCCAGTTCCAGAAAACAACGGTACCCCCCGGCCGGACTATCCTTGTCATCTCCTTCCAGAGCGGCTCAGGGTCGAACCAATGTGCTGCTTGACAGGCGATCACCAGATCAACCGCCTTCGATGCAATGAAGGGAAGAGACTCTGCATTGGACTGGTGATATTGAATATTACTGACGTCCGATTTCTGAGCTCTTGCTGCTTGCTTCAGCATGCCCTCGGAGGAATCAACTCCAATAACAGATTTGAAATGGGCGGCCAGTGCGCGAGCCACAGCCCCGTGGCCAGTGCCCAGGTCGACACATAGTTCGCGGGGAGACTGATGGTAGGCTAAAACGGTGTCGTACAGAGCCTGAGGAGGGGAAGGGCGATGTGCAGCATATGCTGAACAGTCATAGCCTTCATCCCTTGCGGAGCAGAAAAAGGCTCATCAGTATGCCGGAAAATATAGACACCCAGGGAAAAACTCACGAGAAACTGGCCATTGGTTGGACGTGATGTAATCTTTCGCAATTATATTATCAAACTTGAGTCCTCCATTTTGGTCTTGTCACCGAGGACTAGAAGTGATTTATATACTAACTCAAGGCGTGGATATCACACCGCCATACCTTCCTACGGCTCTTATGCTTAAAGTATGCAGCAATGTGCGCAAGCCTCATGAGATAACACGACTGTTCCACATACCCAGTTGCCATGACAATTCCACTTTTCTTTTAACGTTTCTAGCTGGATCTGGTCCAATAAAGGTCCTTATCTGAAACAGTAGGATTCCCGAGTGACGCTGCATTTCGGCCTCTTCCGCGGCGATACCTCTCCACGGAAGCCACAAACTGTCTCAGCCTTACTGGGACTCATTTCCGCTTAGGGAATATATTGATGTCACAGACTTTCGGCTAAGACCGAGGATTCAAGCCCTACATATGTTTATTATGTGGACCACGCCTTTAGAATGGCGAATGTGTATCGCGATCAGTTCAGTTATCTTTCAGACTCCCGTGGCTATCATCATGCTGTTGCAGACCGTTGGAATAGGACCAGATACAGTGGGAAAGGATGGATCGAGAGACTCAACTACATGGCCCCATAATGATCGGCAAACCTTGAGACATCTTAGCATGACAGGACCCCTACTAGGAAACTCCCTATCGCCCAATCGGCGACGGGCGCTCTTTGAGACAACTAAACGAGTACTTGCCAGTGCGATAAACGATGGGATAGCCTGCGCAACCCTTGAGTCATGTAACAGCACCAGTCTGTTGTTGTGCTTACGCAGTCCCGGAGGAGCCATGGCCAGTGATGAAGACGCTTGGATCATGTGCGGTATGCGAGCTGACGCATATACCGAAACAGACGGTGGCAGGGTTCTTGGGTTTGTGCGGGCGGACGATCTCCTGGGGCCTGTGCTAAGCCGGAACCTCAACGGCGAGATATCAGAGGAGCTTGACCCTGGTGTGATTTGTCGCGTTATCTGCCGCTGGCGTTCTCGCCAAGATGAAGAACACGCGGTAGAGACGCTTGTAAAGGAGGTACGGAATTCTGCAAACAATCAAGGTGAACCAACAACTATGTTCAACCTAAACGATTCAAAGATAAGAACTAATGCTGAGACAGAGAAATGGTTGGATATGGCCAGTACTCTGCCAATCCTACATCTTAAGTCTTCACTATGTGATTGGGAGCAATCAGTCGTATCTGGACATCCTACACATCCGGTACTACAACATTTCCCCCACCTTGCCCTACCTACTCGCCTTAGACTTGAAGTTAACCTTATCGAAGTTACACCGAGCCTGCCTTGCCCAGTCACCCCTAGATCCCATCATGCCCGATGATATCCCTTATCTACTAGAACCCGAACTATCATTCCTCTGCGTTCCAAAGTCAGACATGAAAGTCTTCGGGCCATTCCAGTCACTTCTGGACCCACTCATAACATCTCTTGGGATTCCCAAGCCTGATGATACAATCAATGAGATCGTAATACCGTGTTTCAGTCGCCAACTCCCAGCTATCACGCCACTATTCCCGAAAGCACGCATTCTGAGGGCTGTCCAAAACCGTTGCCGAGCACAACTCTCCATGCGGACTGTCTCTATGATGCCAGACGTGGGCGGCTCCCCGTTGCACCTGAAGCTATCACTGAACTGTCAAATCACATCTCGTCTGAGGACCATATCCCCCGATGCTGCAGCCTTGGCACCCGCAGTTGGGAAGATTCTTCAAAGTTTACTTCCCCAGGATTTATGGATATTTGAAGAAGCAGCTTCCCTTACAGGCGCCCAGGAAGACTTCGATAAAGCCTGCCAATTAACATGCATTATCCGAAAGAGCCCAGAAAAATGAGCGGCGGACATAGGGGAGACACTCATTCCCGTTGCGGGACTCCTGCAGAAACCTCTGAACGACGATCGAACGTACATGGAGATTATATTCGGTCTTGATGACTTGAAGGAAAAGCAAGCCTGGTTCAGAAAGTAAGTAGTAATGATACTATACCCCATTCATATTTATGTTACCTCTATTTCCCCTGAACAAAACACCTAATCAAATAAAGATACCTCACCAAATTATTCTCCCTCATTCTCCCCCCTATGATCCGCCACGGAGTCTACGTCGAAGCTCATAGCCAAAATATCCTCGTCCGCGTCAATCTCACAAGCAAGGAGGTAACCGGGTTTGCGCTTCGTGACTTTGACGGAATCGGAATCCATCCTCCGACGTTTCTTCTTCGCCATTCCGACAACAAGAATGATGCCCTCAATGTTATTCCCTCCAGTACTCGCAATCTTAATAATGATCTATATTCAATGTGCGACCAGGTGCATCACGCTCTTCTCCAGGCGCATGTGGGTCACCTCTTATACATGCTGGGATTAGAATCGAAGGGCGGATGGCGTATTGTGCGTGAAGAACTAGAGAGGGCGTTGAACCCTTCCGAGGATCCAGATGGTCGGCTGCTGTATGACTACTGGATGAAGGATACGATGGCGTCTAAATCTTTTCTGGAGATGCGGTTGCGGGATGCATATGCAAAGGTGAGTTTCTTTCATTCTTTCTTTTTTTATTCTTCTCTCTGTAGAATCCTTCGTAGCATTGCGAGTGTTGGATATATTTCGCTGACGTTGAACGAACAGTGTTGTATGAGGGAATTGCCGAATATCCTTCTTCGGGGTGCTTGAGTTGATGCGGTGACTGAATAGTATGAGGGACACTAGTAAAATAATGGTGGAGGGATGGCCAGGTCATGAATAGTTGAACGATGATAATGAACTTTCAAGTAATGGTAGTCATAATGGGTAATTTCTTTTCTTCAAATTTCTTTGCCGTATGAGGAACACTTCCTACCTACCCCTGTATCACGATATAATCCATTCATCGAAGCATCTAACTCAGCCATGATAGTAGTGGTCGTATCATTGGTAGTGAGGGGTGAGAATAACTAACTATTAGTAGGCATTGGGTAGGAGGGCATTATACATCATATGCCGTATGATTAGTAGTAAGATATTGTTGTTGATATATACCACGATGTTACATTAGTACTAATGGAGGTTCCTCATATAGTGACCAAAATTAGAACGACAGAGCCCTGAAATCAACTCACTAAGCCCCGACATGAATGAACGTCGCCCAAGACAAGGGATCCCTATTCTTCTGTTTGACCTCCCCCACAGCACGATGAAGCGCCGTGGCCACAATTCTCCCATCATCCCCATCCCACTTCGATTCCGTCGCCAGCAAATACTCCACTAAATTCTTATAGAACCCCTCCGCAACGGAAATCGCTGCTCGATCATTCGCCTCCCATAATGACCCGATCACATGCGGGAACCCCAGTAACTGGAAGGTGCCGGCCAAGTGGATGGCCTCATCGATGAGCGAATCACTGGCGTTCTCTGCCGTCGAGCAAGCCGATAGATAAGCTATCTGTGCACGGGGATGAGAGACGTGTGTTAGTTCATTGATAGTGAGAAGCTCTGCAGGAGCTTGTCCATCGGCTCCATGGACCGGAGCAGGTCCGAGGAACAAACCGCCTGCCGCGGGCTCTAGTGCATTTGCGTGGCCGTGACAGGCGAAATGAACCAGGTGATAGGCTGCTATAGCTTCGCAGACTGCTCGCTTGCTCGGATTGGAGAGAATTGTTGGATGTGGGATGAGTGGGCGGACGGTTTGGGAGATAGCGGCGAGCTCTGCGGTTGTGTTAAGGGCTGCTTTTCCGGGCGTTTCGGGCATTTCAATCATGAGAAGTTGCGGATTGACTTCCAGATGACGGTTGCGACTGATTTCGCGGGCATGTTGGAGGGCTTTTATGGTAGGGGTGTAGCTTGATATGACGAAATCGGAGGTGCTTGGACCCTGGGGTTGGCCTGCTGCGTGCAGGGGTGCTAGGCCCATATAGCCGGTGCATAGCCACCATACGCGTGGTAGGTCTGAGTTAGTGGCATGACCGGGGGTGAGATACCCTAGGTGTGAAAGGACCGGATGAACAGCTACATCCCATATCCAGTGTAGGATGCGTTGGAGCTCTCGTCTGCGGCGGGATCGCGAGCTGGGCTTTCCGCTGGACAGCTTGTTACTGCCCACAAGCTTCCGCATATTGCGGACGAGGTCGGCATAGTGAAGGTTAACGAGGTCGATGGCATCGACACCCTTGGAGGTGAGGATTAGGGCGGTCCACGTGCGGAGGCAATGTACCTATCATCGGGGCGCTGCGCGGACGAGAACTTACATTAGGCATGGATCACCCTAACACTCTTTAATCCCTTTCCAGGCTTCGATCCCTCCTAGTCGACCTGGGGAACGAAGATGCCGTAGACGAACTACTCGGGAAAGTCCGAGAGAAACGACATCAGCAGTTAGGTCCGACCCACGCCCTCTCCCTTAAAATCGATCACGAGCTGGCCATCCGACTCGTTATAACAGGCCCCGGAACTGCCCAGTCAATACTACAGCAGACACTGCTTGGCAAAGAGGAAGACTTAGGGATGGATCACACGTCGACACTGGACACCTTGCACGTCCTCGAGGGCCTCCTATCCGACCGCGATGAGGATAGAATACTACACGAACAACAACTTGCACTAGCTCGCGAAGAAAAGCTCGGACGAGACCATATTCTCACACGCAGGGCCATGAGAAGAGCCGGTGTTTTAGCGTTTCAAGCAGACCGCAATGAGGAGGCCGCATCACTCCTAGAACGGTCCATGAACGACGATCCCGAGATCCACCGTCGCAGCGATGCCTACGACATCTATGCCTTGGCCTGGTGTTACATGAATCTGAGGAAAGTCCCGCAAGCCGGAGTCTTACTCTTAAAGGCACTACGACAATTACCGGGCATCGCCGACCCAGGCGTAAAAGCGTACGCAGAGGTCCGTCTTCTGATACGGCTTGCCAAAGTCTATGAGCGGCAACGAGCTTATGAAGCTACAGTCTCCACGTACGCAAAGGTCTTGGATGCGTTGGAGAAGGACTAGTGGAAGAGGAGAATCCTTGGGCTCGGTTAAACACCCTCAGTGCTCTTTCATCGGTGCACAGGTCTTACAGATCGTGGAGCGACGCTATCGCGAAGAGCGAGCAGGCTCTTCGATTAGTTGAAGATGAGATGGGGAAGAGCATCATCTTACATTGAAACAGCTGGGGATGCTCTGTTGTGAGGTATATGATCTGTCGGGTAATAGGCGGAAATTCAAGGAGTAGCGGAAAGAGTTGGATAAACGCAGACCGGAAGCAGTCTCTCTTTAAGCGGTTTTCGCGGACTCAAGACTGAAGAAAGATTGTGAAAATATGTTTTCAAGATTTAGTCCAAAATTTTCATGTCCATGCCCTCTCCTTGGTAAATAAGAGGATCGAAACATGTACACGGGGGTAAACACCTTATCAGTTCTGCCCTGAGCTTACGTGATGGGCATGGCCTCTTATCGGCTCTCCTCACCTTGATAGGAGCTACTAGTACCTACTGCTACACTTTTACCAACCCAATCACTAGCAACCTGGATACACGCAAATGGACTCCTCTCGTGTCTCTATCGCCTGAGAGACCTGTCGGAAGCGGAAGCACAAGGTGAATTTCCACGTACACGTACATCCCAAACGGCCGTACATGGTAGAAAGTACTAGATGGATAACAAACCCACATAGTGCGATGGTCTGCGTCCAGCCTGTTCTTCCTGTCTGGCCCGAAACACCCCCTGCGAGTATAATACAGAGAAACGAATCAAGTTGGTATCCATCCTGATCTACCTACATCGTGCTAACTGCCACCTGCCTTAGGCGCAGAGTGGACCTTAACTACGTGCGAACGCTGGAAGACCAGATCGCGGCACTGAAGGAGCAATTGGCACGGGGACAACCCCAGCCTCAGATCACTGTCAAAGAAACTGTGTTGACTGCTGTTGACCATCGCGATGAACGGGCCGGCGGCGTCGATGATGCTGTTGCAATAATCCCGCCTAGCATGAGCACGGCGATCGAGGATGTCAGCGCTCTCATCTGGCGCATGAGCATTGACAACAACGGCGACGCATCCTTCATTGGGCCTTCCAGCAACTTCTGCTTTCCCGTCGTGCATTGGGACGATGCGGACCTTGGTCATGAAAGTAGGACCACCAGGGTCACGGCCGCACCAGCAATAAGCGTCATTCCTGGGCCAAGCAGTGTGCAGCAGCAGCAGCAGCAGCAGCAGCCTCTGATGTCAGACCAGGTAGATTGGCATCTGATTGATTTGTTCGCGCGCTTTATCAACCACATCCAGCAATTTGTCGATCCCGAGACGCTGCACATACTCCGCGGAGATAACCTGAGTCCAGGTCTCCGACTGATCAAGACCGCAGTGCTGGCGGCGGGGGCTCTATTCGCTGATGATGCGCGTAGCAAGGCGCTCGGTGGCGAGGCAGCCGCTGTCGTCGATGCCACGGCCCTGCAGCTGTGCCGGCAATCGCCTGACATCTCGACAACTCAGGCTCTCTCCATCATGTCATGGTGGGAGCTTAGCTTGGAGCAGCACAATATGGCCTGGATGTATAATTGTGAGTGCTGGTGCTGAAGAAACATGAGATGGGACAGACGCTGACGCTCATCTGCAGCAATGTGTGCCAGTCTAGTTCTACACCTAGGTCTACCAGCTAGCATCACGCCAGATATTGGTGCAGGTAGTCCTGAACTGGGCCATTTCCCTCAGGATACGCGGCGGCTGCGGGCCCTTTGGTCCTCAGTGTTTCTTGACCGGTTCGTTAACTGCATGCATTCCTTGTCACATTAAAGATGCCAGCTAAACAGGTCGACACAGAATTGCAACGTCTCTATTAGGCCGGAATTGTCTGCTCCCATGGAAGCGAATCAAGGCACCCTCATTCCTCAGTGCTGTGGGTCCTTCACCCTCGTTGGACGAGCTCGCCTTTGACCACCAATGCCGTCTCTGGTTCATCCACGATCAATACATGGACAACATGTAAAGCCCTATCCATTCCTTTCTCACAACAAGTACCAACTAACAGCTCAGTTACTCCTTCAACTTCTCCGAACTCAGCAGCGCCGACAGATCCCTCGTCCTTTTAGACGCCCGCGACAAACTTCACTCCTTTTCGCAAAACATCCACCCCTCCCTGCAGGTCACCACGACCAAGCACCTACCCTCGTCAGCCATCTACCTCCACATCTCCTACCATACCTCCTACATCCTCGTCCACCGCCCCTATCTTGCCGACGCGGCCCAAAGCAACCCGTCCATTCATCGCCTCGCCTTCCGCTCTGTCTCCACCGCTGCCCGAGCCATCGTCCGCCTTCTCCGCATCCACGCCAAGATCCACTGCTCCTTTACTGAGATCCCGCCGTTCATTGTGCACAGCGTGCTCACGGCCGCCGTGACGCACCTGTGCAACACCACGAACACGACGCATTCTACCCTGCGCAGCCAGGCGACGGCGCACTTCCGGGTGTGCTTCCGGGCGCTGCTCGCTATGCAGGAGAGGTGGGTGAAGGCGAAGCGGGCGGTGAGGCTATTGCAAGGGCTTGCACGGAGGTGGCGCGTGATGGGAGCGTTGCCGTTGCAGCATGGGTTCGAGATGGGTCGAGGAGATGATGAGCAGGATGAAATAGACGATGAGATGGAGTTGGAGGGAGTAGACGCAGATGCAGACGCAGATGCAGACGGCGACGAACCGCGCATGTCAGACATCATCTTCCCCGAAGCCTTCTTCAACTTCGATACAGCAGATGCCCAGCAATGGGAGTTCCTTACAGAATCGGCACCGTTCAATCAGTTATGATGTTTCTAAAATGAATCATTCAACTAGCACTACACTTTCACACATCATCCCCCACCTCCCTCACATGCCTCTGATCCCTCCCCCCAACCCCCAACCACAGCAAATCCGGCCTACTATAATGCCCCACGATATCCACAAACGCCTTAGCCCTATATACCTGCTCAAAGTCCAAATCAGCATAAATAATCCCCTCCTCCGTCGGCGGCAGCGCCTCCGACAAAAGCCGCCCATCAGGCCCAAAAACCGCCGAGCTACCACCACCAGGAGTATTCATGATAGCCCCCGTGGCAGTCTGCATCAGATCAATCCCCGCTTGACTTATCACAGCTGTAGTATGCAGCACAAACGAAGAAGACTCCATAGCATACGTGCGAGCCAGCACCGCAGCCCCTATCACACACAAACAATTAGCAACCATCGCCAAACCCCATCCTCCATACAACAACAACAACAACAACCAGGAAAAGAGAAGATACATACCCTCCCCGGACATCGAAAACAACCCCCCCCCTCATCCCCCTCATCCTCCTCCTTAAACAACGGCGGCCACGCCGCAACATGAACCGCCTCCCTCTGCGCACACATATAATACTTCAACAGGGGCTGAACATGTTCCCAACACGACAACGCGCCCACCCTGCCCACAGCCGTCTCAACAACCCCAGCCAGGCCCGTCTCCGCATCAGCATCCCCAAACACCGTGCGCTCCATATGCGTAGCCTTAACCTTCCTCCTCTTGGAGAGAACCTCCCCCTCGTGCGAGATAATCGCCTGCGAGATGTACAGCGAGTCGTGGACGTTCTCGGAGAATCCGAGCACGACGGTTATGCTGTGGGATTTGGCTGCGGCGAGGATTCGTGCGAATTCGGGGGAGCTTGTGTTTAGGGAGTTGCGCATGTAGAGCGTGTGGAGGGTTGGGGAGACGGGGCGGGTCCTGTATGTATGTATGTTAGTTTGTATTATGTTGGTTGATGGGGGATGGGAGAGGGGAGACTACCATATCCACGCTGGATACCCTGGGATCCAGCATTCGGGGAAACTGATCAGTTGGGCCCCCTGTGAGGCGGCTTCGGCGATTAGGGTGCAGGTTTTGGTGATGGTCGCGTTGAGGTCGAGCCAGATGGGCTCGCTTTGGGTGACGGCGACGCGGATGGTGGGGGTTGGGGTTGTCATGGTTGTGGTGGTGGTGGTGGTGGTGGTGGTTAGTATTGTAGTATGGAGTGGGTGTGTTGGAGTTTCTATATAAGGTGCTCTTGGAAGGCGATGAGGATCGAAACTACTAACTTGCTAGTATGTGCAGCGAGATCTACAATATCATTCCGGGAGGTGATGTTCCGCCCAGGGAATCTTGGGTGTGAGTGTTTATGTTGGCTAATAGGAAGTCAAAGTCAATCGTGTGTATTGGGCTACTATCAACTATCTCGTAGTTTGGATGGATATCAGGGCGGATGTGGATGTTCCGCCGCTAAAATAATGTATGGTCTTGGCGAGGTAGACTGCGATAGCAAGATGGCAATCGTACAAGCATGATTGCTTATCTGCAAGAAACCATTAATAAAACTACAAAGTTGGATGAAGGAAATAGATACGGGGGCAGCAGAGATGGAGAAGACTGGGTAGTGAAAAGGGTACACTACTGTAATTACTCAATCCCACTACAAACCCTAGTATACCGTCCACTTCAGTGCTGAAACCAGATTGTAAATATTTAAAGCAATACCTGAATTTCTAGCCATAAGCCAACTTAAATCCTGAATACAATCAATTTCCCTGCCTCAACCGCTTTCCCCAAAAGAACAATGGCAAAGTCGTAAGCATAACCCCAACACTAACAGCTCCAAACGTCGAGAAGAACAACAACACCCCCTTCTCCGTCACAAAATCATTGAACACAAACGAGAGTCCAAATGCAAACGCACTCTTAGCCACCATCGCCAATCCAAACCCCTCCCCCGCCCGCTCCCCCAAGACATCATTCGTATATGCCACAATCCCCGTACACCCCATGCCCACAGCAAAGTTCACAATCCCCATGAACAGCCCGCACACGACAGCGGAGAGTCCCTGCGCCGTTGCGGCGCCCAGCCCAAAGGAACCTGCAGCCATGGCCATCGTCGCCGGGAGTATGACAAGCAGTCTATACTCAGGCTCGTAGACGCCTCCATTGCGGGAGGCCATGAGCTTGCTGCTAAGATCGCAGGCCCAGCCGCCCATCACGGTGCCGAGGGCGGAGCCGATGAGTGGCGCAATGCCAGTGAGATTGCCGACAGCGACGGTAGACATGGACCAGGGAGGCGCGGTGAAGATCTGCGATGTGACGGCGCCGAGGAGGATGGTCCAGGTGAAGATCACGGACCACATGATGCAGGCCCAGAGGACGATAGGGTCGAGGACCAGAGCGAAGGGCTCGATGAGGCCGCGTAGGAGGGAAGGGTGTCTCTCATCCTCGACCTCCACTATTGGGACTTGAAGAGAGACGGCGTGGGCCTTTTCAATTTCTGGGTTGTCTGGAGCTGCCTTGCTTGTTTCTGTGGTCGTGGTATCGCGGTGGAAGGTGGTTTCCGGGAAGAAGAAGAGCACGGCAACAAACAGAACGCCGAAGAGGATGGCTTCGAGTCGAAATGCCCAACGCCAGGAGAGTGCTGAAATGACATACCCGCTGATCACCGGGGTGAGGTTGACCGAGACGATCACGGCGAAGTTCCAGAGGCCGACGCGACGGCCGCGCTCGTGCACTGCGAAGACGTCGTTGATTGAGGCTGTGCCGGCGAGGGCGAAGAAGCTGCCCATTCCCAGACCTTGGAAGACCCGGGATGCAATGAGCGAGGAGTAAGACTTGGATGCTTCAGCCCAGCAACAGGAGACGAGCGCCAAGAGGGTGGTAAAGAGGTATACGGGGCGCTTGCCGAAGCAGTGAGCAAAGGCAGAACAAACGTAGGCACTGATGCCCAGGGCCATGACTAGGCTCCCATTCAGTAGAGTCACGCTGGTCAGGTCAACCTGGAGATCAGCAGCGACAACCGCGAAGCCGGGCACCAGTAGAGGGCCCAGAGAACCGGTTGCGCAGGAACCTAGGATGATTGTAGCAAAGAGGAGCTCTTTGCGTACATGGTTCCATGTTAACGGATCCGTAGGAGAAACGGATCGTCGTGACAGTAGCTGAAGCATTCTGAAAGATGAAGAAGAAGACTGTGGTGGAGAATGCTAGGATGATGCTGGCTCTGGCGTGCGCACGTACTCCAAGTCTTATTCTTATACTACAAACCTGTAAACTGGGCTAAAAAATGAAAGGGCTGATAACGGCAGCACGCTTATCATGTGGCGCTGCCATGTTGCGATTAACATACTTATCACGGCGGATGATCTGCTTCCGCTGTCTGTACTTTTCTGTCGATCCACGAGAGATTAGGGCTCTTGAGTCGGATAAGACTATATAATTTTTGCGCTTTCTCCCAATATGAAACTACTACATGCACAGCAACGAAAATGCGCCCATCAATCAGCTGGAAACTTTTTTGCGCTGGTTGGGCCCTGGCCTCAACCGGCTTCTGCACCAGCAGTGGCCTCTTGGCTGACCTGCAAGGTATGCTCAACTTACCATCTCTTATACTCACCAGCTAACGCTTCTACTACAGTCGATCTTTAAGAATGGGCTTCAGCATACAACCAGTCCGTCGCCGCAGTGGCAACCCTATCCAATGTAGACAAGATCCGGCTCATCTCCGGCCAAAGCGTGCCTTCCATCAACTTTGAGCCCTATACAGCCGACGACGGCTCCCAAGGGCTAGAGAGCTTCTTCTACGTGACCTTATTTCCCAGATCCTCAGCGATGGCCCAGACCTGGGAGCCCGAGCTCATCAAAGCCAACTTTCATGCCGTCGGCCAGGAGTTCTACGGCAAAGGCTACACCATGATCAACGGTCCAACGGTTGGCCCACAAGGCCGTACCCCCTGGAGCGGCCGTCTAGTGGAAACCCTAGGTCAGGACGTCTACCTGGCCGGAATTGCATTCGCACACGCCACCGAGGGCATCCGCGAAGCCGGCATCATCCCCTGCGGCAAGCACTTCCTCCTCAACGAGCAGGAGACCAATCGCTCCGAAGTCTACTGGTCCAACAACGGAGTCACCGTCCCCCTCAACAACACCGCCTACTCCAGCAACGCCGACAACAAGACCCTCCACGAAGCCTACCTCTGGCCCTTCTACGACGGCGTCAAAGCCGGCCTCGGCGCCGTAATGTGCGCCATGAACCGCGTCAACGGGACTTACGCCTGCGAAACCCCCAACCTGCTCAACAACGTCCTCAAAACCGAACTGGCATTCCCCGGCTTCGTCACCCCCGACACCTCTGGCCAACACACAGCCCTAGGCTCTGCCAACGCCGGCATGGACTTCGGCGCTACCTCCTTCTGGAACCCCCAGACCCTCCTCCCAGCCCTCGCCAACGGCTCCCTCTCCCAAGCCCGCCTCGACGACATGGCCATCCGCAACCTCATGCCCTACTTCCAGCTCGGCCTCAACACCAAAACCATTCCCCCCAATCCCCCGGCCACAGCCCCCGTCGACGTTCGCGCCAACCACCGCGCCCTCGTCCGCAAAGCCGGCAGCGCAGCCATAACCCTCCTCAAAAACACCAACAACACCCTCCCCCTCCACAAACCACCCTCCATCGGCATCTTCGGCTCCCACGCCCGTCCCACGCTCATCGGCCCCGGCAAAACAATGGACGACGTGCACACTCACACCACCTGGCCAGGCCAACTCATCTTCTCCGGCGGCTCCGGCATCAGCAGTCCCTCCTACCAAATCACCCCCTACGACGCCCTCCTCTCCAAAGCCCTCCAAGACGGCACCCAACTCATGTTGGCAATGGACGACGACCTCCCCATCATCCCCTACACCGCCGTAACCGGCACAATGGGAACCTCAGCAGCACCCACCTTCGCCGGCTACGCCTCGGCCGTATCAACCTGCCTCGTCTTCATCAACGCCTGGAGCGGCGAAGGCCACGACCGCAGCGAACTCCGCAACATCCCGCAAGACAAGATGATCCTCACCGTGGCCCAAAACTGCGCCAACACCATCGTCGTCATCAACACCGTCGGCGCCCGTCTCCTCGACTCCTGGATCGACCACCCCAACATCACAGCCGTCCTCTACTCCTCCCTCCTAGGCGAACAATCAGGCAACGCCATCATCGACGTCCTCTACGGCGCCGTCAACCCCTCCGCGAAACTCATCCACACTATCGCCCGTAATGAATCAGACTACCCCGTCCCGGTCTGCATGACCGCAGATTGCGATTTCACCAAGGAAAAGGTCTACCTCGATTACAAGTACTTCGACGCGCACAATATCACCCCAAGATATGAATTCGGCTTCGGGCTCTCTTACACTACTTTCAGCTAATCGGTCCCTCCTGCGATCAGCTACGTGAATGATTCCGCGCTCGCTCATCCCATCCCCACGGGTAAACTTATCCCTGGCGGAAAGGCGGATCTTTGGGACGAGGTCATGCGGATTACGACGTATATCACGAATTCGGGGGATAGGGATGGGGCGGAGGTCGCGCAGCTGTATGTTTCGTTTCCCGAGGAGGCGGATCAACCGGTTAGACAGTTGCGAGGGTTTCAGAAGGTTTTTCTGAGGTCGGGGGAGAAAGGGTTGGTGGAGTTTGGGTTGAGGAGGAGGGATTTGAGTTTTTGGGATGTGGGGAGGCAGGAGTGGGTGCTTGCTAGGGGTATGTATCGGTTTTGGGTTGGCGCGAGTAGTAGGGATTTGAGGGGGTGGGTGGAGTATGTTGTTGCTTAGATTTTGGTAAGGTGTATTACCTGTGCTGCAGGGCACTTCGATTAAGGTACTTGGTAAGGAGAAACGAAGTACTATACATAGACTATCGTTCAATCATACACACGTACATGCATACATACATACATAGGAACCTACATGAATAGAATAAAAGGGCTTGTCAAGTTCCCGTCTCCGTCTCAATATCCGGTTCCCGACCCGCCAAATCACCAGTAAACTTCCTCTTCACCTTCCTTAGCGAATACTTAGCCTCGTCACGCGCAAACACTGCATTCCGAACAGGTCTCCATTGCATCTTACCGCGGTGTTGACGCTCCTCGCTGCGTTTATTCGCCTTCTTAAGGGATCCGTCATCTATACTGCAGATGCTGGGAGGCCCGGCACTGCTGCTCGCGCCGCCAGTGGACGCTGTACTTTGTGAGACGCGTTGCTGCTGGTGGGGGTAGTGATCGTCATCCATGTCGTCCTCGGTTTCGCTGGATGAGGAGGATGCCTCTTTCTCCTCTTGCTCTTGTTCTTGGGAGTTCTGGTGCCGGGCTTCTTCATCGTGCATGGTGCCGTAGGACTGGGCGACGGTGGGAGGTGGGTTCACGGGGTCGTGAGGTGGTGTCTCGCGCCCCGGTTCGGCGACTTGGTGGCCGTGGTTGTTGAGATAGGCGCCTGGGTCGTGGCCGAAGGCGCCACTCCAGTCTTGGCCTTGCTTGTCAATCCAGCGGCGGCGTTCGCGGGGCTCGGCGTGCTTGAGTATGTCGCGGCCGTCAAGGAGGGATTGTTCATGCAGCCTTTCGAGGTCCTCGGGGATGTCAGAGGAGATGCGGCGTTCGCGGACACCCTGGGCGATGCAGGCTTCCCAGGTTTCGAAGGTCTCGCGGGATTCGTTATCGATGACGTATTGTTCGTGGGAGTCGTCGATGCCGGGACTGAAAAAGCCGTGGAATTGCAGGCGGCCAACTTCGTGCAGGTCCTCGAGGCCCGGGCTGCGTTTGATGTGGCAGTTCTGCTCGGTGATGTAGTTTTGGGTGAGTCGCTTGCCGTTCTTGGTGACCCAGATGGGAATGTCGATGGCGGTGTCTTCGTTGTCGGCCATGTGTTGGAGCCAGTAGACGGCATAGGCGGTTGTGTGATGGTGGCCTTGTTGTTGGAATTCGAAGACCACGGGCGATCGGTAGCGGTGCTTGACAGGGAGACGGATGGCGCGTCGGTAGTCCTCGCTGGAGAGGTCGTAGGTCATGTTGGATCCTTCGACATGGCACACATGACGAGTGATCTTGCCACTGCTGCCGCCGGTGCGGAGGCGAATCTTGCAGCGATGGTTGAAGCCCTTTACGGTGACCTTGTCGGAAATGAAATGGAAGGTGCCGACATCCCAGCCAAGCATCTGTGGGGGAAGACGGGTCTCAACGTGCCGGAAGAGAATAGAGATGCGAATGCGTCCAAAGCCGATGCCGCCAGTGAGAGGGTACCATCTGGTCACCTGTGAGCTGTTCTCGAGGAGCTCCGAAATCTTCAATGGCACCACGCCGAGGATAGGATCGTGCTGGCGATATCGTTGGTCGCGGACGCTAACGGTAACGTAGGCGGACCGCCAGTCTCGGACGAATCGTTCAGTTCCAGCGTTGAAGATAGGCTTGGAGCTTAGGGCTTTTGCACGAGTACGGTAGATCTGCGAGACGTTAGGCGAGTTGTAAATATGAAAGGGGGTATGTGGGATAGCTTACTAGCTCGTCATTGAGAATGATTTTACAGTAGCTCGTAGGCAAGTTCTCTCCAACCTCCTCTTTTTGCTCGCCATACGGTTTGGCTGGCTCATAGTCTCTCCCCTTGCGGTTACCGTGACTGCCTTTGACGTTCTCGATCTCTAGATTCACGATTTGATGGACCACAATGCTCATGATTCCACTCGGCCATAGCGGATCTGGTGGGGTCTTGGTAATGGCGTCCTCTTGATCGGTACTGATGACACCCTTTTCGTCTTGGAACTCAGGAATGTCCTTGAAGTTCTCCGGTAGATCCTTCTTCTTGCCGTCGGTCCTCAGCTCAGCTCTCAGCTTGGGTTTGCCGAAAAACCCGACCTCCCAGTGCAGTTCTCCCGGCATTTCACTGCCCTCGTTGAGGCCCTGGAGCTTGGAAACCTGAGCATACATCTTGCCCGGGTGTTGGATCATTTTGCGTATGGGCAATTCCACTTTGCCGACAATGTCGTCCGCGGTGGTCCGATCCGAGTCCCAGAGTTCGACACTCAAAGCTTCGTCCGCCTTGATCAACTCTGGCGTTACGAGCAACGCCGCGGTTTCTTCCCAGACGGGGTTCAGGTCGTCGGTGATTACTCGGGTACAGTACATGGGCTTGCCGTACTTGGAGAAAGAGAGGTTGATGTAAGGGTCACTGCCGCCGCCATAACTTCCACGTCGGTCCTGTTTGCTCAAGCCAATTGCACGATGGATCCGGATCCACATGATGCCCAGTGCCTGGGTTTCTTTGACGATATCGTCACCCTTGAGCATCATGCTAAGATCCATCGTCATTGATTTAGGAGCTGCAAACAGACCGCTGGCCGTAGCAATAGCATAGTTGACGAAGTTGGAGATTAAGGGGAGATTCAGGATGTTTACACCCCAGTTGACCATTGGCATACAACCGGCCCTAATATGGGGGAGTCCAACAAGACTAAACGTCACGTCTTTCATGAACGGGGCCTCTGGCATCATTTGGAACCTGGCGCGGACGGTGCCTACCAGTTCGTTCAATTCCACGAAGACTGGGAATGGAACGCCAAAGAGGCCTTTGATTCCCAGGTAGAAAACAATTTGCATGTGCATGTTGCGCGCCTTGGACGACGTGGTTTGTCCGCTCGGTTTCGCGTGGTAGGCAAAGGAGGCCTCGATGTTGTAGTAGCTGCCGCCCTCCTCAGCAGCTGCCGCCTCCTGAGGGTCTTTATTCTTCACGTTCTCCTCGTGAATGTGATCCTTGAGTTGCTGGACATGAGAGTCCGGAAGAGACCGCAAGCTCAAGATTCGGATAGGGTTGTTTCCCTGATCAATTTCCGCAATCCGAACGTTCTCCACTACACCAGGCGCAGACGCCTGCATGATGTCTTCGATGGTATCCGCAACGGGTGTCAGCATCTCCGGGTTGATGAGGCCCCAGAAGACCCCGAGAAAAGAGTTCATCCATTCGACCGACTCAGGGAGGAGGTTTGCAGTAGCCTAACAGCGTAACATGTAAGTTTTAGTACCTTAACGGGGAGCGGAAACTTACCATTTGGCCTCTGATTTGCTCACTACTCCATTCCATCTCCCGGCCGCTGCGAATGAGTTCCTGTATCCATAACCACACACCACTTGCAACACCGAATGATAAAGGCAGTAGGCCCCAGAGCGAGCCACCAAACATTCGACCAGTGAAGACAATAGCAGCAACAATTCCTAAGCAGAGGCCGATACCACGGCTCTCCAGCTTGTCAAACATGGGTTTATAGGTGACTGTCGGAGTAGGATGGAAGAGAATGTTGGTTTTCTCGCCATGAATAGGAACATCTGATGTGGTGCCTTCTGCGATTGGGTCGGGGGGTGCGGTGATATCTTGGTTTTCTTTATACTGGGAAAGGCTTTGGTTGGGTTCGGTTTTGACGTCCTACGAGATTTCTTAGCTGACATTCAGTTTTAGATGATTAGATTTATAGACTCACCGTTGGCTTTCCAAGATTAGCATTTGGCACAACCAGCTATGATTATCATCGGTCAGTGGCATGTTCCACCCTTGTCAATGGGGTATGGATACCTTCGGATCCTTCACTGCTTCCATGGAATCCTCGTCGAGGTCCTCCACTTCAATATCCTTGCCGGTCGTGGGATCGGTCACCATGCGAGTCTTTCCCGTTGTCTTCCGGGGCTTGTGAGCCATTTCCTCTCCCTGTTCCTCCTTCTCCCGCCGTTTGGCCGCCAGGGCTTCCTCATGGGCCTTACGCTCTTGTTTATCCACCTCTAGACGCTGTAGGAACTTGTCGATGGTCGGCACAGGATTGGCTCCGCTCCAATGCTCCCCGACGCGGTGAGTCTTGGGTGACTCCCGCCCAGGTTGAGCCTGCGACATGGTTGATAGTGATGGGTTGATCAGGTACGCAGAGGATATCAGAAGTAAGATGAGTGGGTTATCATCCCTAGCTCCGTGAAGCCGGGACCGCTGTTGATATGGGAAGAGAGCAAAGAAAATGAGAGGGAATAAGATCTGGTTGTAAGTCTTCTCTCATGCGATGTCAGCCAAGTAAGTGAAGTCAGAGCGAAAGTCAAGGTTGGCCCTGCCAGACTGGACTACGTCATTGTGGAGGAGGCGCTGCCAATGGAGCTCGGACGCGTCCGACCATTTGCTGGCACAGGGCTGGGGGATATCCCGAACATCCAGACCGGATCTGATGTCGGTCGGTCTATTTACATTCTCCACCGGATGGTTGTTGAGTTGAGCTGGCTGCATCCTCTTGTTTTCCGTCATTCACAGCGGAGATCCGGGGCTTGGCGTGGATGACGGGAATGGCGGATTTCAGAGCTGATACAACAAAAGATAAGGCTGACCGTGTAAAAGCTGACTAGTAGCAATCATCATTGGGAAATTGAGATGCTGTCCTCAAAAGGCCAATTGAATGGGGATGGGTGCTGAGGCTTGATGCATAGGCAATTTCCCTTCACAGTTGATGATGGATGATGGGCAGATGTTCGAGGTGGTAAGGGATGATGTCATCAATGATACCAACATCTTGAAGGCGATCAAAGAAGTCAATTCAAAACCCCCTGTAATTCATATGCTGATCCCAATAAGAATAGTAATCACAGGGCTTTGTGTTAGTGCGAGTAAGGATCTTCCACCAGATCATGCCATTTTTCTTGGAAGGGATTAGCCAGCCTTACTAGCCACAAATTTGAGGCACACAACACTGCCACTCGACTGAGTCACGTTTAAGAAATCTTTTTCTAAATAAACTCATAATGTCGCTTCAACATTTTGTACTCTGTAAATATCATCTCAGGTTTCAGTTAGTGAGGATGTGATGTTTCCCGCCATCACATGACTGCCCAGGCAACTGCTGAGATCCCAATTTAGTAATGAACAATCATCCAAAATACATCCTCAGTCCTGGGAATAGCAAACAGCCCCCGTCCATCTTGTAGCGCCAATACATATTGTGTATAGTCCATTGATATTACTGCATTAATCGTTGTTCTCCCGTCGCGGCCAAGACGCACCTTGTCCTACGGGGCCACATTGTTGATGTCTCTTCGACCTTGCATGTACTCGAGTCCTAGGAAGTTAAATAACTTACATCCCCAGATTATGCAGTCGTAAGTGAGGAATTGGCTAGATATCACAGGAATAAGTTAGTCGTTCATATAGGATCAATATCGAACGAGTCTCTTTCCTCATATTCTTCGGGACGATTCCTATACAACGAGCAGGCACGGCTTCGAGAACGATATGTGAGGTTTGATATCTCTGCACTCGCAAAGACTGTTGCAAAGCACGTCGATCATGGATGCGTTGAGAGCATTGTCAAGCTCCGCGAGGGAGGGTTCAATCGTGTGCTACTAACCACTATGGAAGATGGATTCCGAGCCATAATAAAGATCCCGTACTGGATATCAGTGCCCAGGATTTACGCAACAGCTAGCGAGGTCGCAACTCTGGCATTTCTTCGCTCTAAGAAGATCCCAGTCCCGGAAGTATATGGCTGGTCTTCGGTCACTGACAATCCAGTCGGTGTGGAGTACATTATCATGGAACATGTCGCAGGTGTCAGTGCTGATACTCGTTGGTTCAATAATACAAAACACCAAAAGCATGCTTTGGTGACAGGCATCGTTGACATTGAGAAGAAGCTTTTCAGCATTCCATTTGGGGCCACTGGAAGCCTTTATTTCAGAAGTGACCTTCCACCCCAACTGCAGGCTCCGCTATATGCAGTGGGCACGCCAGATGAAGCCAGGGACTCCCAGACCTACTGCATCGGTCCAACGGCTGATTACATGTTTTGGTATGGGCAAAGATCTGAGCTGGATCTGGGCCGAGGGCCGTGTAAGTTTTCTTTTAGTCTGAAGTACTTCAATGTGCGATGAATGAGCTGATCCTCCTTCAGGGACCGACCCCAAGGACTATCTACGTGCAATTGCCGAAAAGGAAGTCAAATGGATTGAGGAATACGGGAAGCCTCTTGAAAATGGATTTCCTCACAACATCGCATTTCCCGGCCTGAAGTGCCCACAGGAATACCTTGAGCTCCTCAAAAAGTACATGACAATAGCACCATATCTCCTCCCACGAGAGCAAGGAAATAAATAGAGCAAACCCACTTTGCGACATCCTGGTACGTCTATTCCCAACCCACCCGATAATGTAGTCCGATTGGCTGATGGGTAATGAAGATCTCACCCCTAGCAATGTGTTCATATGTCCAGATACATTCAAAGTGAAATCCATTATCGATTGGCAACATACAACCATCACACCGTTGCTTCTTACAGCCGGATATCCCAAGCTGTTCGAGAACCCTAACCCAAAGCACCCCAGCGAGTTGAAACCACCAAAGTACCCTCCGGGCTACGAGACCATGAGTCCCGATGAGCAAGCTCAAGTCGACGAGCTTATACGACGGCAAAGTCTCTTCTACCTCTATCGTGTTTCCAACGGGGGCTTGAACAAGGTGCACCTCGAGGCGCTGCGAGATCCTCTCATTCTACAACGTCAGCACCTCGTGGACTCTGCAGGTCGTCAATGGTCTGGAGATATTGTTACACTACGTGGGGCCCTCATGCGAAGGCAAAACCTTTGGTCTTATCTCATTGGCAAGGATCACCATATCAAATGCCCCATAGATTTCTCCGAACAAGAAGTAATCGACCAGGCTGAAAGTGAGCAAACGTGGTACAATTTGAATATACTTATCAATCAATGGCGCGACGAACTCGGTGGGCTCTCAGAAGAAGGGTGGCTACCTGCTCAGCGGTATGAGGCTGCTGTGAAAAGGAACAAATCCTTGATGGCCGAATTCTCTGACGGCGCCAGTCCAGATGAGCTGGAAAAAGTGAAGCGAGGTTGGCCGTTTCAGGATCACGACGAGCTCTACTGACATTTATCATATGTTTCCACTAGCAGAGCGACACTCCAGGGTTAAGCTGGTGACTGATGATATATTGGCAGAGGGATCTGTGGTCAGAGATATGAATATACCCAAATTAGTTGGCGGTCACAACATCTTCTCATAATAAACAATAATATAACCGCTGTTACTACATGGCACTGCCAGAGATGATCAAAAGTATTTATAGTTGAACATCATGATGCATGATCATGATGCTTACCCCGAAAATATATTTTGAGCTAGTAATAGTGCAGCAAGAACTGAACACTGGTACTTAGTACTCCATAATATATACAAGCCAAACTCTCAATTCATACAACTCACAGCTCATAATACATATTAACAACTACTAAAACAGCTTAATAGTCAAGTAACACCAAACAAACACTCCGTACACCATGAAGCTATACACCCACAATCACGTGACCCCATATACCAGCGGAGCCAACCGTCATGCGGCCACCACATCACAGATAATCAGCGATCACCGCCGCCGCAACAACCTGTGGCTTAATTTACTTTTTACCTCCACCTTCACTCTATTCCTGGAGCGGTCCCCAAGTCTTCGCACCGGACCATTCATTCCAATAATCTCCTACAAAAAAAAATAACCCTTTCCTGGCCCAATTAACCGCCAAACAATTCACCCACACCGATTGAACGAACTTACGTCACCCAAAACACCAACCAACGAAATCAACCACCACAACCACCAACGAGTGAACCTCATATACATATACAGAGAAAAAGAAAAGAAAAGAAACCGAGGGAAGGAAGAAATCATGTCCTCAGCCGAAGAATCCCCCGCCCAACGAGCAGCCCGCCTGCGTCGTGAACGTCGCGAAGCCAAAATCAAAGGCGATGGAGCTGCTCGTCTAGACAAGATTACCAGTTTGAGTGGACGGACTCCTGCTAGTCGTATGTGGCACATTATTCCTTTTCTCTCTTATGGAATGGAGTCTTAAGCGGAAGAAAGAAAGAACGAAAGAAAGATAGTGTGTGAGTAAGCTAACTCTGTATTTGCTATGTACAGTCCGCGAAGAAACCTCTCCCTCTCCATCTCCATCCCCGGCCCCGGCCGCAGCAGCACAACCACAAGCTACTACTACGGCACTGAGTCCTAGCCCGAGCCCGAGCCCGGCCCCCGAACCTCGAATTACACAACCCTCTTTCCCAAGCCAAGGACCCCAGCAACAGCAGCAGCAAGAACTCGACCCCGAAACCCTCCAAGCGCAACAGGAGCTCTTCCGTGCCCTGCTCCGCCAGTCTGGCCAGCCGGGCGACTCACCCAGTGGGAGCCCAGGACCTCAAGCAGGAGCAGCAGGACCAGGAGGGATGGGAGGACTAGGTGGGGAAGCGGACGATCCGACGCTTAAGCTTCTCTCGAGCTTGATGGCCGGGGATACCAGTGCGCTGGGCGAGGGGTCTTTGCCTGGAGGTCAGTCGCCAGCGGACTTACTGACGGGGTTGGGAGTCCCGCCGTTTGTGGCGAGTATGTTGGGAGAGGCGACGCGGAAGAAGAGTGATGAGGAAAAGCGGGAGATTCTGGTGTGGAAGGTGCTGCATGTGGTGTTTTCTATGCTGATTGGGGTGTATTTGTTGGTGTTGATTGGGTCGTCGGTGGCGACGTTTGGGAGTCAGCCGCCGCCGCCGGCGACGGCGAGGAATCCGTTCTTGTTCTTTACGACGGGTGAGGTGGTGCTTACGGGGGCGAGGGTTATGATGAAGAGAGGGGGAGGGGGGCTGGGGTTGTGGGTGCAGTTGGTTAGGGATATTGCCAGGGATGGGAGTATTGTGTTGTTTTTGTTGGGGATGGCGAATTGGTGGCATCGGGAGTGGATGGCTTATTAGATAGGGAGTAGTCCGTAGTGACTTGGGGATTGGGTTTGATTGTGGTTATCTTTTCTCTTTGTGGTTATTATGGCATGGATGTTTCTGCTGTGCTTAGGAATACATTATGCACTTCTTGCATTTGCATGTGAATTTGCTGGCATAACGTTCGATAGTTTGTTGCTTGCTGGGGTAGTTCTTTTGCCATCGACTAGCCTGTGCGCTGGCTCCCAGAAACGAGGTTGATATTAGCTGTGAAAAGTTGAAAACTTCTCGCGGCGATTACCAATGTCCCACCAAACTTGGCCACAGCACAACGCGTACTGATCCATCGGGTGGACTAGGAAATTAATAACGGGCAGGGCCAATACGTTATTAATTTGCACTTGCAGGGGGCTATTGGGAGTTTGGGACGGACTTTTCCTACCGCCGTGTTTAGTAGATGCAGGACGGGCCAGAAATTCGCCGTTTCTAACCATCCGAGCCCACACCGGTTGGCTACTAGTAGACTCAAGTCTGGCGGCGGGCTCAGACGTCGAAATGGCAAAAGCGGACCGAGAAGCTTAGTGCGGCCGGGACTAAACTATAGCGCAGGCGGGAAAGGCCACGGCCTCTGGGTCCTGGTTGAGAAAGATAGGGCTCAAGCAGGATGGGAATGGGTCTTTCTGAGTGTTGAGAGAAGGCGCATACTCTCACCGGTTGGGGTACGTAACCTGCTATACATCTCCAATGCAGTATGTATCCAGGCAATAAACAAGCAGGCGATTATACACCTGCAATATCTTGTAGAGATGCCACTCCGTGCAGGGGGCTACCGAGATAACTGATTGACATTGATAAGCGGAAACGGGGGGTATGGTGGGCTTGACACCGTATCGGGAGGCTCCCTAGAGGCTGGGATAAATGAAGTGGCCGAGCCACCAGCGACAATTGAGGACGTTGATTTGCTAACAGATAGAGGGTCTCGATTAGCATGAGGGCTCTGTAGTCGGCAGTGTGGGTAGGGACTAAACGGGACACCCGGGACCCGAACGCACTCACCTTATTACCACACACGGACGCGAAGGAGTAAGGATTGAAGATCTCTTCACAGGAGAGAAGCGACGAAAGAAACGATGTATCCATATTTATGGGCACAAGCGTATGGTTCCCTTGCCGAAACGATGCTTGAAGGTGGACATGTTGGAGGGGCAGATTCGAGGCCTGCAAAAGGTGAACGGAATTCTGCCGGATGGCCTCCACAATATTAATGCTTCTAGTTCTGATGGTGGAAGTTGCTCCGTAATGGCATTATAAACATGAACAAACCGTTCCTCTCGGATCGGTGGTCTAATCCACATCCAATCAAGGCGGCCACACCCACAAAGCTCCCCACAATTGAGGGAACTGTGGTACTTTCGGTCCTTAGTTGTGGTGGGGGGGAGGGTGGTGTTTGTACTTTGTAGGCTCTCTTAGGGGAGTCTTGACTCTGCGCTCGTTGCGACATCAGTCGCGGGGTGATCTTCCCCCTGGAATGATGTGCCATCGCAGACAATGTTATGTCCATTATTTTTTTTTTTTCCTTTTGAATTCTGAATATTCGGCTGTCCGAAGAGACAAGATGCAGAGCTTCCAGTTCTCCGTCCAGGAAAGCTGGAGAAACCAAAGCCTAGGTCCGAGAGAAGTCCGCGGGAACGGGGAGAAGGAGCAATGAGCCAGGCAGCGATAGCCGAACCCCCAGCAAGCAGTACCACGGTTATCCCGATTGTCCCTCGACCCGCGCGTCGAGGAAAGTGTTTCGTCCCAGCCCAGCTGATCATCTGTCTTTACCGAGTGGGCAAAAATAGCAGAGAATCCCCTTTTCGGCATTGTTGAGAGATGGGCAAGTCACGGGCAGCTTCATTGCCGTAATGGGTCAGTTCTTCCTCGTTAGGGAAAGTACTGCCGTAACGTTCCGTAGCCTGGAGTTATTCCCTTCTGTTCTACAGATATTATTACTGGGGGAAGATTAAATGGATATTGCTACTTTCAGAGCACATGGAAGAAGGATCAGAAACATGAATTAATTCCCTGAACCACTAATATACACCTTCCTTCAATGCGTTGATCATCATGTACACAGCCAAGTCAGGTGCATTGACGAACATCAATCAATACTACTACCTAAGACACTGATATCTACTGACCAACATGGCAGATGAACAAACATCAATCACTATCCAGTACAATTTTCGGCTTGAACCGCTACTCAACATGATCGATAATGCTTGTGATCGCGATAACCGGGTGTGCCTTTAGAGAACGACCATTCCATTCAGGCCTCGGCTCTGCAAGGCCATCTATTTCCACGTTCTGTTCACCGGCAATATCTCACTAATGCAAGATGACCTTCCATTTACCTATCTCCCTCGTAATTAGTATCTCGAACTACTGCATCTTCCTGGTCAGCCCTTCAGGCACTGGCTGTGGGCCATACAGGGGGTCCCTAATCCGGTTTCAGTGAAACTTCCGCGAACAGCAGCACATCCATTGATCTAGGCGTCTTATTGGATCACCCACCGAGGTATCTTGATACCTCAAACAACGATGCAGGGGATGCTCACAGCGATCTATCGCGGAGGTGCATGTGGAAGGTGTAGTTAAATGCTGATTAGCTTGACTACTATCTACTTCACCACCTCAGATTGCTCTCTAGATATCTAACTACTCCAGAGTACTCCGTAGATCCGCTCACTCTCTTTTCTCTCATCCACGGTCCCGTTGAATCTTACTATAAGCAGTTCCCTTCAAAAAGCGCAGCTAAGGTTTTGGTTCCCCCGCACGGTTCAAGCCTCGCATCCAAAATGGACACGTTCCAATGCTGATTGACCCCTCCGATCGGGGGTGCTTGGCGAGTGTTCTTGTGATACCATCCCGCCATCCCCCGGAAACCCAAAAGTTTCAAACCCCCCCGTCTGCGCGTGAGCGAATCTGGGGCAGAGCTGATGATGATGATGATGTTGGTCGGATGAACGCCACAGGATCACGGAGCTAATATCTCCCTGTGCCATTTCGTGCCATGGCGTACCATGGATACGAATGTGCACAGTGCTGTCGGAGGTGACCACCTAGGTTAATAACAGTCGCCTCTGCTGGGAGAATTACCTTAGTTGGCAATTGACAATTGGTCTGCAGTCCAATGATGGACAAGAACCGAAGTAGATTAAGGTCACAATCAACACCTCGCAGACGGGAGCGTCGCAATAGTGTACCGAAGTGAATAGGTCGGAGTCTCCAGGTACAGGGGGGGTAGGCGAATAATGAGATGATTGTTCGCTAGTTGATCATCGACTACTTTCCCCGGAGCAACGGAAACGAGAGCCTGTCAAGCCCCGCATGGCCGAGCCCAACCTTTGGCGGTGCGTTTTGAACTACGCCGTGCTAGTCTTGGATAGTGCGAGCGAATGCAACGGACTGGGATTGCAGCCGCCAATGCAGGAGGTCGTCTGTCCAGTGACATTGCGAGGGCCTGCCGGGAAAAGACTTATCGATGACCCGCATCCAGAACAATCCTTCCACCCTCCCCCCCCCTCCCCCTCCTCGCAACCCGTTCATTTATGTTAATTATTATAGTAATTATTATTATTATTATTATTGTTGTTTTATTATGCTACAGTAGTCGTGGCTGTCCCGAGAGTGGAGAGGCGCTTAGAGCGACAAGCATGACTAGTCAGGTATGTATGTAGTATGTATCGTCCATGGTGGGAAGTAGACCAGCGCCTCCATACGGCATCATGATCTCAATTCAATGGAGGAAGGGTACTGCTCTGGAACTCACACCCGGTAAGATCTAGGTTAATCTGCATAGCCGATCCAGAAAAGTAAGGATTGAACCCTGGTCCGACAAGGTTAATCATACCTACGGTCGCGCGGAAGGGAAAGAAGGTTGACTTGGGGTAAGTAGGATGGACGGATGGATTAAGGGGAGGAAGTACGGAGTAGTAGGTGATAGTAAAAGTAGTAAGTAGCAAGTAGTAAGTAGTACTGAGGAGGTACCTTAGCAGCCCGGGAGCAATACAACCTTGGCCAGTATGAAGCTACGACGGTACCAAGCCTGAACCAAGCCTGAAGTAGCAGCGCGCCTCCACCCGGACACCGGGGGAGCGGGACTCTTCTCAACAATTAAAATCATAAACTGTCTCTCTCTAAAAGGGACATCCCTCTTTTTAGTTCGGGCATTGGGTTCAATAAATAACTGTCTCTCTTCCCCATCCTGGGCACCAGTTGCTTTTCTTTCCCCCCTCCTTCTTTTTTTTCTTTCCCAATCTTGCATCTTTCTTCTCTACTCCTCTCCCTCTCCCTCCTCTTTCTCCCTCCTACAATTCTCCCTTTGTAATAAACCCTCCTCCCCTTGCGCGAAACTTTGCCTGAACCCCACCAACCAGCAGTGCTGCAATTCTTTTGACAAGTGAGCTTAATCCCCCGCCCGCAAACTCACGTGCACTCCGGTGCCACGAATTGAACCCCTCGCCCTTTTTGCCCTCCAGAAAGAGGGTTACCTTGCAATTGGAATGTCTCATCCCTTTCTAACATTAGTACAGCTCAAATACACATTTTTGTTGGGACACACAAAACATGGCCGACGGCAGTGTTATGCCCCCCAAGTCCTCCGTGGTAAGAAATCGCGCGTATTTTGCCGAGTTATCGCCGGGTCTCCGTGCTAATTCCGTCGGTTTCAGGTGGTCGAGGCCCACGAAGTCGACACCTTCCATGTCCCCGAAGCATTCCACCAGAAGCACCCGACAGGTACCCACCTGAAAGACCTTGACGAGTACCGGAAGCTCTATGAGGAGTCCATCCGCAGCCCAGACACTTTCTGGGCTCGTATGGCCCGCGAACTGCTTCACTTCGACCAAGACTTCCAGACCACCCACAGTGGGTCGTTGGAAAATGGCGACAATGCCTGGTTCGTTGAGGGTCGTCTGAACGCCTCCTACAACTGCGTCGATCGCCATGCCTTCAAGAACCCCGACAAGGTGGCCATTATCTACGAGGCCGATGAGCCCAGCGAGGGCCGCACAATCACCTACGGTGAGCTCCTGCGCGAGGTGTCTCGTGTTGCCTGGGTTCTCCGCCAGCAGGGTGTGAAGAAGGGTGACACCGTTGCTATCTACCTTCCCATGATCCCCGAAGCCATTGTCGCTTTCTTGGCTTGCTCTCGTATCGGTGCCGTCCACTCCGTTGTTTTCGCCGGTTTCTCCTCCGACTCTCTCCGGGACCGTGTCCTGGACGCTGGCTCCAAGGTCGTCATCACGACCGATGAGGGCAAGCGTGGAGGAAAGGTCATTGGCACCAAGCGCATTGTCGATGAGGCTCTGAAGCAGTGCCCCGATGTCACCAGCGTCCTGGTCTACAAGCGCACCGGCGCGGAGGTTCCCTGGACCAAGGGCCGTGATGTCTGGTGGCACGAGGAGGTCGAGAAGTACCCCAACTACCTTGCTCCTGAGCCGGTGAACTCGGAAGATCCTCTCTTCTTGCTCTACACCTCCGGATCCACCGGAAAGCCCAAGGGTGTCATGCACACCACGGCTGGTTACCTCCTGGGTGCTGCCATGACCGGCAAGTATGTCTTTGATATTCACGACGATGACCGCTACTTCTGCGGTGGTGACGTTGGCTGGATTACCGGCCACACGTATGTCGTGTATGCGCCCTTGCTGCTCGGATGCTCTACCGTGGTCTTCGAGAGTACCCCGGCTTACCCCAACTTCTCCCGCTACTGGGACGTGATCGAGAAGCACAAGGTGACCCAATTCTACGTTGCCCCCACTGCCCTGCGACTTCTGAAGCGGGCTGGTGACGAGCACATCCACCACAAGATGGCACACCTGCGTGTCCTGGGCTCTGTCGGTGAGCCTATTGCTGCCGAGGTCTGGAAATGGTACTTCGAGGTTGTCGGAAAGGAAGAAGCCCACATCTGCGATGTAAGTGAATTATCGGTTCTCGTTGTTGGGGAAGGTAGTCTGACACGCTTCGACAGACCTACTGGCAGACTGAAACGGGTTCGAATGTTATCACTCCTCTGGGTGGTATCACCCCGACGAAACCCGGAAGCGCGTCGCTTCCCTTCTTTGGTATTGAGCCCGCCATCATTGACCCGGTCTCTGGTGAGGAGATTACTGGCAACGATGTGGAGGGTGTGCTTGCCTTCAAGCAACCCTGGCCGAGCATGGCCCGTACCGTGTGGGGCGCCCACAAGCGCTACATGGATACCTACCTGAACGTTTACAAGGGCTACTACGTAAGCGACATCCGCACCTCTGCGAGAAAATATGGTTCCATGGGCAGTAGCTGACTGACTTGCGCTTATAGTTCACTGGAGATGGTGCCGGCCGTGATCACGACGGATACTACTGGATCCGGGGTCGTGTTGACGATGTGGTTAACGTTTCTGGACACCGTCTGTCCACGGCTGAAATTGAAGCCGCCCTCATTGAGCACCGTAAGTTAACGCAAGAGACCGCCATCTATACAACAGCCACTAATCAGTAATGGCAGACATGGTGGCTGAAGCTGCTGTTGTTGGTATTGCCGACGAGCTTACCGGTCAGGCCGTCAACGCTTTCGTGGCCCTGAAGGAGGGCAACGAGACCAGCGACCAGGTCCGCAAGGATCTGATCATGCAGGTTCGTCGGTCCATCGGACCTTTCGCTGCCCCCAAGGCCGTCTACGTTGTCGAGGATCTCCCCAAGACCCGTAGCGGTAAGATCATGCGCCGTATTCTCCGGAAGATCCTGAGCGGCGAGGAGGACAGCCTGGGTGACACTTCTACTGTAAGACAACACCCATTCTTGCCTATGTTGGAAATGGTGACTAACTAAACCTGTAACAGCTGTCGGACCCTTCGGTTGTTGACAAGATCATTGCCACGGTGCATGCTGCCCGCGGCAAATAAGATCTTCGCATGACCCGAATTCAAGACGAGCGATATTCACAGCCATGAAATGAAAGCGATTAATCAGGATGTTATGATGAGTTGATTAGCATTATTGGGTGGACACAGTTGTCCGGAGGCGCAGTCATATTCCTATAAACCCCGTTTAGTGATTCCCAACGTGTTTGAGAGATGAACATTAAGGTGATCGCTGATCACTTTTTCAATATACATAACTTCTATTCTTCATACGAATTGATTTTTTTGTTGTCCAATGTAACTTGGGGTGTTCCTTCACATGACAGCACTGGTTGTCGGGGTCTCTCTTCTCTATTACTGGTAGGTAGTTGATGGGAACGTCCAGGGTTACACCTTGGGAACAGTCCCTCATTGGACCGATATACTGATACGGAGTCGGGCTCCTCAGGCGTAGTTGCGGGAGTTAACATAACGTTAATATGCTGCATCAGTAGTGGGAGACTTGACACAGCTACTGTGAAGCCGGACACCATTCTGGGGATGTTATAGTTATCGCGATGCAAGCATCCAGTGTCCATATTCCTTTGGCTACCCGGTCGGGCTCCCGATTCAGTCTCCGTCGCATCACGTGCCACTGTCGTAATGCAACGGTATCAACACCCGGCCACCCGGTCCCATTCCCCACTCCAGTGAGCACACCGCCCCGTCACGCCGTGACCGTACCATACCTGACATGGCCGACCTTCCCATAGTTAAGCGACAGCAACGAGCCAGTCAGGCAGGAAGGGAACCTGCCGTCGCTCTCCCTTCCTCTCTCTCTTCTCTTCCTTGGCTCTCGCAGCTTCTTCCCTCGACCACCGTCGCGCGTCCTCCTCCCTCTGCCTCACCTCGTCACTTTTTTCCCCGACTGCCACTAAGTCGATACCCTTCAGACTTGCTCACCTACTAGCTCCGACGGTACTTTTCCGTCTGTAGCTAGTGTGGCCTTTTTCGTCACTTTTACCCATTCACCTTTTTTTTTTTCTTCTTTTCTTCCCTTCTCAAAACAAACACCCGTGCTCACCAGCGCGTCGACATCGTCTTTCCAAACTTACGCAACGTTGTCGCCTTATATTACGCTAGCGCGCTACGGTTGTTCTTTTCGCAAAATATCCATTCATACGGAGCTCTAATCATCGTCGTTCTAAACGATCTTCCCGAGCCTTCCAACCTTCGATCGCAGACGTCCTTCGAACCGAATGACTCCCTAATATAAAGCATTATCATTCAGCAAGATGTTCGGAGGTTTCGGACAAAACAACCAGCAAAGCTCCGGCTTCGGGGCAGGCTCTGGCTTTGGTGGCACGAGTACTGGTGGAGGTAGGTGTCTTCGTCTGGTTGCGAACCCCGTCCTCGGTTATCCCGGGTTACTTTTCTTTTCCTTTTACCTCGTCCCTTGAGACTCTCCGGTGCAAAAGGATCGGCATTTGCTGGTAGTTCCGAACGTCGAGCTGCGACCGTCCTATTAGGCTCCTCCCACCACCGACCGCCCGTGGATGGCTTCGACACCGGGACAAAACAGCAGCACTGCAAGAGAAGGGATCGCAGCTTCAATACAGTCTCTGACAGCATCTCCCCCGTCATCTAGGCTTTGGATCGACATCGTCGCCCTTTGGTGGCGGTAATACATCCGGTGGTGGCTTGTTTGGAAACACCTCCAGTAGCTTTGGTTCCGGTGGAGGTACGTGCCTGACGGCTATATCTCAGTGGGCTTGGCGATCCTTTCTCTTCCACCTGTGCCTTGGGGCGGACCTCTCGACTTTCCTGTGCTCGATCACCGATCCGTGACCGAAATGGCGTTTTCGAGGACCCTCACCGCTAGCTCTTATGGCAGAAAGTCTCTGGATTGGAAGTTCACGTCAAATGTCGTCCATTGACCGCCGGAGATCCATGGCCCAAGGATGGTTTCTAATCAGATGTCCCAGGATCTGTCTACTTTTTATATTTGTTAGCGAAACTGACTCAAGGTCTTTGTTATTCTAGGATTCGGAACCGGCACACAGAATCAGTCGACGTCCCTGTTTGGAGGACAAAATCGCACGAGCGGATTCGGAACTGGGACTTCGACCGGCGGAGGCCTTTTCGGAAGCGGAACTGCCACAGCTGGTGGTAGTAGCGGGTTCGGCGGCTTCGGATCGTCCTCCAACACTGGCGGAGGGTTCGGCAGCACTGGCACTGGCACTGGCACTGCCGCTAGCACTGGGGGTGGGCTATTCGGCAACAAAACCGGGGGTTTTGGCAGCTCAGCTGGCACCGGTGGTGGATTCGGTACAAGCGGTGGCACTGGTGGCTTCGGCAGCACCGCATCGGGCTTCGGTAGCGGGACAGGAACTGCCTTCCAGCAGGCCATTCCTCCCTCTGATGGCACTGGAAGCACGCCGTTTAGTCCCTTCACTGAGAAGGACGGTAACACCACGGGGATGAATCACTACCAAAGTATCACCTTCATGCAGCCGTACAGCAAGTATTCCTTTGAAGAACTTCGCTTAGGTGATTACAACCAAGGCCGTAGGTTCGGCAACGGTAGTGGCCAAGCCGGTGCCTTTGGCACATCAGCCTTTGGAGGATCCGGCTTTGGACAACAGTCGACCGGCGGTTTTGGAAGTACTTCCACGCCATTCGGAGGCGGAACAAGTGCTCCCTCGACCTTTGGGCAGACGCAGACGGCGGGTGGATTCGGATCTAGCGCCAACTCCAACCCCTTGTTCGGAGCAGCAAAGCCGGCCACTTCCTTATTTGGGGGTGGAACTGGTGCTACTGGCACCTCCCAGCCAAGCCTCTTCGGTGGAAACACATCTACTACTGCTACTACGGGTGGATTTGGAAGCGGCACAGGAACCACCGGCTTTGGTGCTGGAACTGGCGGATCTTTGTTTGGTGGCAGCGCGAATACCAATACCCAACAACAGAAGCCTCTATTCGGCAACAGTGGCTCCACCGGTACAGGTTTTGGCAGCGCCTTTGGCGCGCAAAACACAAGCGCCGCCACTCCTTTTGGTGGTACTGCTGCGACTTCCTCTCCCTTCGGCGGCCAACAACAGCAGCAAACCGGTACCGGCTTGTTCGGAGGTGGGCTCGGTCAGCAAAACCAAGCCCAAAATCAGCAGCAGACTCAGAACAAAGGATTGTTTGGCGGGTTCGGCTCAAACACGCAGCAGCAGTCCAGTACCCCGAGTCTCTTCGGCAATACTGGGGCTGGCACTGGCACCGGCACGACTGGCTCTTCTCTTTTTGGCCAGAACACTCAGCAACCACAACAGCAGTCGACTGGTGGATCGCTCTTTGGAAACAACCAGCAAACCGGCACAAGCTCCCTTTTCGGCGGAGGCCAGCAGCAGGGCCAGAAGAGCTTGTTCGGCGGCAGCACGCCTGCCACCGGCACCGGCACCGGCACCAGCGCATTTGGCGGCTTTGGTAACACTCAGAACCAGCAGACGGGTGGTGGTGGCCTGTTTGGCGGCGCCCAAAACCAGCAGCAGCAGAAGCCGAGTCTATTCGGCGGTGGCACTGGAACCGGTGGTTCTCTCTTCGGGGGACAGAGCACCACGACTCCGAGCGCCGGCGGTTCGCTTTTCGGTAACACGCAGAGTCAGCCTCAGCAGACTGGAGGGCTTGGTACTTCGAGCCTGTTTGGCGGCAGCCAGCAGACACAACCCCAGCAAGCTCAGCAATCCCAACCGGCCCCTGGTAGCTTGCAGGCCTCTCTTTTGGACGGCAACCCTTATGGAAACCAGTCCATCTTCTCTGGCTTGCCAGCCCCAAGCGCTTCCAGCCCTGGCCCCTTGGCGACGCCACTTTCGTCTGCCGCAAAACAGAAGCAGCGCACTCCGCTCCCTGTCTATAAGATCACCCCCAATGCCGCTAACCGCCTTCTTACACCCCCCAAACGCCAGGGATACGGGTTCTCTTACTCCACCTATGGCTCACCTTCGAGCTCTGCTGGTACTCCTAGCGGACTTGGTGGCAGTGTGCTGGGTGGAAGCCTGCGTGGAAGTGTCAATGGAAGTCTTGGGCGCACCAGCTTTAGCAAGAGTTTGTCTACCAGCAATTTGCGCAAGACATTCGACCCCGACACCGACAGTGTCTTGTCGCCCGGTGCACTTTCCTCTGGCAGCTCCCGTCTGTCAAGCGGCAGCCTGAAGCGCCTCACCATTGATCGTAGCCTGAGGAATGACCTCTTTGCTCGCCCAGCCAGTACCCCAGCTGCCCCGATCACCAACGGCGAAGACGCAGCGCAGCCAGCCGATAAGATGAAGAAGAAGGTCAGCTTCGATTCATCATCAGATACGCCAGCCACTGGAGGGGAGATCGTTCCGGTGCAGTCTCAAAGCCCCGAGCCTACTCCGGAGGAATTGGGATTCCTGCGCTCCATCCGCAAGAGCAACACAGTCAATGGCCTCAACGGTATCAAGCCTAGCGAGCCTTCTATCCGTCCTGAGATGGAGTCTGTTCGTGGTAATGAGCTTGCCGTCGTCCCCGAGAATGCGGTGACGACCTCAACTACTCCTGAGGGCCCCTCTCGTCTGCCTTTCGTTCCCGGTGGAGACCCGCAACCGGGCGAGTACTGGATGAAGCCCACCCGCGCTGAGATCAGCAAGTTGAGCCGAGAGCAGCAGAAGAAGTTTGTTGGCTTTACTGTTGGTCGTCAAAGGTGCGGCCAGGTGACGTTCGATGAGCCCGTTGATCTGACCACCGTGGACTTGGACCGCATTTTCGGCGACCTTGTAGACATCGGTGTGCGCAAGATTACCGTGTATCCAGATGAAACCATCAAGCCCCCGAGGGGCAAGGGCTTGAACGTCCCCTCCACCCTTCGCATTGAAAACTCTTGGCCTCGGGGTCGCGACAAGAAGTCACCTTCCCCTCTCACCAGCGGCCCCTTGTTCGATAAGCACGTCGACCGCTTGATAAAGGTGCACAACACCGAGTTCGTGGACTATGAAAAGGAGACCGGCACGTGGGTGTTCCGGGTGCCCCATTACACCACCTATGGTCTTGATTATGACAGCGACGAGGAAGAAGAAGGTGAGAGCCTCAACCAAAGCACTTTTAGTGCTGCTCCTGACACTCCGACTCCGAAGGCTCAAACCCCCGCCAACCCCGATACGACCATGGGCTCGGAGATGATGTCTGCCTTCTCCACTGATGACTCCTTTGTGGGTTCAATGGCTGGCGTCGACGATGATACCTTTGATTTCAAAAAGCGTAAGATTGTCCCGGGTGCGTTTGGCAACCAAATGATGGAGACGGTTGAGGACCAGCGTTCGGTTTCTGGAGACGATGAGGAGTCTTTTTTAGGGGAAGGCTCCACGGGTTCGACTATTGAGCAAGACGGCGATGATATTACCGAAAGCCAACATTCTGGCGAGTCACTAGTCGAATTGGATGAGGGCGAGGAAATGGACATGGCGGGCACCTTTCCAGACCTCCATCCTACCGTGGAGCGCGATGACACCCAAAGCACCGATACCTTTATGGAGACCACCCAGCCTGTACTGAAGCCTTGGAACACGCCTTCGAAGCCTCGTCTCGACCTTACTGGAGACTGGGCGGAGCATCTGCAACGCACCATCAGTCCCCGGAAGCAAGATCGCGATGCACTTCGTGAGATCCAAGCCAATGCCTTTACCGACCGGTCTCTCCGTGAGGATACCCCCAAGCCATCTGCCGCCGATACCAGGCAAAAGGGCTTCGCCACCAGCATCGATTTGATGAATTCTTTGTTTCAGCAACCACGCAAACAACAAGCCGCATCTCCTTTGAAGGCACAAAGCGTGCGGCCTAATGGCTTTGAGGTTTGACTCCTTTCCGTTCTCTTATATCCCTTTATTATCCCTATAGGAAGTTGTATTGTAGGAAGTGATGCGATACAATATGACTTGAGCACTGTGAACCCACATTTGTCAATAGCCTAAACTAATACCATCTGTCCCTACAGTGGCCTTATAACAAGAAGCCCAAGACATTTGCTGGCGAATCCCACGAGCTAAGCGAAGACGACCTTGCTTTCCATCAATCATTCAAACCGCGTTGGGGCACGCTGAACTCTCTTCTCTGCGCCAAGAATGATATGTCGGACATGCAGGCGGTTGATAGCGCTTGGAGGCACAAGCTCTCTGTGACTAGCGAAGGAAGGGATGTGGCTCTCTTGGAATACAACACACCCGTGGAACCGAGTGAGATGCTGGATGCCCAGAGGAAGCTGACTGCCGTTTCACGTGTTGACGGGGTTCCCTTTGCTCGTCTGGCAAAGGCCGATTTCCGGGAATTCGTACAAGCTTCGAACTTGGTACAATCTGACCACGAGCGACTTCTCTGGCAGCTGGCCAACATCCTTTTCAACGACAAGACTGAGGATGATATTTCCGCTGGCGTGCCTCCCAATCTTCGTTCCAAATACATTCACCGCATCAAGAAAGACCGCCTGACCCGTCTGTGGGAGAGTATCGTACGTGAAAAGCATGCACAGGCTGTGGCCAAGGCCAGCTCAGCCGAGGAGCGTGCCTTTTACTTGTTATGCTCGCATCGGGTTGAAGAGGCTTGCAAGGTCCTAATTGCTAGTCAGAATTTCCATCTTGCGACACTGGTTGCTCAGATCGCGCGCGATCCTACGACGCGCACTGATATGGCCAAGCAGATTGAGATGTGGCTCCAGAACAATGTGTATTCTGAAATGAGCGAGCCCGTCCGAGCTTTGTACGAACTTCTGGCCGGCAACGCCCTTCGCAGCGAAGGCAAGTCCACTGGTGCGCTGGAGGATCGTCTTTCTACTTTCACCTTCTCTGAGCGATTTGGGCTGGATTGGTTCCAGGCTTTCGGCCTTCGTCTCTGGTATGGTATCACCGACGATGAGCCTATCGAAGCCGCCGTCTGCCAGTTCGTGGACGACCTCTACGAAGGAAATGAGCCGGCCCTTCCGACGCCTTACAACCAGGAAGACATCGTTGATCGCGAGTCTCCTCTCTGGGTTTTGCTGAAAGTGTATGCCACGACAACTGGTGGAGCTGCTCGGACGGCCAATCTCCATCCACAGGAGTTCCCGGCCGTTCTCCTGCCTGAGTCGGTCAGCGGGGATAAGCAGTCAAGCCGGCTGTCCTTCCAGCTTTGTCACCTTCTTGCGGCAGCCATTGGGCAGCACGAAAGCTTCCAAGTCAACACAGCGCAGTTGGACCAGCTCGTGTGGGACTATGCTTGGGAGCTTTGTTGCAGTGGCACGTTGAACCGGGCACTGTTCGTCCTCCTCCACCTCTCGCATGCATCTGATCGCGAGCGTGCTGTGAAGGAGACTCTAGCCCGGTTTGCGCCCCAGCTGCCGGAGCCGGTCACCTCAGACGGCCAAACCAACGTGATGTGGCACTATCTCACGCATGATCTTCAGCTACCTGAGAGCTGGATCTGGGTTTCGAAGGCGCTTTATGCTCGCGACACGGGTGATGCGGCACGCGAAGTGGACTATCTTGTCCGTGGCAAGAACTGGAACGATGCCCACGCTACCTTCTGTCGTGTTGTGGCTCCAACTGCCGTGATTGAGGGTGACTATGGCACGCTAGAGATGCTGGTGTCGGGCTTTGGCGAGGAACCTGAGCGAAAGGTGCGCGGCTGGGCCAATGGTGGTGGTATTTACGACGACTTTCTGCGCCTGGCTACGGCCAAGAGCGGCAAGCGCGATGCTACCCGTCTTGCCCGGTTAGTAAGTGCCTTGGTGAAGATGGGCGACAAGGTCAGTCAGGGGTCGGGTGTCGAAGGATTAGAGGAACGTGTAGCCTTCCGGGAAATGAGCCGCGTGGTTGCCACTTGGACTGGGCACGAGGACTCAAAGGTACGTTGTTCCATTGACACGACTCACGCAAATCCTGGTTCTGACAAGTTGCTACTTCAGGCAATCGAGCTGTCCAGCGTACTCAGTCTGCCTTTGACGGGCGATGCACGCCTTGCACAGACGGCCGAAATGAGTCGGCGGTACTACAGTCTCATCATGGCTGGGGGCTATTGATCTATGATTTCGGGAATTTGGGTGGAAGGGACTCCGTTGTTTGGATGCAGCATACCGAGTGCTGGTCGAAGCTGAATCTTTGATGTCTTGCATCTTTTTGTGTCTATGGGTTGACGGAACGACATGCAGCCATTGTTGTAACTTAGATACTGTTTTCACTTCTCTGTTTTTGTTCGTTGTGTTTCTATTTTCTTTTCCTTGGTTCTTGGATGCATTCCGTCCTCGGACTTTGCAGAGGGCGCAGAACTCTGGGTGTGTAAGTTAGCTAGCTGGTCCTTGTGAACGAAACAGTAATTGCGCAAGTTAAACGTCTTCACATTTCCATGCCCACAAAGTAGCAGTACTTCCTCTAATCAGAGCAAATAGCCTACCTAAATTTCAACTCACCCCCAAATGATATCTTTAATAGCAAAACCTCATCTGTTCATGATGTACACCTCCGCTCCTAATATGGAAAGTTTCCTTCTCAGACCTGATCCCCCAAACCTTCTCATTGTCTCCTTTCCTTTCCCCCCCTAATAGTACTCTATCTATCTATCCAATCAAGTCTAGTAGTGTAGTACCCCACTACCTAAGTCAACAGCAATACAATTGATGATTCAATCAATGAAGAAAAGATAGAAATTATGACAATTTTAGTATGACCCGAATAAATCATTTATTCGTCTTTGTGTGAGACTAGATGGGGGTAATAACGTAGACATAGACATTATCGGTGTACTGGTTGGTTGGTTGGTTCTTGCAGTCGTTCATTATAGTGGTGGTAGTGATTGATGATTGTGTGTGTGTGTGTGTGTGTGTGTGTGTGTGTGTATTTTATTTGTACTTACTGATTGAGTGGTGTATCAATGAGATTTATTGGTATATATAGGTTTCGATAAAATTTGATGGACATTTTAATTACTAGTAATAGTAGTAGTTGGTTTGGTTTGTAGGCATGCTGGGTGGAGAGCGAGAGAAGAGGTACTGCCGTTTCTAAGTTTTTTTTTTTTATTTTTTTTTTTTATTTTTTTTTTATTTTTTTTTATTTTTTTTATTTTTTTTATTTTTTTTTATTTTTTTTTTAATTGCATTTGCATTTGCATTTTTGGTTGGTAAGTTCAACAACGGTGAAGTTGATTCGATTCATTACTTACCATATGAGCGGATTTTTAATTCTAGTAACTATACTAGTAGTAAATTACTTAGTTCAAATACTTGATGTCAGTTTGGACCATTCTTTATTCTACTGTTCAACTTCTACCAGCAAAAGTAAACACCCTACATCTTCTGAAGGAAAAGGGTTAAACCAAAGAAAAAGTTCAATTGCTACCAGGACTGTACATGATCGAGAACCTAACACGACACGTAAGATATAAAAAGGAAAATATGAGATGGGGTTGGGTGGGAGGAGACAAGGGGTAAAATGTAAAAGAACACACACACTCCCTCTAGGAAATCAAAAAAGAAGAAAAGAAAGAAAGATTTAGCAAAGATTAACTTCTTCCTTTCTCTCTTTTTCTTTCCCTTTCATCTTTTCTTTTTGTCTTTTCCTTCCCTCGCTTGCCCTGTTGCTCTATACCTGACGAACTGCAGGGTGTTGCGAGCGAAGCTATTCTATCCCCATAGTGGAAGTCGTACACACACACAGAGAGAGAGGGAGAGAGATAAAAAAGAGAATTGAGACAGGTTTATGGTAATTACATGCCAGGGGAGATCAGCTTGCCCTCAGCGCGGGCCTCCGGGTGCCAACCACCAGCGTAAGGTCCGTTTCCACCAACCTCCTTCGAGTACTCCCGGATGCGGGCCTTCAGCTCGGGGCGGAAGTGACGGATCAGACCCTGGATGGGCCAGGCAAAGGCCTCACCCAGAGCGCAGATGGTGTGACCCTCGACCTGCTTGGTCAGCTCCTGGAGCATGTCGATCTCACGCTCGCGGGCCTGACCCTTCTCCATACGCTGCATCATCTGCATGGTCCACTTGCTACCCTCACGGCAGGGAGTGCACTGACCGCAAGACTCGTGCTTGTAGAAGGTGGACAGACGAGAGATGGCGCGAACAATGTCGGTCGACTTGTCCATGACGATGACGGCAGCGGTACCGAGACCACTCTGGGAGTCCTTCAGGGCATCGAAGTCCATGAGCTGATCGTCACAAATGGACTTGGGAAGGACGGGAGTCGAGGATCCACCGGGGATGACAGCGAGAAGGTTGTCCCAGCCACCACGAACACCTCCACAGTGACGGTCGATCAGCTCGCGAAGGGAGATGGACATCTCCTCCTCGACGGTGCAGGGGTTGTTGACGTGTCCGGAGATACAGTACAGCTTGGTACCAGCGTTGCGCTCACGGCCGAAAGACGAGAACCAGCTGGCGCCACGACGCATGATGGTGGGGGTGACAGCGACAGTCTCGACGTTGGTGACGGTACTGGGGCAGCCGAAGAGACCGACAGCAGCGGGGAACGGGGGCTTAAGACGGGGCTTGCCGGCCTTGCCCTCGATGGACTCGATGAGGGAGGTCTCCTCACCACAGACGTAGGCGCCCATACCACGGTGAATGTAGACGTCGAAGTCGTAGCCGGTACCGCAGGCGTTCTTGCCGATCAGGCCAGCCTCGTAGGCCTCGTTGATAGCCCGCTGGAGAACGGTAGCTTCTTGGTAGAATTCACCACGGATGTAGATGTAAGCGGCGTTTGCGTTCATGGCACGGCCGACGACGAGGCAACCTTCGATGAGCTTCTGGGGGTCTTTGCGCATGATTTCACGGTCCTTGCAGGTTCCGGGCTCACCCTCATCGGCATTGACGACGAGGTAACGGGGTCTGGGGTCCTTGTCCCAGTCCTTGAAGTTCATGAAGGACTGTACCACAGCAATTGAAGATTAGACTGGGGCCTGAAGACTGGCTATGTCATCAATTGGTCTCGGTGAGGGCAACTCACGTATTTCAGTCCGGAGGGGAAACCAGCACCACCACGACCACGAAGACCGGAGGCCTTCAGCTCAGAGATAAGCTACACAGAACGAACACATATTAAGTCAGCATTGGAATCATTTCCGCATCTTCCAGCAGTTCCGGGTTCAATGGACCCGCGAAGGGGCAGAGCCTACCCAGTCATGACCCTTCAGAACGATATCCTTAGTCCGGTGCCAGTCACCATACTTCATCGCCGACTTCAGATCAGCTCCATGGTGTCCGTAGAGGTTGGTGAAGATCCGATCCTGGTCCTTCAGACCGCCATAGTGCTTGACCGGGGGGGCGTTGTCCTGGACGGTCGCGAAGGAACGGGCGGCCGGGGCCTGGGCTCGGAGGGAGCGGGAGGAGATGGAGGCGATGGAAGAGGAGGGAGCCGCCGCTCGAGATATCATGGTGAACACTGGCCCAATTGACTTGGGAGGGGAAAGGGAGGGGGGAGGAAAGGTGGGAGAATCGAGGATGCGTTACAAAGCCGTGGCAGGCGTGGTTTGGGTTGAGCTGCCCGTCGCGGCAATTCCTGCGCTTGCTGAATATCCGCCTTTCGCTCCTCCCTGATTGGTTCAGTGGGGTCACCTGATCCACGCTGACTAACCACCACAGATCTACTCGTTCTTTGGTTCTGTATGGATAGCTATATTGATAAGTTACTTAGTACTTGTAGCACTGGTCCTATATCTATTCTATGTCTCATCTGTCTACTACTCATATGCCTCCCCGGGCACATATAGGTAATCCTCCGTCGTCAGTCTCACCTGACCCCCACTTCCAGTCGCCAACAACTGCAGTGGATCGTCAGGAATCTGCACACACTCCTGCTCCCCAATCATCCATCCCCATCGCAACCAATTGGGCGACAGCCACCAATCGTCTTTTTGCCAGTCTCCCGTGTACAGGGCCAAACTGGTAAACACACCTGCGTTCTGTGACCTCATCTTCTCCAGTGTCTCGTCAAAGAGACTCACGATGTGCTCATCATCCTCGTCCTCCAAGGCCCAGGCCACATCATTCGGGGGCGGTGGGTAATTCTCCAGGAGGAAGCTCGCCCATCGGGACAGTCTGGGGGAGGGCTTAAATTCCTCGGAAGCACCAGATTTGCTAGCAGTGTGGGCTGCCGCAACCAGGCAAAGGAACATCGGGAAGGCAAATGGCGATGACCCACCGCTTCCTCTTAGCATTGGAATGGCGGATTCAGAAACTGACAAGACATCCTGGAAGCAGGCCTTGCAAGGTTGCTGCATCGCCGTTGGTAGAAGGTCGGGCAATTCACCCAGGGTGAACAACTCCCCGTTGTTTGTAAGAAGAGACTTCCGCTCCAAAATCCGCACCTGCAGCCGCGAGTACACCTCTTCTGGGAACTTTCCGGTGGGGATTCGGCCCATATGGGCCCCAAGGACTCTCTTGGTTTCCTCCCAGGTCCCAGTGAAGTTATGTAGCCGCGCACGGTTCAGTGTCCATGCTGCGACAACTAGAGCGGTCTCAGACAACATGATCTGGCTGTCTCGGTATACTTTCGCATGGGTCTGTTTGAGGTTTGTCGGTGTCTGAAGATCTTCCCCTGACGCCCTGAGCTTGGCAGCATGTGTGACGACCTCAATGATAACCTGACTCAAGGCAGCAAGTAGGGCCCTAGAATTACCATAGACGTTTGGAATCTTGATGCCTTGGTTGGTGATTTCGAGGGTTTCCAGCTCCCGGTTGTTGGCAGCCAGAACCGACACGGCGTCAAGCAGGGCAGGTGAGAAGATGGAATGCTCCATTGACATGTCGGGAGCGAGAAGAGGGTAGAACACGTTGAAGACGTAGTAGTGATCTTCTGGTTCCCCCACAGCAAGGTCAGGGTACATCTGCAGTTGATGGGACTTTGCCATGTAGAGGGGGCTTCCAGGCGGTGCTCGTAAACTGACAATGCGGTGGTCGCAAGGATTTCCGGGAATGCAGAAACCGTAGTTCATCATAACTGATATTTGTCAGTCGCTAGCCACTTCGTGAAGCAGTTCTCCGGAGGGCACCTACGTTGCTCGTTATTCCGCGGGCCGTAATTGTTGCTGATCTCCTGGCCTGCCGACACGTCTTCCAAGACTACAAAGGCAACATCGTCCTTACCAGCCCGCCACTCCACCTTGGCTAGCGGTCGATGATTGCCCATATCGATGATGGGGAGAAGGACAGAGAGCTTCTCCTCCGACAGTTCCGTTTCAGGAAAGACTCCAGAAAGTACCCTCGCCGAGAAGGCACGCGAAATGAACATCGAAGCTGCCCAGAGATAGAGGTCCCTACAAACACATCGCTAGTGTCAATGCCGCTCCTTAATCCAGGCTTGAAACTGCAAGTAGCACTCTCAGTGACCTACCATGTATACGCATCTGCACCCTCGAACCCAGCATTGCGCAACTCTATCGAACCCTTCTCATACTTCTCCTTCAGAACCTCCAGTCTCTTCTCCCTAGCCGCCAACAAGCTAGTACCATCCAACCACTGCAGATCTTCTCCCTCATAGTAAGGAGGAGTAGTCAAAGAGCCAGGCTGAGGCAATGTTCGAATATACGGGTACCAAAAGCCCTCAGTGCCACGAAGATACTGACCAATCAAGAAGAAGATGGTTGATTCCTTTTCTCCGACAGCATCAATAAACGACTGTGGGAAATGCAGGCCATGCGCCGAAAAGGAGATTGAGGGAGTGGACTGGTTAACAACATTGAAATAAGACATCGTAGTAGCCAAGGGCGTCTTGATGATGTGTGTGTCGGTGGGGACAGCATCCTTCCAGTCTTTCTTGACTTGGAGATGAACACCACGGCTTTCATCCTTGGCTATTTGGACGCTCTCGTGCAGATGACCTCCATTGTTGACCATCCAATTAAGCAGATCAAAGTAGATCTGTAGACTGTCATCATCGCCGGACCTGGGGCTGCTAGTCAGATTATGGATTATGTATCATGGAGTGGGCATGCGGGCAGTGTGATGGCGGGGGAGGGGTGAGCTGTATGCTTCACAGCCATATATCATCATGCAGAATGCATGGAAGTTGTGCTTCACTGGTAGTATGCATATACGTCCTTTTTGGAGATAACTTGGACGGGAAATATGCATATGCTGAGGCGATAATTTGAAGAATGAAAGCATCAGGCATAAAAAGCACCGCAACCCCGAGTCCGATCCGAAAACGTCATCGCGGAGATAGGAAAGAAAATAATAGGGAAAAAAAAAGTCGACTTACCCCGAGGGCCCTGACGGTGCACTTGCCATGATCGCAAAGAAGAGTACTGGGGAATATACTACTCGTAAATAATTATATGAGTACTGCAGAATTCGAGAATTTCCCAGTACTGCTTCAGTTCCTCCGAGCGACGAAAGTTGCAGAAGCGAAAAGTGGGTTTTTGGCAGGTGCGGAAGGCAAGAATAGAAAGAATGAATGCGGCGTCCCACTTTCCCTCCCGCATCAACATCGCCCATACATACGAACAAACATAAGGCATATTATATAGTATGGAACTACGAGCCATTTTCTCCAGCAAGAATGTTAACATAGTCATTCAGATCAATCCTTATTGCCCGGAATTCCGCTTGGTCCGACTCGTTGAGGCATACAATCATGAACCGGAGCATATACAAAAGTGCCATGCGATCAAATAGTGTACATCATGGGAATTGAACTAATCCAAAAAAGACAAAAGATGAAAAGCAATTGAAAGAGGCCGAAACAGAAATCAGAGTACCGCCAAGAAGAAGGAAAAAAGAGGAAAGCGTTGCATACATAACAGAAAGTGGACATCAAGCATCATGTGCAAAAACTAATGGGATGATGTGGTGGATGATGTGGAAGCCTTTCGCCCGGGGACGAGAATCTCGACTAATCCATCATCATCCTCCCCATCACTACTGTCGTCTTCATCGTCGCCGAACGGTGAGGCACCCATCCGGGATCTACCGAAGTTTCTGTAACGCCCCGAGGCGATGTCCGGATACCCCAAAGATTCGTTCATAATGGCCTCATCCTCTTCGTCCGAGTCCATCATGCCCGACCCAAGCGAAGGCCCGACCATCTCCCCCATGTCGTCTTCCTCCTCGTCAACCTCCAGGGGAACCCGCTCCTTGCGTCTCATGCCCTCCGGTCTACCGTCTCCCTCCTCGTCGGAGGAGTTAGTTGAGAATGAGTCGGGAGGGCTGAATCCAGAGTCAGGGAATGTGGGCGATGAGAAGGGCTCATCCTTGTTAGCAGGGGGGAAATCAGTGGACGGGAAGGCTGCACTGGCAGGCGAGTTGGAGCCATCGGCATCCTCGTCCAAGCCGGCGATCACGAATGGATTCGTGGGCCATTGCATGTCATGTTCGCTTTGCTGGCTGTGACTTGACTCTTCACCACCCTCGGAGTTCTCGGCAGCCTGTTGTTTATGGGCAGCAAGTCGGGCTGCTAGCTGCCGCCGTGCGCGAGACGGACCTTGGCTCAACGGTGCTGGTGGTGGGGGAAGGATCGGGATTGGCTGACTGGTAGAGTTGGTAGAGGCCTATCACATTCGGATTAGTATACAAGCTCTGTTCCATTATGGAGGAGAGTAGATGACGAGGTAAATGCGCAAATCCAGAGATCAGGTTAGGGATACACCAAAAGCGACGTCAACACCTAGGCCGCAAGCCAAAAGAAACTACTGGTGTGACCGGCAAGCACATGCTTAGTTCCAGAAAGTTGCAACATGATAGCGGGGAGCAGGAGTTCTTTAGAATGACTTCATACGTAAAGTAAAGCGCCGGAGAACGCTCTATGTGCAAGGCCCTCCACGACCTCCGTCGCTCCTCTCGTCCATCATGCGCTATCCCAGCCGCAGCATGAAATGTATACCAGCCCAAGGCCCGAATCCAAAGAAAGATCAACCAACACAGGGTGTACCAAATGATGCAAAGATGGCCGCAGAAGAAGAAGGTAAAGGGTAGGGAGGAGAGGGATATCCAGGATTGCGTCAAGCATCGCGCATATCGACATCAGTGAAAAGGTGATGACCCACATTGTCAGAGCCGCCTTCAGCAGAAGGCTCGGCCATATTCCGATCGTCTTGATCTTCCATTTCCTCATCCTCATCGTCATCGCTGGAGCTAGCGAACCCGCTTAGTAGGGAATTACCACTGTTTAGCCCGAAAGCTCCGCCGGAGACACTTCCTTGGTTCATCATGTCAAAGCCCTGGAACCCGGAGCCTCCCACCGAGCCATTCAGGCCAGCGTCAGCAAGCGCCGATGATGTGTTCGCGCTCTGGCCGGAATTGAGCATGCCTTGGCGATGTCCAATCGACATGTCAGGGCGCACCCCTCCAAGAATGGCGTTGTCGCGCTCCCTGGTCTCAGAAAGCGTTTGCTCAACATAGTCTATCCACTCAGGGTTCAGCACATTCTCCATAACCGTAGGAGAGAGCAACTCGGGCGGGTGCCGTTCGCTGAATTTCACAACCTCTTCAGCAATCAACGTCAAGTGGCCCATGTATCCTAGTCGGATCTGTTTGGTTCGCTGCGCCTCATCACTGCGCTTTTGGCCTTCGATAATGCTCTGGGTGATTTGGCCAGTCTCAAAAACGTCAATGGCCAGCAGACGATTGTAGCCGCGGTCCATGGGACCGTTGAACACTTGTTGGACAACATCATAGACAACGTTGTGAAGGAAGTTGTTCCAGGGGAATCGGAAAAAGAAGTCCTAAAATAAATCTGTCAGAAATTGTCCATGACACAATTTAGATGCAAACTTACCAAAATAGTTGGTACCACCTTGTTTTCAACGAACATAATCTTGAGATAGTCACCAACAACAGGTTGCCCGTTGGAATCGATCTGAACATCTGGGTGCAGCTGTCGCGGCACATCACCGTCGTTTGGCGCCGAGTCGGAAGCGGGTGGAACTGAGCTTGAAGCATCGCCGACCTGGCCAGCAGTATCAGGCGTCAAGGAGCTCTGTTGATTATTTGTTTGGTCTACGAGAGGAGCCGATTCCTGTTCGGCTTGGGAAGACGCCGTGGTCTGGTCTTCCATACCGTTGGAAGCCGCTTCTGCAGCTGGCTGGCCTTCCTTGGTGGTCTGTCCACCGCCCAGGCTAACTTCCGCTATACCTGACGCAGTAGCTGACACAGGATCGGAAGTAGGCGTATGTGCCCGAACCTGACTCGCAGGGTTTTCATCGTGTGAGCCGTCCTCCGATGCGCCATTTGAAGCATTTTCGGCTGATTCTGTCGGGGCATGCTGCGAGGGAGCTGCGGACTCCGGCTTGGACTCGGGGCTGCTGGTGTCCTTCACTTCAGCGTCCTTCTCCTTGTCGACCAGAACACCGGATGCGCTAACGTCCTCGAAGCTTTCCTCGCCCGTATTGGCGACCTCAAGCACTCTAGAGCCCTCAGGGGAACCGTAGCCAATGACGGATCCATTGACAAAATCCACCGTAGAGTCGTTCCCATCGAATGCCGATGTCTCTTCGCGGTGCGGGTTGAAGACACCTTCGCGCATGAGCCTCTCGCGCTCAGCATCACGCTGCCGTACGTAATCGTCACTCCCCGGCTCGTTCAGAAGGCCCATGTTACTGCAATGTAGCAGTTCGGCCATCAATTCGCACGTCTTGAATCTGTCAAAGCCCAGGGGCTCGATCTTGGCACCCCAAGCTGAGTTGAGCTTCCCCCTTTCTACACTTCTCACCTTGCCCCCGTCGTTCACAGTGTGTTTCGAGCTTTGGATCAGCGCCATGAAGTCCGGTATGTGTTTGGCAAAAAGCCGAAGCAAATTCCCGAGGTAGATCGGATCGTATGTGGTGGGGAGTGAGTCCGGACCATTGATATTCTCAGGATCGTAGTCGGAGTTGTTCTTCCGGATCACTTCGATGACGATACCAACACCGACTGTCAGAGGGTTTCCACCTTGCAGCATGGCCTTGATGAGACTTTCCACACACGGCACGGAGACCAACTGACGGGTGAGGCTGTTAGGGCCAATGCAGGATTGGTCATTCTGTGTTGCGTTCGCGGATATGGTGATGATAGCTTTGAGGAAATCCCCAGCCGAGGTCTGCACCGAGGCAGGGTGATCCGGGGAAAGAAATGAGAGGAGCGTGGGTATGAGGTTCTGGGTTTTCAGCCACTGCGGACGTTAATCAGCATAAATCACTCACAAGCGAAAACTTTCACCCTCAACTTACATCGACAATGCCATGGCCCCCTTCTACCTTCTCCAAGCTGATTATTTTGAGTAAAAGGTCCATGACCATGGGGTTGTCCACGTGCTGCAGAATTGCCGGTACAATTCCGTCCATTGACTTGAATAGCTCCAGCATTTCACTGGTTTTCTTGTCGAATAGAGTTTCGTTCACTTTTGTAAAGTAACTCGCCTGAGCAGAGTCCAGAGGGGAGGAGCGCCGCAAGAACCCCCAGAAATCTCGTAAGTTGTCGGGATTGAGCAGAATGGACTCCACGATCGACCATATCTCCGACGACAGAATTTCGCATGCGACGTAGGCTCGCTTCATGCGATCCTTCTCCGCCCGCTCCAGGTCTTCGGGGTCCAGAATATCCTTAAGGGGGTCACCCCCCTTGGCCTCTTCCGTTGCATCATCATCTCTGTTCGTCTGCGCATTGTTCTCGTGATCGTCATCATCTTCGTCGTCTTCATTCACCAGACTAGGCGCAGTGACATAATCCATGAGTCGTTTAAGAACATTATCTTCTCGTAAGAATTCTATGAGCTTCGTATTATTTTGTTTGAGCTCTTGGATGAGCTCAGACTCATCCAACAGCTCTTCAAGGGTGACATCGGGCTTGTCTAGCAGGGTATCGATGGCGGAGATACTCGCATATCCTCCGAAACGCCAAAACATGATGAATTATATAACTGGGCGAAAAGAGTCATGGAAAGGAAGCACAGTAGCACGGGCCCTTTTGATCGCAGGTCGTCGCCGGAACGTCGTTACGGTGAGCCGAATATGATACAAAACCGTAGGTAAGCGGAGGTGGTCTAGTATATGATCCTCATGCAAAGTGTTGAGTATGCAATGGTTACTCGGTGAAAAGTCATATATCGAAACAGACTTCGGAAGGACTGAGTCGTTTTGAGATCGAATCGTCCCGAGACACAAGACAGGTGAGGAGAACGATAGGCAAGATAAACCGGGTCTGAGCGGCCAAGCGCTACATGCGCAAAATAGACAAAGTTAGTAAGGTTGCATGCGCCTCAAGCGTCATAGAGAAAGACCGGTGAATATGGGCTGAAGAAATATCAGGGGCCGGCTTCTCAGGCAGTCGGGGAAGGAGTCAGGTCTCGAAGAGCCTATGAGGGCGGCAAACGACAGGCTTTACGGGATGACAGCAGAAGCAGCAGCAGTACAGAGTGCATTGCCATAAAATCCAAAAAGGGCAAGGAAGGAGGGAGGAGGTCCAGACCACGTACCTTTCACGACCTGAGAGAGAGTGAGTGACAAAAGACGAAACAAGAGCAAGGTCCGTTGTTTGGGAGGGCTGAAGCGACCCACGGGCAATGTAATCACTTTGTCAGCCCGGCACTGCACAGGCGAAACCAGTCCGTCAGATGGGGGGGAAGGAGGAAGGATAAAATTGAGGGTCAACAACCCAAAGGCTTAAAGTGAGGATCACAGGCTGACAGTTCGCAGGATCACGTTGACTTGTGGTGCGCTGGCGGGAGTGTCTGGATCGGCCGGCAAGACTGACTGAATGATCCCTGGAAGGTGACGATTGAACAAGCAGGGCGGAAATACCCAACAAGCCCGAGGAGCGACGGCGGGGAACCAAAACCAGATACGCGAGGGAGAGGGGGGGGGCAATAATGGATGATTGTGAAAGGACCACGAGTGGATGGAATTAGTTGATTTCAGACGCTTAATAATCCGGGGCGAGAACGGTAAGTAAGTATTGTAGTTATACAGTTTCCAATCGGTTATTCCTCCTTCTAGAAGTCCAATGGTTGTTATGGTTGTTGAGGCTGTCCTCCAGACGTTCGCGTAACACTCCGGAATCTTCAAGACGCACGAGTCGTTATTACCTACTCCTTGCAGGTTTGGTGCAAAGACCGGCAAAGTATCAGGTACCGCACTGGCCTTATCCGCTTGTGCACAGATACAAGTACCGGGTACTCTGTCTGTTTCGTTTCACCGGAGTTGGGGGGGCGGAGGCAACTGGGCGGTATCTTACCGTCACTCACCTTACACTATAACTGTTCTTATCATCAATAAAATACCATCTAGCTGTCAATTCACCTTTATGAATCATTTCTCCAAGAGGTTAATCTCAGCTAGGCCATGCTAACAAACATAATAAATATTCACCCGGGAACTCGAGTGAACAAGCGTGTGCTTAGGCTAGACTCGGGGGCCAGTAAGCAGATCAGCCTTGCAGTCACTAAAGACAATACCCCATACTCCGTCACTCCGATTTCATCTGCCTCGGATCATGAGTCAAGTCTGGATCTGATCAGGACAATTCTCCAGTTATAGCCTGGAATATAACTATTCTACAACAGAATAATCATATTATATCTGTCATCTAATTCACTGGCCAACATCACACTGACAAATTTAGCCAGAACGGCACATAGCCGTATCCTCTGCATAATACCACATCTTACTGTATTATACCTCATCACGTGGGGGCAATTCTAGGTAGCAGCCTAAGCTTCGATAACATTCACCCCGCTGTTCTATCCTAATACTATGGTATTATAATACCTAGTCTACTCATCTCGTGCTCACTATCCAAATCGTATCTTGCAATCCATCAAACCTTTTCTCGCGCAAAGCCCCAACTTACAGAACCACCCGACACAGCTCTATACCCCGACCGGTATCTCCAAGGCGGCGAGGCGGCCGCTAAGGACCGACCAGACCATATCTATCTACCCCCCAGTTCGGTGCTTGTTCCAAGACCCTCAAGCTTGCCACAAGAAGCTCATCTCCAATCCTCTCTCACACCCAACCAGCCAAAATGAACCGGCTATTCGGTACAAAGAACACGGCACCCAAGCCAACCCTAGACGGGGCCATAACCAATGTACGTTTTCCCTTCCCCTTCCCCATCCATCCATCATTGTTGTTGTTGCCCAACTCTCCGAATCCATCCATCTCGCCCGACCCCGCATGATTAACCATTTCGCCCCCCATCGGGAAACAGGTGGAAACCCGCATCTCCAGCATTGACGTCAAGTTGGCGGCACTGAACTCAGAACTATCAACCTATCAAACGAAGATCTCGAAGATGCGCGACGGGCCCGGAAAAACCGCGTTACGGCAGAAGGCACTCAAGGTACTCCAGCGGCGGAAACAGTACGAAGCGCAGCGGGATCAGCTATCGCAGCAGTCATGGAACATGGAGCAAGCGGGCATGATGCAGGATAATCTGAAGAATGTGATGACGACAGTGGATGCTATGAAGACGACCACCAAGACACTCAAGAAGCAGTATGGTCAGATTGATATTGATAAGATTGAGCGGTTGCAGGATGAGATGGCGGATTTGATGGACGTTGGGAATGAGATTCAGGAAAGTATATCGAGGGCGTATGATGTTCCTGAGGATGTGGATGAGGCGGAACTTGATGCTGAGTTGGAGGCCCTGGGTGAGGAGACGTTGATGGAGAGCTCCATGGCTGATAGTGCCATGCCGAGTTTCTTGCAGGATGAGGTGGCGCCGCCGCAGTTTATTGATGAGCCGCCGGAGCAGACTAAGGTTAAGGAGCCTGCTAGTGGGTTGGGTTAGAATTACATACGTGGTTTTACGAGAATAGCGGTTTAGGAGTTATGATTATGGTGGCATCGGAGTTGGGATTTTTCTTGTTATCCTTTTTTTTCATTCTCTTCTTCCCCCCTTTTCCTTCCCCTTGAATTAATCGATTAAGCTGTGTTCATCTACGGACTTTTATTGTGTATGTTCTGCTTCTCACTTTCTTCCCCTCTGCGGGTCTGCATCTTACGGAGTGTATCATACCGTACCTCCACCCTTCTGACCTACACGGCTTGCACATTCTAGCAACAATTCCTTTCGGAGAGATGCCGTCCCCTCCAGTTCAGCGTTCCAGATGTTTCACGTTCTAGGCCTTGCCGAGTCCAATCAGGACGAGCAGAGCCACGTTCATGACCGCAATGATTACCCAAACAATGACAGCGATGGCAATAACAAACCAGTTGTTTCTCATCTTGACTCCGTCGGCCGAGGCATTCTCACCGGAGAAGTTTCTATCCGTAGGGACGGTCATGTAACGGTTGCGGCACGTAAAGTAAACCAGAGGAGCGGTGACAAACGGCAGGATGACACTCAAAACCACTTGGCTGGCGTTTAGAGTCTTGTTCAATCCCTCCTTGCCGACAGCAGCTGCAATGATTATGCTAGGGATGATACTGATAGACCGCGTGACCAGTCGCCGGAGCCAAGGTCTGATACTCCAGTTCAGCATTCCCTCGCTGACCATTTGTCCAGCCATGGTACAGACAATCCCGGCGGAGATACCTGAGAGGAGCAGGGCCAATGCGAAGATCAGACCTGCAGCCGGGGCAATGGAGCTAGAGAGAAGATCGTAAATGCCAAAGAGGTCTGCTTCATCAGCTCCCGACGTGCCGTACAAGGAAGCACCAGCAACGATGAGAATGGCGCTGTTGACGAATAAGGCAAATGTAAAGAGGGACAACGTAAGCTCAATGACGGAGTACTTCAGACATCCCCGAATGGCTTGGATGGACGGCCTGTATTCCACTTCTCCGTTGGTGCTTCCAAGGCAGACGGAGGGATCGACGTAGCCTTGGGTAACATCGAATTCCTTCAGTCGCGATTGGACAACTCCGCTGCCAAGAAACATGGAGTGAGGCATCACCGTAGCACCGAGGATACCACAGCTTTGATACAGACTGTTAGACAGGAAGTTAGTAAGCTCAATGTCTCAGTCATTTACGAAGCGGGCTACTCACCCATTGGACTGCACGATGGCAGACGAAGGCAAGTAGCCCCGGAAAACAGCTCCGACCGACTGTTCTTTAATGAGAGCGAGTTGAATGCAAAAGCAAATCACCACTCCCAGGACCAACAGCATGACAAAGAACTCGAAGAGACGCAGTCCCCACATGGCGCCATTCGGTCTATAGAATATCAAGATGAAGAGAACATCGGCTAGTGTGATTGCGCATCCCGCCACCAGAGGGATTTTCAGGAGAAGGTTGAGCGAGATGGCAGATCCGACAACCTAAGGAACCAAGTTAGCACCAGCATCAGAAAGTAGGGGAGGGAAATTAGCTGCTTACTTCTGCGATATCAGTTGCCACGATGGCGGCCTCCGCAAAAGCATACAGGATGTAGTTCAACCACTTGGGTAGGTGCTCCCTGCAGTTTTCCGCCAGGTTGAGCCCGGTCACAGTGCCGAGCTTAATACACAGCGATTGTAGAAAGATAGCAAAAAGGTTGGACACTAAGACGATGAAGAGCAGGGCATAGCGAAACTCCGCGCCTGCAGCGACATCGGTGGAGTAGTTTCCCGGATCAATGTAAGCTACCGCGATCAGGAATCCAGGGCCCACGAAGCGACCAAACTTCTTGATACTTTGAGCGAGACGGAGAAAGAAAGAAAAGGTTGATGTATTGAAAGGACGGCGAGGTGATTCGCTGCTCGTCCTGGGTGATTGGTCCCCAGGAGCGGCAGCGATCACTTCGCCGGGTGTCTTCTTCTCCATCTCGGGCTCGTTTCCATCTAGACTATTTGGTCTATGATCCATCGCTGCAATTCCTTCACCTGCAGCTCCCCCGATACCGCCTGCGTGTCTCCGATGCACCTTCGAGTTCGCAATGCCGTTGAAATCGCTTCGAGTGGTAATGTCGGCATTCAGCGCCGGCGGATTCTGGTTCCATCCCGGGTGCTCGAGGGTGTCATCGGTGCGCGAAGGACAATTCATGGCGGACTGAGAAGCTCTTCAGTGACACGATTTGGAGATATTAGCAATTGCAGCTATTCCGATAACCACGAGGTCGGAGTATTTAGGCAACGCCACGTTCGGGACGTCAGTCTAGGATCAAGGACCCTGCGGGGAAGCCAGCCCGAAACTGCCCGATTGCGGTAGTCGCTGTAGACACGTCCACTGCGGAACAGGGAAGAGGGTCGGAAGAAATAGATAGATCGACTGCTTAGTGTTCAAATGCAGTTGTTACGATAGAAGATAGGTCCAGAAGATAAAATCAGTGACATTCACTCCAGTCGGAAGCAGGAGAGGGAAGA